TCATTAATAGAATACAAGTTGGAGCTTCATCGTGGGACACCTGTGATAGACATTCTGATCTGTCAATATAACTCGCGGATGGGCGGAACTACTCACTAAGAATACCTAGTTGGCGACTATCAAAGTCTTAAACTTCGTACGTTAGGAACTGATGAGGGGATTTCATGGTCGGCGACCATCTTTGCGCCTCCAGCACCAAAGAGTTAGCCTTCGGCGAAGAGAAATAGAAGATATCACTAACAATAACACAAAGCCACAACTCATCGGGGCTCTCTTAAATGGATCTGTGAAACCTAATTACCTACTTACCTAGGTACCAACTACTCACCCCCATCTTTGTACAGCACGCTCAAGATCCACCACATATTATGCCATAGCGTTCAACAAGAGATAGAATCTACAAAGATTTCCCACACCAACCACGACATCTACGTAGGTGAGATGAGCTATACGCCATCCGCACATATCCATCAAATAAGCACCCTCATCACCCGCGCGCAAACCATACACAAGGAAACACTTCGTCAGACGCGACCACGTAGAATCAGGTAGGTAGGTGAAAAGAGAGCATTGCATTGTTATCTGTGACATAGCCCGAAATAGTGTTGGCGCGTTTCTCTTTTTAGCGTACAACTCCCTACCTACCTACCTCTTAGTGCCTTAATACGAAATACATACATACATATTTTTCCTAGCCCACGAACTAACTGACTACGTGTCTCAGAAAGTCCAGCAGGTACGTGTGGGGAGAAGAACAGCGCCCTCCCAAATCCACTCTGGGGAAGAGGGGGGGGGAGGCAGGAGGAGGAGGGAGCTGCGAGGAAAGGTGATACGACCTCGGTCCCCCAAAAAAACCACTCGCCCTTTTTGTTTCTTCTTTTCTTCAAGAGATTACGTCGAGGACGACGCTAGGTTAGTCGAGACAAAACAATGGGCTGGAGGGGAGGGGGGGCAGAGCCAATACCGCCCTGAGGCTAGGGATGACCCCTGAAAAGGCGCGAAAGCGGCACTCTCTGCATCGGAGGGGACGCAAGTACTAAATCCGGGCGGGCGAGCGAGCTTCTGTTCTCAGGTTAGCAGGCGTGAGGTAGAGTATGTATGTAGAGTCTTAAGCACGTAATAAATTCTGATGCCGACGCGGAATTGGGAGACCGGATACGCTGTTCAAGAGCTCGGTGTGGTTTAGATTTCCGCAGCGCGCATCGGATGGTGGTTCGGCGGGTGAGGGCAGGTAGACAGACAGACGGAAATGGGCGAGCTGACGAAGGGCACGCATGGCTGTTCGTTACACATACGCTGGATATGCGTCCATATACGTACCTAGAGGAGAGAAATTAGGGGTTCCACTTTGCTATGCAGCACCACATGTCAGCAGTTAAGCTCTGAATGCCTTCGTGCGTAGCAGCTAGTATGATACGTAGTTTATCAACATCTAGACCATTACGATGACGACGATGATATTCCTCTTTTCCGCCAAGTGTTGGTATGACTCCACCGAAGCTATTCTACGAGACGGGCAGCGATATGATCACCGTACAGCCACGGCAGCACCGATGTGAGGCATTTTCTCTTGTTAGTAACTAGATCCCAATCCGTCTATCTTGGCTTTAATTTTCCTCATCCATCAAGCTTTGATCACCTCGCCCCTCTTTTCACGTCATATCCAGCGAGGATCATAGAGCTTGGATAGGACCAAAGTCTTGGGTCTTGTGCTCTACTGTGCTTCGTTGGGGATTTATCATGGTGTTACAGTACTAGGAGAGAGAGTGGCAGGGACTCAATGCCCTGTGCTCTCTATGATACTACGTGGTATACTCAAGGTACAGGTTATCTACGCCCTGTACCGCAGACTCATCATCGTGGTAACTTTGGTCCTGCCAGAACTACCTTAGTCACTTGCCGTTGACTCAATCTATCGTGGGTTATCGCACAGAATACTTCTTGGTGGGCCAATGTGGAGATAGTCTACCATAGGGATTTAATTGTACCGTTCGTCTGAGCTCTCAATTGCAAAAACTAGTCCAATTGGCCACAGTCTAGGTCGTGGTCATCAGTTTATGTGGAGTTGGCACTGTACGTCGCTGCAAATGAGGTTGTTCATAAACATCTCGTGGGCGTGGGATATTAGGGGGTAAAGGCTTGTCCCTGTATGCCCAGCCGAATCTCAAAACCCACATTCTCTCAAATCCCGCGACAGATTTCGCAACTCTAGCAGTCTACCTAGGTACCATCACGAGATACTCTCAATTTTGAATATTCTGTGAGTTATTAAGTATCGATGAACCAAACCACAGCCACTCGTAGTTAGGAACGTAGAAGTTTAAAGATATTTTCAAAACACATGTCCTGTTTTCATCAAGACACCCCCTTCCGCCGCACCAGGAACCGAAAACACGCGACGGGAGGAAGGCTAAACAAGCACGCGAGCATGAATCAGTGAAGAATAAAAACCGTTCCTTGCCGCTGTTCCTTGGGTAAGCACTAGCAGCCCTGTGGCCAGAAGCAGAAGCTTGTCTCAGTCCCTTTATTTCTTATTTCCCTTTTCCTGGGAACGCCTAATGGCAAGTTTGATTCAAGTATCATTTCCATTTGCCGAGTTGTCTTGTCCCTCTGGGTTCCAAGTACGCCAAATGTGTAACATGCTTTGAATGACTTCTATTCATACGTTTTTTTTCCTGTCCACGTTACTCAAACTAGTGGTGGTAAAGAGTCTTTCCATCTGAAGTATTAATGAGAAATTAATAATTAAGCTTTGTAATGGTCAATGCCAATACTAGTATTGTGGCCATACTTATGTAATTAATTGCTCATATTTCCCAGCAAGATGAAGTAGTTTAATCACAAGTGTTGAAGTCCCAAATCAGTACAGTCTACGTCTGCTCTGTGACTACCTACACTCAACTCATCCACCACCAATAGAGGAACAAAGAGACCCCGAGTCTTTACTCTCTACCCCACAAATCCACCCCATACATACTTGCATACGCACATGCAGGTGAAGTAGCATGGACCTGTAAACCGTCTTCGTCCATCCATCCTCCAATCCCCACCCCCTCCGGAGCCGAATGCTCGCTATTAGCGTGACATGACCACCCCAGTATGTAACTCGACCATTCCAGTTAGCCCCATCCACACCAATCCAAGATTAACAGAACACCGGCTCAACAAGATCTCCCCCTCCCCTGCCGCTCATCTACCTGTCCAGGTACCCTGCTCCCTCCATCTCTGCCGCCCCTGTAACCCGGTCATGCCACTGTAGGTACACACATCATCTATATCTCCATAGTAGCTTAGTACCTTGAACCCCCGTCCAGTTCATTCCCATCCTCCCCCAGTTCACCCAAGTCACACCCTAGGTACCCAATCCCCGAACCCCCTTCTATCACCCATCAAGCCCACCCAAATCCCTAAGCCAAAAGAAATCTACGTACCATACCATACTAAGTAAGTACCTAAGTAAAGTCAAGTAGAGTAAACCAACGCACCGCCGCCGATCACCCACGACCCGACCCGACGCAACGGGACGTGGCGGAGCCCCTTAGCCTAATCGGGGCGAACAGTCAGGCATCCAACCAATCAGGGGGGGGCGACCAGAGAAAAAACCTCGCCGCGCTACGGCAGTCTACGCCTAGCTAGTGAGGAGGGTAGGCGCACAAGCTAGCTCGTCAAAAATAATATATGTATGTATGTATGTATGTAGAAAATTCGTGGAGAATAGGGTGTTTTAGAAAAATTTAGTTGTTGTTGGAGTACCTATCTATCTAGACTAGACTAGATTGGTGTAGCGCGCCTACCTGGGTATTTGTAGGGTATAGGAGGTAGACGCAACTAACCAACTAGGTATCTAAGTATAGGTATGCCTTAGGTAAGGTAATACAGCGATACAGGAAGAACAAGCGCACCACCTCGTCCTGCCTCCCGCGAAATTCCTCCTTCCGTACCTAAGGTCGGTGAGCCGCCCTGCTCTGCCCTGCAAATCCGAATGCGCACCATTCCCAGGTACAGTGGGTATCACCCATCCCGTGTGTCCTCTCATGGACTGATCGTGAGCCATGACACCCCCTTGTCCCTAGCACGATGAACAACCACAACCGTGACCTCTCGCAGAAAAGAAAAAACGCAACGCGCATAATCGACGAATCTAGTATGTAGTTTTCGCGCCCCAGATCCCCTACCCCCCCAACACCGCAACGCTTCTATCCCGCCACCTTTCTTTTGATTTTTCAAATCGATTCGCTTCCTCCCACCCAGATATCTCATGCTCTCATGCAAATCGATAAATCATAAAAAGAATACAAGAATACAGTGCCGGAAAGAGTAAATGCAAGAGGTATTTTCGGAGAGAAACGATAAATAGACCGAGAAGGATCATAGGAACATGTAGCCATGAATCCCATAATCAATAGAAGTAAAATAAAAGATCTAGAGAATAGAAGTAAAAAGAGGAGTATTGACGCTTGTAAAATCATCGCTGTGTAATTCTTTTCGCCGAAAAATTCGAATCTGGAAAACTGATGATATCACCATTTATAAATGGCGAATGCTCGTGCTGGACTCCGAGTATAATAAATTCCGCTGTAGTGCCCATTATATCCACCTTTTTATAAATTTGTTCGTAAGGCCCTTTTTGATTCTTGGCGGGGAATTCGATGGACGAATTGGTATATGAATTTGTATGTTTCCCATTCAAAGTAACGAGATTCATACGTTCAGATCCTTCAATTCGTGGGCCATATATCTAGGTAGGTCTATGCGAGGCAAGGGCTACCTAGCTGTAGGCAGTTGATGCGCTACCTCGGATTCATCGATCGTCTCAATCTATTTGAGTAGGTAAACACTGCGCTTGCCGGGTATTCGTATTGCCGATTCAAATCATGTCGGCAATGATGGATCGTATCAGCAATATCCATCACTCCATATCCTTTGATGGCTTTTCTTCTTTTTGGGGAAACAACCCAGTAACTGTAATATTTAGACCAAAAAAGAGCAGTCGTTTTAATGGTGAAAGTTGCTTTTGTTTTTCTAGGCCGAAATAAGAGTTAAGTCATGTCGCTAATATCCCTTGTTGTGCTTTTCTTTTTTTTCTAGAATTGCTGCCGAACATCCAAAATGAAGTCATTTAGACCACCAGAAGCAACCAGATATGTGGCGCTACTGGGGCGGGTATTGATTTTGATTGTTAGCCGATGGATCATTCGGATCAGGCCAATAGGGAAAGGCCAGCCTGTTGCGATTCTCCTCAGAATCTTCGAAAAGCTCACTTAGATCTTGTGGAATTGTCGCTGCTAGGCCCTGATTGCCGTGTATTGGAAGAGCACCATGATGTCCTTGGTAAATACCACTGCCGTCCTCTAATGGGTACATATGCTGGGCATTATGGTTATAATGCTGCATAGGAGGTGCGAATGCAAATGGATGGTTTGGGTCGGGAGCCGGCAACGCGGTAGGTTGCATTGGGTTGGTCGCCAAAATCATACTCTCGTGATTGGGGTTCGGCGTCGTGAAATGTTCGCTTCTTGGTGCGGTAGGAAGGGCATATTGGAGACCTAGACGATGATCGTAGCCCATTGTGTGCATTGGGTCGTGCAAGTTTCCAATGTTGTTACCAGCGCCGGGAAATTCCGGCGCAAGACTGTTTCGGTTTATCATTGCTTTCTTAGCCGCGTTTTTTTTCGAGTTACTAGCAGCCACGCCACCTTTGCGGCCGGAACTCACTCGTCCTTCTGCGGTTGAGCGCGGTCTCGGACGAGAACCCGGCCTAGCAGGACGAGCACTTGTCGGTTTACTACGATATCTCGTCGTACTCTGGACGCCGTTCACAGCCCAATCTTCCAAAACCCATTCCGATAGCGGCTTTTTCGAATCTCCCGACTCATTCACAGAGTCACCTAGACCCGATTTGCGATCGCGCTTGACAAATGCCTTTTGTTGGAAGTAATTAGTTAGTATCATAACCAATTGCACTCTAGACAAACTTTGAAGGTAGCCCTAAGAACAATCGTGGCTATCAATAAAGGCTTACCTGGTTCATGGATAAGTTGTGGCGGATGCTATTCATCCAGCCACGCGCTTCTTCTTTCTCGCCCTTGTCAGAATTATCATTTCTGCCCTTTTCCGTGTTATCACGGAACCATTGGTACAACTGTTGTAGTGTCATGGAGTGTGTTGGAGTACTTAAGAAGGCTCTCCATATTAATTGCGCGTAGGGCTCCTCTACCTTCTTGCCCGTCGCGCTCGCGCATCCTTGTTTTGGTTTCTCTGGCTCACGCTCGGCTACCGCAGCTTGACTCTCTGAGCCAGCCAGCCCAGAGACAATGGCCGGCAACTCAGGCTGAGCCATGACATCCATGTTCATATCGGTACGCGGATAATTATGACTGTCATAGCTGGACTGTGGGAAGTATTGCTGACCGTATTGTGGCTGGGGATAGGAGGGATAATGGTAAGTTGGCATTTGAAAATGCTGGTCCTCCGGAGCGGACCAAGTACCCGGACTGGCTGCTGCTGAATGGGTCGAGTAGGGGCCAGCCCTACAAGAGGCACTCGCCGGCGAACCGTGGAAAGAATAACTATCCACGTCTTCTTCACAGGTCGTAGAGGGTGGGGTAGGCCATACACCCTGTGATGAAGAACTAGCCGAGTTTACTTGAGGGTAATGATAAGGTGCGATAGATGTGTTTATCGCACCGGGGAATAAGTTCGATGGTAAATGTTGCGACTGGGCGTGGTGGCCAATCTCAGCTAGTTGAGATGTTGGCGAGGGAATATAATAAGATTCAGTGGCCTTAGGAAGGTCCGCTGATCCGCCCGTTGCTTGCGTCGCGCCGTTTCGAATTGAGTTTGTACCCTCGTCGCTAGAAGGCGAGCTGTTGACGGGCAAGCCGCCAGGGAAGTTTTGCTGCATGCCGGGAGGTTAAGGTCTGCTAGCAGGTAGAGTCAGACCTGGAGCTGTGTCGTCCCAATGAGTCAAAATATGAATCAGAACTATTGGGGCAAGAGATAACAGCGCGTTATAAGTAACGCTTGAAGGTTGTCGCAAATGACGCGAACTTCAAGGAGGGGTGTAGAGTAAGAGTAAAGAAATATTGTAAGGAGAGAGAGTTGATGATGGTGGTGATGGTGATGGTGAGGGAGAATGATCAAGTCTAGATCTGTTAAGACCGGTTGTGAGTATATGATAGCTTGTTGTCAACTATCTTCACGAACTTATAGGAAGAAGAGCAAGTGTTCGATGGTAAGATGCTGGAGATGTAGTGTATGTATGTACATACGAAGTTGGTATGGTAGAGGTAATGGTAAAGTAAAGGTCAAGGTCAAGGTAAAGGTAAAGGTAAAGGTGAAGGTTGTGTTTAAAATGTATTGGGGATTGTAAAGAAGTAAAGGAAGGTGGTGAGGTAGTAAGGAAGCTTGGTAAGAATCTTGGTAAGAGGCTTGGGTTCTTACGAGCTTAGAGGTTAGAAGTTAGAAGTTAGAGAGACAGGGTATGTGCTATGAAAGTGATCTGGGGCTTGGGGCTTGTGCTCTCATCAACTTGAGATTAAGAATAATGGGGAAAGATCTGGACCCTGGCACTTACCTTGAGAGCTACAGAATAATTTAGTCGATCCTGGGTAGTGGCACCTGCCTGCTTCGATGTCGAGCTTGGACGTCAGGTTGAGAGGTGAAGTATTCAAGTAACTATGTATAGTTACCAATGTAAGTGGGCAAGTATTGTTGTATCTTGGGTGTATGCAGGCAAGGACATGGGTTTATAAAGTATGGCCCCAAGGTTGGTCGTATGGATCTTGGACGCAAATTATTAAATAGTAAAGAGCAGAGGGAGAAGTTTAAGAGAAAAATAGCCTCAGACATGAGACGCCTTGTCGAAATGGGAGAGAGTGTACGTACCAATGAGTATGTTGACAGGGAAGTCATGAGCTTGAGAGGTCCCAGTTAAGTTAGCCGGTAAGTATTGCACGGTATACCATGTGCAAAAAGCACTGATCGCTAGTGGGGCTAGAACTGTGCAAGTAAAAAAATTGTCGTCTCGTGTGCGGGTGTTATTAATAAAATAGCTCTTGCTCTTCTTGCTACTGCCATGTAATTAGTCGGGTTGGGGGTGAGGGAGTAACGACCTGAGGCAACCCTACTCGCACAGCGCGACTTCCCTATTAATGTATTATAGAAGAGGTAATTATAGATGTAAGTGGATGACAAGACTATTAGGCAAAAGACTAATAATTCTTGACGGCACTGTAAGATAGATTTGTTACCTCAACTGCCAACACATTAACCTACCTAGTAGTTGCCTCTTTCCTCTTTCCTCTTTTCCCCCTCAACTACTTAGTAACCTAAGTCTCTCCAAAATCTCTCTTGTAATTTTGGTGTTTAGTTTTTCGGGTTTCACAATGGCTTTCCTCTGTTTACCTTTTTTGTTTTTGCCTCTTTACGTATTATTTTTACCGTACGGTTTTAATTAAAACTTCTACACTTTTAAACTTCGTAACTTCAGAAACTCATATTTCTATTCGTCTTCAAAATACCCCCCCTTATTGGTACTATGTAGTTGTGTGTACATGTGTATATTATTTATATGTGTGTATGCGTCAGCACATGTAATGTGTGTGCGTGTGTGTGTGCGTAGGTACTCTGTATGTGTGCATACTTCTTGTAATATATGTAGCTTCATGCACGTAACTGCATGCCGCATGTTTCTCCTTGTGCAAACGAAGTCGCGTTTCGTGTGCCTATGGAAGGTGCCCTTTACAGCAGGGCTATCGGGCATTTGTTGCTTGTAAGAGGCATTAGTTAAAATGTCTACAGAAATGTCTTTAGATACAATAAATATCATGTTACATATTTATGACCCCCCCAGACCTCTGACAAAGTAGGCAGAGGAAAAATGTGGAAAAAAGAATTCAACTGCCACTTGACCTACAAATAAATTTACTCAATTTAATTAAGTGCTGAACAAGCCTATTATTTAGCGATGCAAGTCACCATGAAGCTACGGTGTGCCGCATAGGGGCGGGATTAGGGCACTCCTCCCGCCTCCGGTTACTTGCATCGTGAGTGGGCTTTTGGCAGATTCGCCAAATGTAACCAATCATTTCCTGAGTACAGTGCTCCGTTACGGGATCATCTATCGTAGCCTTACTAGATAGGACATGAAACTATCCAGATGAAGCGCCCCTGAGCATTTCCACCTCATGCATATTATCAACGTGTCTTCTAGAATTTCGATCGAAGCCTTCAATGTGCATGGGTCCCCGTAAGTTCCTAAATTCCTCGCGCCGACGACAATCAGAGACATTTACGTAGGGATGATCACGAAGAAATTCGAGTATAGGGCTTGAGTGTAGAGCTATTTCATTACAAGCACTTTCTCTCAGCAGATTGGTTTAAAATGAGGTGTACTCGGGGAGATATATGAGTTTTGCAGGATAAAGTAAAATGAATTGCCACTGCTATTAATGTGTCGTCAATGCTTCAAGTACTTTCTACTAGCCTTAGTCTTCTAGAAACTAGCTAGATCAGGGGGGTTAAGCACCTTTCCGAGAGTCGTGTCACCAGGTCAGGACAAGTCCTTGATTCTCCGCCGTACTTCCGCTAGGCAATAGCACCCTGTAAGCCACTCGTTGATGTCATTTCTAGTCAAATACCTGGCTGGCGTATCAAGAGGTCGAAAAGAATCTCTTGTGCGTAGGCCGGAGTTGGTACTTGATGAAGAAAAAGCGACGTCCCGTAGATGACAATTGACATATTTACTTCCGGTAATAAATCTAGTTGTAGTGTGTTAGTAGGTATTATCTCGTATTGTCAGTCATGGTAAATATGCTCACCTTTTTGAATTGGAAATGCAGTTGAAGAATTCCCTGTAAACACAGAAGTCAGCTAAGACATGTCCGAGAATAGTTCAGGAACAGGAGGGGTTCGAATTGCGCGCGAGTCCGGAACAGGAAGCCCAAAGACTACGGTCGACGTCTTTAAGACCGTAAAATAAGATTCAACAGTAAAGGCTATCGGTTTGCTGTTCCTGAATCGCGCACTTTCAAACGATCGGGTAATTCTTTGGCCACGTGGGATAGGTTCCGGGAACTACAAGTCTAAACCTAATATAAAAAAAGACAGGGAAAAGGGGGGAATTTGCATACCTTGTCAAAGCTGCTTTTGAAACCGCGATCCTTTTTGGCGCTATAATCCCATTCGCGATCAACAATGCGAAAAGCAATATCCTCGTATGGCGGTCCAGCAATGAATCGAATCAAGCAAGTATCTTCCTCTCCAGCGGGCGCAAATGATTCACCTCTTCTTCTTCCGTGCTCGCGAATGATCTTGAAAGTGGGTGCCTTCGTTTTGTCAATGAGATCAGGGTAGAAGATATTGAATTTGTATCCTTGAACCACCTTAGGGGGAGGATTATCGTGGTCGTAATGTGTCTGATTGTATTTGTTCCATTCGTAGCCCATTTGCACACGATTGAAGTACCGCGGTTTACGAGGCCGATATTTATCTGCCCATTGTGGTTGTATAGTACTCGAAACAGACTCTTCCGCGGTGAAGATCTCTTCGTTCTCACTCACTCCACGAGCAACTTCTCGCTCGTATAGGGCCTTCGTAGCCTGAGAGAAGTCTTCATTTCCACCAGTGGCAAACCTGGCAGTACCAGGAGGAGGTGCGCTAGTCGAGCTGCTGGCTAGGGCAACGGCAGTTGTATTTTGCTTCAGCTTAGAATTGGAAGTTGTTAAGGTATCCTTGGTATCGGAACGCGCAGGATTTGGAAGCGATTCGGATTCAGCAAGCGCCTTCGCCTTTTCTGGGTCCCGATCTTTCAGCAGCTTAACCCTGCTCTCTCTGATCGCCTCATAAATGTTCTTGAGTTTAGCTTTTGCCTTGAAGATCTGTAAACTCTTCAGCAGCTGTTCCCAATAATCTGTATCCATGACCTCGTCGGAACGCAGCTTGGCCTGTATCTGGCCCTCCAACTTCTCAAGCTGTTGTAGATTCTTGGGACCCAGTATCTTATCCACATCTGCAATGACTGAGCTAACTGCGCGTTGCTCAGGACCCATAGGCTTTAGTCGTTGTCTTCTATCTGCGCATATTGTCCGCAGCGCTTTCCAATAGTCCTTGTTTATCGCATTTGTCTCGAGAGTATGATATGGTGTGATCTCTGCTTCGAGCTCGTCAAGCTCTGCTTCCTTCAGCCTATCTATGACGGCGTCGGGTTGGGGTACATCAATATCGACATCGGCGTCGTCGTCGTCAAAAACATCCCGGTCGGTGTCAATGTATCGCAAGTTGAATGCTAAGAGATCGACAGGTTTCGCTCGTCCTTCCCGAACTCGGATATCGGCCTTCTTTTTGGCTTGCTTTAGAACGAACTTGTCTTCATCTGCGACAAACTGCCTGGACTGCTCATCTTGACTCAGCCAATCTTGCGAAGCAGAGGTCGTTGGTTTACTTTGTGTCGGTCGCGAGGGCTTCGTGATTCTGGAACTGGAATCTCGTCTAGGAGATGTGATGTCGCGGCGAGGGGGTGACTTACGGCCATATATCATAGCACGTCGCCCGGGATCCATCTTTCAGTTCTAATCTAGCCGATCGGCTGTTCGAGGGGGAAAATATGTAGTAGGCGATTCAAGATTGTTTTTGCATTGAGTATGTAAATCATGAGATGAACCGCGAAAGATAAGATTCCAAGATGACCAAAATCAAATGTGGAGTACTTAAAACGCAGTTCCACTTTTATGGACCCTGTGCTGATGACTCAAAGCCGTCTTAACTGAAACATGCTCACACTGTATATATTTTTCCTTTAGTGGCGAAACTCCCTAGACACGCTTGATCTGTAAGTAGAATTTAGCGGACAGATCACTATTAGATGTCGATTTTAGCCTAGGCGTTATACAGTATGAAATGATTGCCTATATAAATGCGCACGGTAAAAGAGACGTGGCTGTAAATTTTCGCGTACCTCAGAATCTCACCAATTTTCAACCGCCCATCTTCACGAGATACCCATATCCCCAGCCTAAGTTACTCTAGGTGATCAAGAAGATTAGGAGGCTATCAATTCAAATAAATAAGCTACTTTACACAATCCCCATACTCAAAAGCGATAAGTTTTCCGTTACTCAAAGCCATGGTCTCATGTGCCATGCCGGAATGAACTCTTTAAGACGTCTGTCCACCAAAGAATACAGACAAGAATGAGACGGGTCACGACCTATCAATAATTGATATAGGTATTTCTACACTTAGGTTTGCACAGCTTAAGCGTACCATCCTTGTGATGAATTTCATGGGTGTCGCGAATCCTACCTTAGCTCCATTGAGTCGCTTGAAATGAAGGTCTTGAGAAACATCCTCACCACTCAGCCCGATTATGCCCTCGGCTCTCGTCTTCACTTCAATGCATTCATCAACAATAGCGCATATGTTTTTTATCTAATTCATTGATGAATTCTCAGCCGAGTTCTTCCTTTATCGTGTTCGCGACTGTTTCAGCTGTCTGGCATACGAAGACAGAGAGGGTTATGTATCATTATCCACAGTGAACATTCCATACCAATATATCAATATTTACCAGCAGTCTTCTTACTACTATCTTCAGCTTCATAACATAGGCGTAACTTTGAGGTCCATCCTTGAAAAATGTGCTCCAGAGTTGAAGAAGTACGATAGGTCCTCGAAACCTGATGTCCAGTACAAAGCCCAACATGAAGTCCACACATTCGGATACCTAAGTACCTAGGTATAGAGTCACCATCCCTCCTACGCATTCAGGTACAGCACCCTTAACCCCAAAATCTCTTGTATTGTCCCAATAGCATATATACAAGCAGATGATATTCCATAGATGTCACAGATCTAAGTGAACCTAAGTTTCACGGTCTATCCCGTTCAAGACCAGATTTATACATATTCAAAGCACGTTCCCTACTCTCCTTATGAACCACAATCGGCTCCGGGTAGCCAGCCTTTTTCGCCTGTGACGCAGCACCCCTACCATACGGGTCGTGGATGGCTTTGCCCTTGATCTGGGCGAGCTCCGGAATCCACTTCCTGATATAATCTCCATCCGCGTCGAACTTCTCGCTTTGGAGCAGCGGGTTGAAGATCCGGAAGTACGGTTGAGGGTCTACGCCGACGGAGGCACTAAAACCCCAACCGCCATTATTAGATGCAAAGTCGCCGTCGATTAGATTCTCCATGAAGAACTTCTCTCCCATGCGCCAGTCGAGAAGCAGGTCCTTGCAAAGGAACGATGCAACGACCATTCGACACCGATTGTGCATCCACCCCATGTTTCGCAACTGTCTCATCGCGGCATCGACGATTGGGAAACCCGTTTTCCCATTGCACCATGCATCGAAATGCGCCGAGTTGTACGACCACTCTATGTTTGAATACTCAGGCTTGAACGGCTTATTCATACTGTGGTTGATTAGCATAAAATACCCATATCTACTGTACCCGAGGCTTACCAGACATAAGGCCAATGGACCAAGACGTGTTTGTAGAAGTCTCGCCAGGCAACTTCGCTTATCCAGGACTGAATCCCTTCCACACCAGCGTCCAGTTTCTTCGTCTTGTTCCTATCTCTTGCTGTCCGCACTGCTGTCCGAGCACTCAGCGTACCAGCTGCCAGGTGGACCGATATCGAAGACGTTGCTGCTTTGGAGGGGAAGTTACGATTCTTGCTATACTGGGCAATTTTCACTTCGCAGAATTTATCAAGCCTATCCATAGCTTCGTGTTCTCCAGCAGGCCAAGTGGCGTGGTATCTTTTCGCTTCTTCCTCAGGTAACCTTTTATTCTCTGGAGCTTCTGGTATTTCGCAGTCAAACAGCGCAGCCACTTTCTCTCTTGCAGCTGATGAATTCTTTGCCGGCGAGTCGAATTGACTAAGAAGCTCCTGGTTTGAGTGGATGTGTGCTACCCAGGCCCTGAACCACGGCGAATAAACAGCGTACTGCTTCCCAGCGCCTGTATGTAAGTTTCCTGGTGGGACGATGCATGAATCGTGGAAGGCATTCATGACCAACCCCTTTTCAGCACATAGTCTAACCATCTTTGCCTCCCTCCTTAGTTCGTCAACCTCGTACTCGATATTAGCATATAAATGGCTTGCACCCCATTCTTCCATAAAGTCCGTGATGCGCTCAGGTATATCCCTTCGCTTTCCAACGGTTTCCACATAGAGAGGGATGTCGAGGGCTTCGAGATCTTCTTTTAAAATTCGCAGTGTACGCATGACATAATCAACACGTATCGGAGCCGTCAAATGTGCCTCGAAATCTTCGGGGCTTACTATGTAAATACATATTAAAGGTACGTCAGCTTCTCGGGCCTTCTGGCTCGCTTCCCACAGTGCTCGGTTATCCGTCGTCCGCAAATCTGTCTTGAACCAATGTATTACAGCCTCCTTCACTTTTACGTTTCGGCGTTCAGATGCGGTTTCTTCCAACGCGGCTTCGAGTTGCTCAATAGGACGAGGAATCCCACTAGAACATTAGGGGTCAGCAATTCATCTACTTGAAGAGAGTTCTCATTGTTACATACTTATTGTTGTAGGCTTGAGCACGGTCATTGCTCATCTCATGAGGGTAATACTTGCGTAGAACAATTCCGTGCTCTTCAGCCTCGGCTGCAAAGTGATGAGGCTTATGTAAATGGCCCAGAGAACCATTTCCTAGCTTGGCTCTTTTCGTGGATGTTTCTTCGATCTCGTCATCGCTCGTAGCTTTCTGCTTTGTCGTTCTTTTCGGTGGCATTGCGAAGTGACGTTTTCCAAAGATTAACAATGAAACCGAGGAAATGCGCGCTCGATTGAAGATCGTAAAAGCAGAGAGGACAGGTCGGAGTGATTGTCTAGGACAGCGACTAAAGACAGGGGAAATCATGAATTGGGATAGAATGGGATAAAGAGAAAAAGAAGTAGAATGAAGAATTTACGGGAGATTCCCATTGTTTAGGTAGACAATTGCTTTTTCCTATTACACCTCGCTGATCCAGCTAGTTACCTAATCTACTAAACTCGATATGTCTTGCGTCATTGTGCCGTCGAGATCGATCTTAGTAAAGCTAATCGAATCAAAGTCCGGAACAGGAAAGGGGAAGGGAGATCCCTGGTAGCGGGGATCTTCAGCCCTATTCAGCCGCAAATGTGACCTAAGGAAGCCTAAATTAACGACAGTGGCCCACTTCACCACCTACAACAAACCACTACAGGGCCTAATAGCACTTAAAAAAGCATAATTTTCGAAATAATAGAAGAATAAGCTAACGGGGTTAATTTCAAACGACTACACGATGGATATATCCTCCCGTTTGAACTGTACTGTCTCAATCATTTGACCGACGACTGACAGACTCGGGATTCTCTCCACCGAATCGTATTTCCTCCGATGAATTCCCATAGCCTGGCTAGTCACCCCTTACACGTATCATAAGTATAGGGGGAATGCGTTAGTTACTCTCCCTTTTCATAACCCATCAGTCCATTTCCATCATCTCATCTCCATCCATCGTCTCTTCCTGGGCCAAATCCTTCTCAAATGCCACTCCAACGTCAGTCATGTTGATGTCGCCATCATCGGAGTGGCCGACCTCAGAAGCGGGAGCAGCGATGGTAGGGTTTGCAGTGACCTCTGGTTGATCGTCCTCCATAGCCTCCTCTTCCTCCTTATCTATCACCATCTCTTCCTCTTTCTCTACCATCATCTCCTTCTCCTCTTCGCTCTCGTCGTCCTCGTCGGACTCTGGCAATGCAAAGAACAGACGACCAACCCTCCACCAACCATCGTCGCCCACAACCTCCATAAAGACGACAATTCTCTTCGCCATAGCGCAATGCTCGTTGACTTCGGAAGGGGGACGCGGGTTCTTGTGCCAATCGCGACGAGACCTGGAGAGGACACAGCAGAGATGGATGAAGGGCATCTCCTTGATCTTCGATGCTCAAGGGATATATCGTCTGAGGGTCGTGAACACAGAGATCACTCCACCCCATCCCTCTCGGCACTTGATGATGTGCTTCTCGAGGGCGACGGTGAACATGTCGGCCATCGCTTTGTCGACTGCGTCTCGGTTCTGCTTGATTGATACATCGCGGGTTCTTTTGATAATGCCATTGCGCTCAAGCACCGAGCGAAGCTGGTGATCTCTTCGCTATCATCCAAGGAAGTCTCCTTCGGGGTAAATCATTCCCGCGCGAGGGAAATATCTCACAAGGCCGTTCACCGATGACTCCATTGTTTGTAGGAGAAGATATGCTGATGGATGGCGATGTAGTTGTAGTGTTAAGGAATTCGGTTTTGGATGACAACTATTGAGTATCGATAGAATTTCTTAAAGGAATTCTTTTTCGGATCGATGATGAATTTGGGTTAACCTACTGCTTGCAACAATGTGGCTGTTATGAAATTTTCGATCATGCGGTTTTTTATTCTTTTCATAATAGTAAGTATTAGAAGTTAGAACCCGATAACATAAACCTCAACACACGGATTGCCGGAATATGTTATGCTTCATGTTGCTAAATGATCATAATTTAATCACGCTCTCCACTCACCGACATATATTTCATCCGATCCTAGGCCCTGTATGTTAGTAGGGAAGCTTGGGTATATAACACGAACTAGTGGCCTCATCCACACTAAATTTATAATTATACCTCCCTACCCAGTCCAGTGAAAAGTCTTACAGCTCTACGCTGCTAGTAAGTTGGTGTGATCGGTGATGGGCACATATTACATCGTGTTCGAGTATTCGCGTAACGATTCTCTCAGATTCTCTAGACCAGTCGTATCTCGAGTAACAGCTAAGAGTAAGAAGCTCTCTTGTCGGCAGAATGTAGATACCTACCTGATATGAGACTAGATTAATGCCTGCCATCTTATCATTAAAGTAGTTCTTCCCCTTTATGTAGAATCGGTACTAAGTGGTACTAAGTATTCAAAATATCATTCGGTGCTAGAACCGTCTCGCAACCAACGACCTTAAGTAGGTAGTATAAAGGTTCTCAGGCTATTCCCCGACAACTTCCATGGCTAATAATACTAGTTCACAGTTACATTGTCATATGAAATGCCAGAACTCTAGATGTGGAATCACTTCACTTGTATTGGAAAGCATATTTACGAAAATGTAGAAACGAAAGGATGTTTGACCCGTATCTGTGCCATAATGAACATCTCGAGCATCACAGCTTTTTCAAGGCCAATATCAATCTTCGGCACGGAGGCTATCGCGGTAGCCCCAGAATCCTCGCCCATTGAATCACTCGAAGGTGGACGCGAGAAGACTTCGCCAGCCGGCATACGGGTCGGTCGCACATTACTGGGACATTCTAGTTTAAGTTGCGGAAGGGAATCAATCGTTCGTATTTTGTTCCGAAACGTAGAAGTTGCAGGTATTTTTAACCGGCTATATGCAGTATCAAAAGCAATCCCATGCCGACCATACTGTCATGAATTCCCCGTGAACACCAATCCCGATCTAGCACACGTCAGAGAAGGAACCAGAATCAGCCAGGTTGAATATAGACGACTCACCACCATGATGATTAAGGAATTTATCGGACAGCGCTCCAGACGCTCTTCAGAAGACCATCGCGCTGGGCCAAACGGTTCAGGGCATCGTCGCTCTCGCCCATCGCTCGTACGAATCCGCAGAGGGCATAGACGTGGTTCTCGCCCTGGATTTGTCGGCCGCTCTCGTCTACCTTGGCGATAGAGATCTGGACGGAAGCGTGGTCCTTGGCCTTGATGATGCGGTTGGTGGCGCTGCACTTGCGGGGGACGTAACTAGGCGAGAGAAGTTGGATTAGCAAAGCTTTGGGATATAAGAAGATGCAAAGAGAATAATTCTTACAGGTCCACAATCTCTCCCTTGTCGTTTTCCATCTTGGCAAATTTTCGACTTTGTCGTTTAGATTGTCTTCGTGGTGATGGTGGTGGTGGTTGAAGAGCCGCAAATGGGTGGACGTGTTTTGTGGATGAGGTGAAGTGAATTAAAATCGGCTTAGGAAATTTTGACCCCTCGGAAAGAGTAAAGAGAAAAATGTGGTTTGGTGGGCGTGGGGCGTGGGGCTTGTGCTCGGATATCTGTCACGTGTGACTAAGTCACATGCTTTCGAGTCCGTTTCGTGGCTGGCGGACGTTGAGAACATGGTCTTGGCACTAGGCTTGGTTGGATAAATCTGCCGATTACCGCCAATAGCCGCGCGACGCGAATTACGTTATCCAAAGATAAACATCATGGGTCGTCATTGACTATTCAACTTCTAGATTTTATTCTGTAAAAACCTACCGACTTGATACGAATATCCAGTACTGTGACAACTATCTCCAATCCTGTCGATCAACCATACCCTAGGTTGCGCTTGGCGCATACCAATTACCTTGCGACTCCGATTCGTCATGTCTACAGCCGACGTCTTCCTGTCATCTCCCGCAGGTCCTGCTCGATTTGATCCCTGCAACATGTCCTCCTCGCCCGGGTTGCCTTCTCTCGATGAAATATTTGCCAATGGTTCTAAAAGGCCGCCTTTCCGGGCTGAAAACAACGCAGCACCAATGCCCGTCAATGCCCGAACTACATTTACGAGTGCTGCAAGCCAATTGCGAGAAGCCCCTGAGATTGACATAGAAACAGAAGAAATTACTATCTCTCCACCGCGAGCGTCCGATCCTCGCAAAGCGCAGAAGAAGAAAGTTCTCACATCGGAAGTTGTTAGCATATCAACTGAGGCACCTATTTTAATCGAATCATCACCGGGGGAAAAACCGTGGCAGAAATTCGGGAGCAAGAAGCCTGTCTCTCAGGATAGGCAATCATCCACCTCAAAGGGCCGAGTTACAAAGTCAACCGCCAAAGGCAAGTCAAAGGAGAAATCGGAGACTGTTTCTAAGCACTTTGCTATTAAGGAGACTGTCGCGAATTGCACGGATGACAACTCGAATAATGGTACAACAACACACAAATTGAAGGATCAGACCTCAAATGACCCTTATTGCTTAGAGCCTGCACTAAGGCGACGAAGTGATTGGACACCACCTCCTGTCGATAGCCCCATTCTCCTCGGCTCTGAATCGGACAGTCGAGAATTACCTTCGTCTATTGATCCTGGGATGGGATCGAGGGATGTATTTCAATCCCTCCAAGATCAATATGGACACAAAACTTCTCAGTCGACCTCTACATCAGATAATTCACAGAAAACGGACATTATGAAGAAGCGGAAACTGATTGAGCTCGTCTCCACTAGTAGTGAGATTGGGCAACGTCCGAAAGAAACGTCTCCGACTAAGGTAGCTGTAACGAAAAAGAAGACGAGGACTATTACCGAACTAGCAACTGCCCCGTATATGATGCCGATTGAACCTAGATTAGATCTCACGGGGCCGACAACTAAAGAATCTTTACTCAGCTATTTTGACGAAGACGGCGCTGTCAAGGCTCTGGTCGAGCACCAAACCGCCGTCATGTCCCAAAAGAAGGAGAAGGGTAAAGAACCAAAAACATCCGCGAAACCAAAACGCAAGAAGAAAGCTGGCACAGCAAACAACCCGATCCTCTTATCTCCTAGCTCTGCGCTGAAGCAATCTTCTAACCAGGATTTCGTTTTTGGGACGTCCAGTCAGTTGGTTATAGAAGAATCGCCAACTACACTTAGAAACCTTCAATTAGCAATACAGGCCTCAAACAGGGTCGATTCTGATCCATTCGCCGAATCTGACAGTCAAGGACTTTGGCATGCGGGTGCAAGAGATACTGATGGCGAGCTAATGAAGATGGATGATATCGCGCTCATCGAGGACATACCTTCACCCCCACGACTTCGAGGACAATCGCAACAGCTTCGTGAAGAATTCACCGACATAAACGACATCCTCAAATCTCCAGAAATCAGCGATTCAACAAAATGGGCCCTACGGCGGAATATCAACTCCTTTCAATCTCAAGATATCCCTAGGGCCCAGCTCCCCCAAATCGATCATCAGGAGCATACAGAGTCGCAACCCACAGGCGAGGCATCTGAGGTTGAGGTATCCAATCCACGACCAAATTTTGAATCCCTTACCGACGCGCAGCTTTCCAAGCAAATAGCATCCTACGGGTTTAAGCCGGTAAAGAAGCGCCAAGCCATGATCGCGCTTCTAGACCAGTGCTGGAGTAGCAAAAGTTCCGGACCTTCGATACCTCAATCTAAATCGATATCTACGACAGCCACCACAGCAGCACCTAAGAAGAGGACGAAAAAGACCACTCAACCAGAACCGGAACCAGGCCCGGAACCAGAAAATCCGCCAAAGCGACGCGGTCGTCCGAGAAAGACTTCAACAACGGAAGCGTCCTCAACATCAAAGACCCCAGCGCCAAAACCCACCACACCAAAGAAAGCTCGCGGCCGTCCGAAGAAGGACGCCCCAAAACCAATAGAAATCGCAGACTCCGACGACGACGACCCCGCATCACCCTCGTCCTCGAGGCCGTCCTCACCCGACCAAGACCGCATCTTCTCCTCCCCACCCGCAGTCGACCTATCCCTCTCCGAAGACGCAGACCTGTCCCTCGCACTATCACCAACAGACCCAACGGACCAGCAAACCGAGCTATTCAAACACATCACACGAGCCGTGACGTCGGCGCCCAGGTCAAAAGACCCCGCTAATCCATCCTGGCACGAGAAGATGCTGCTATACGATCCGATCGTACTGGAGGACTTGGCGGCTTGGCTGAATGCGGGCGTGTTGAGCGAGGTCGGGTATGATGCTGAAGTGAGCCCCAGCGATGTCAAGAGGTGGTGCGAGTCGAAGAGTGTGATTTGTCTTTGGAAACAGAATTTGAGGGGGAAGGAGCGGAAGAGGTATTGAGTGGGGAGATTACATACATAGATGCTGCTTACCCCTGAAGAATATTTACCTAAATATTATATATTTGGGTCACTTTTGGGTCCACGTCAATAGTGAGTTGTTTATGATTAGAGGGTTAATTATTGACCTTGATAAAAAGCAACACTGGACTCGAGTTCTATGAATCACCTATTTAGGACATTCTACAAGGCCATGTCTTCAATGAATTTTTGATATGGAGTTTATTTCTATACACTGCGAAGCCAAAAGCATCACAGGTGAAGGAAAGTTAATATTCAATCTAGGATTCTGGGTATGCATAATCTAACATAGGAAAAACGGGAGTTATTCTACTTATCTAGGCATCTTCGATCTGTAGGTACGTTCTAAGCTTTCATGCGTATATGAACCAGGCTACGGGCAACAACTTGGCTTTCTTGCGAACATGGAATCCTAACATTCGCCAGATTAGCTACATATGAATGAGAGATTCATTTTCGTCGGAGCCTTTACGGGCGGGGGCAGCGAAGGTTCGGGGACAGACCTAACGTCATCTTCCATCGCAAAATCCAGGTCAGGGTCGCTGTCAATATCCATGTTAGCATCACGCAAATCATCCCGACGATATGTCAAATTTGGATTATATGATTCGCGCGTTGCAGCAGTTTGACCCTGGACAACATCTTGAGCGTCCCCAGGTTCTTCTACTATACGAAGCTCGCGCTCGAGCCGGCGCTGCTTCCACTTTCGCGATCGCTCAAGGGTTTTTTGCCAATGCATATAGCAAAAATCTTTACTTCGCGGACAAGTAGGCTGGTCGCAATGCAGACAGAGGCCCTTGGAATGTTTTAGTTCGCGTCTGTTATTATTCCTACGGCGTGCTTGCTCTCTGTGCCGCTTGCACATTACTCCGTTTTTGAGACTTAAATCCTTGCAGATTGAATAAGAGCATCGCTCAGGGATTTTTTCACGCAGACTTTTGTTTCGCTCTCCTTTAAGTTGAATAGCCATCTCTCGGTGTTTGGCACATCTTATTTGTTCTGGGACGGATGGTTCGTCGCAATATATGCATGTACCTTTTTGTTTACGAGCTGCTCGCACTTCTCGGGCTCTTTCCAAATGATCCGAACACAGTTTTTTACCTACCATATGCGGTTTATAACAACTGGGGGCACTGCATAGCTCCTCTATATGCGCCTTGCATTTCGTTATATTTCCAAAACGCGGCTCGTTACATTGACTATATAAGCATAGTCTGAGTTCCGTTTTGCGCGTGCGTTCCTCGGCCTCCTCAAGCTGGTTCATCAGATGATTAAGACACTTGGTCATGTTAGGAGCATTTGGTTCTTCGCAAGAGGTAACTTTACAAATATCAGCGCTTTTCGAAGCATGATATTGTCCGCTAGCCATGTCGAGATGATGGTGGCATTGTTTCCTATTTTCCGCGTGTGGATTACGACAGCCACGCTCGGAACATAACAAGTCGGATTCCATTATTGAGACGGACTCTAGTGGTGAATCCATCTTTTATGAATTGAGTTTTGGTTTCCTTTGTCGACCGTTTGAGAGTTATTTTGTGTGCTTGTGTCCGCCTATATATATTCATTAGCTATCTTTAGTTGTTTCCTTGAGTCTTTGTTCAAACAATGTCAATGTGTGTTAACTAGTCGATATTAATCAAATCTTCTGCTTTGATTCGGTTTTTCTCTATTTGATATGTTTCTCAATACTACTTATGTAGGCAGTTCAATATCTATATCTTGTATGTTTTTGTTGCATTTGCTTTTCTCATAATTAGGTAAGTAGATAAGAGGTAGATACTTGGTGGCGTTGTGTATGTACACCAAGTACCTATTACATAAGATTTAATTACGTCATGTAGGGGAAGATGCATGATGGGTGTGCAAATAGACAAGGATCCTTTGGTTCACATTCGCCGGACCTCGGCATTTTCGCATCCACATCTACGCGAATCTATCACCTTCCTCTCACCTTCAAGGTTCTTATGGCAACATACCTAGGTATGTTCGGATCAAGGCACAGATATGTCATTAGCACTATCATATAAATATATTTCGGCAACAAGGGATATTACAACCCTACAGACAAGATTTCTTCCCCCGAGAATAATTTTTCGATTATTAGGAAGTTGTCAATCAATCTCATATTACTCAATTCAAGCTGTTCAAAACACATTGGTGCAGGCGTGCAAAGAACCAAGGCTCGATAATATTCGGATTTTAAGCTGTAATAATCAAAATCCCGCAATGTCGAAGAGGACACATACACTGTCAAGTTCAACAAAGGATAAGAAACTCGACGCCCCACGACCAAGCGCGAGCATCGTTCTCCTGTCTCCTGAGAACCAAGTCTTACTACTACACAGAGTACAAACATCATCAGCATTTCCCTCAGCTCACGTCTTTCCAGGTGGCAATCTTTCCAATTTCCATGATGGAACAATTCCTGGCCCAGATGATGTCAAGCGACACGAAGACTCGCTCCCATATAGACTCGGCGCGATTCGAGAGACATTTGAAGAGAGCGGCATATTAATTGCTCGTGAGGGGGATGCAAATGGGAATCCTTTAAATCTTCCTAATGCTGAGCGAGATATTGCTCGTAAATCGATTTATAAGAATGAAGTCCGCTTTGTCGAATGGCTAAGGGGTGTTGGAGGAGTTGCAGATACAGGTATTAATTAATCATTAACAACCTTGGAACCATCACAGCTACTTTTCTGCATGGAGGAAACTGACGGTAGTGTGTAGATAATCTCCTCCCTTTCACTAGATGGATAACACCGACTAATCAACCCCGACGGTATACTACTCAGATGTATCTTTACATGCTCCCTCTATCTATCAGCGACGATCCGGCCGTATCGGCGGCGCAATCCGAGGCTATGATTCCGACGGCTGACGGCGGCGCTGAGATTACTGCTGCTCGTTTCGACTACGCAAGTACGTGGTTAGAAAAGCAGCGGAAGGGCGAGATTGTCCTATTCCCACCCCAATACTTCCTACTACATCTACTTTCGCAGTTCCTAAACAAACCGACTCTGGGATCGCTAAGCTCTTCTGAATTGACTGATTACTATCATTCTCAAAGGGAGAAGCTAGGAAGTTTTCTTGCAACGGTACCCACGGCTAGCGAGCCGAAGGCCGTGAAACATCACACTGCTCAGATTCCTTGGGCAGACAAAGTGATTAGCCCTAACATGTTGGGTGTGCGGAAAAGTGACAAAAGAGCCATATTAGGACTCGATAAGCCTGGTCCTGAATTGACAGGGACTGACCGGGGCGGTGACTGGGAGAGGGTGGTGTTAGTTAAATTTGCAAAGCACGTAGCGCGAGATGTCGAGGTTAGAAATAGGGAAGAAGTGCTCGCGGAAGAGAGGCAACCGGGTAATGGAGCTAAGGAGGCGAAATTATAAGTTCACCTCACCGAGTCATCATCGCGACCATTCAGGCTTTTTGACGTTGTAGTATCACGGGTCATGATTGGATATTCCGATCACCATGCAACCTCTGACACGAAAATACATACTAGGATACACATAGATACCCCCAAGACGTGGAAATCCGCACTTTTTCTACTACCAGTGCCACTTATGACTGCGATTATGCCTAACGACGAGCTATGAAGTAGAAAATGTATCATAAGCCCCAATACGGATGATTGCAGAGGCACGCTTCAATGACCACAGACTGCGCCACTTCAAAATCATACTCCAGTTGAAAGAACACAGGCTCAGCCCTCCAAATTTCCAAATAAATATAGAAGCTGAGAACCCGATTTGAGACGATTAATCTTGAGATTATCAGATATTACCGCGGGTTTTTTTTTCGTGATAGTGACCTTGAACTTCAACTTCCCGTCCCTATTGTCTGCACCGTATCCGATATCAATCCATACTGTACCGCCCGTAACCGCGCGCCCGACCCCCTCAATTCGCCCGATCCGTTTGTCGGAGCACTCACCATCGACTTAGGTAACAATAAAGCCAAGCCGTCAGCAACCCGATTCATTCCCGGGATCTTACAACCATGGCAACAAATTCACATCCGTATCACGTGCGAGTCGGCGTAGCGGTGTTAATCCGCAACTCGGAGGGGAAGTTCGTCTTCGGGAAGCGGAAGGGTAGCCACGGCGCCGGTACGTACCTCCTTCCTTCGTAAACCTGACACATCATTGCTTGTTCATATTAACAATGATGAAATAGGAACATGGCAATTCCCCGGCGGCCACCTAGAGATGGGCGAATCATTCTTCGCATGTGCGGAGCGGGAGACGCTCGAGGAGACGGGGTTGAAAGTTATTGCGGAAAAGGTATTCGCGGTGACGAACGACGTGTTTGACCAAGAGACGAAGCATTACATCACGGTATTCGTCACGTGTCGAAGGGTGAACGAGAATGATCAGCCAGAGGTACGTTTATCCCCTTCTAATCGAATGAGCCTGCAGTACAATTGTTTCATGGGTTGGTGGTCTAACAAAAACAGGTCTTGGAGCCGGAGAAATGCGAGAGTTGGAATTGGATAGGTTGGAACCAGATACGCCAGTGGTGCGAGCATCATGATGATGAGGTTACGCCGGAATGGGCGCAGAATAAGTGTTTCTTGCCTATCAGAGATCTGGTGAAGGAGAATCCACATATATAGCTATCCCCTGACATTTAATGGATGGGGCGATGTGGATAGATAATTATCCATGGTTAATTAAAGGCATTTGCATAGGTACCTAAACACTTTTTGCATCCTTCCAAGTATCTTATTTCCTGCATTTTACTGTGTCTGGGTGTTGGGTACGCGCCGAGTATCTGTGAGTTCTATTGGAAGACAATGAGTAGTACACGTATTCTGATTATAATCTACTCTCAATTTCCGCCAGCTCGGCCATCTGAGCTGCAATATTCTGCTTGGCCGCGTCTGTCGGCTCTATGTATGGTCGCCTCGGTTTCAACTTCTCAACCGCACCCTCGATACCCGCCGCCTTTGCTGTGTGGATTGCTGCCGCGTATTTCGTTGCAGCAATACCGGCCTTGCACGGTTGCTCCGCCAAGGCAGCCTTTTGATGCAGTGTTAAGGCCTCTTGGTATTTCCCTTCTTTATATAGCTTGTAAATGTGTGAGATGGTCTTGGGGAAGACATTCCCGAATGCGGCGATACATCCCGCCGAGCCGACGCTGAGACCGCCGATTAAGAAGTCGGACTGTCCTCCGAAGGTTGCGAAACGCTCCGATGGCAATTCTGCAGCAAGGCGCGTGATCTTGGCCACAGAACCACAGGTCAGTTTGACACCTACGATGTTGCTGTATGTGTTTGCAAGTTTCGAAATAGTCGCAGAGTCTAAATCGACACCGTTGCAAACGCCCGGGAAGTTGTACAGTACCACAGGAAGGGGGCTCTTGGTAGCAATGTCGGCGTAAAATTTGTCGATGACGGCTGGAGTTGTGGCTTTACCGAAATAACCTGGGGGCAGAACCAAAACGTAATTAGCGCCGGCCTCAGCAGCATCGGTGATGAACTCCAGGACCTGGCGTGTAGAATGACCGCCGGTACCTGCCATGATTGGGAATTCCGGCCCAACTGCTTTACGGGCAGTTTCGAGTAGTGTCTTCCGCTCTTCGCGAGTTAGAAGAAATGTTTCGGCATTGGTTCCTAAGATGACAAGCCCAGCAAGGCCGGACTTTGAGAGATAGGAGTAGTATGTTGCCTGAGACTCGACGTCTAAGCTGTCAGTCTCAGGGTTAAAAAAGGTGACGGCCGGAGCCCAGACGCCACTCGGAGGGACCTTAGGAAACGACATAATGATCTATGTTCTAGGTAGTATATCCCGTCTCTTGTTTAATAACCTCTAATTCTTCCTCTAGGTCCAATATGTGTAGTTAGACGAATGGGGTTGGTGGCATCTAGAATATACATAAGAAATCGGGTAGCCCCACGATATACCGCGTGGGGTCATGGATTGGGTAGTTTCGGTATATTAAAGCCGATGGAGGTATGTTGACCTTGGCGTTCCGCTCTCGGCATGAGGTATGAGGAAACCAATAGGAATAATGACTCCAAGTTCCCACTGTAACCCGCGACGATAATGCTTGCGCGCCTATAGTAGTCGTATTCCCTAAATCCTGGTGGACTTGGTCTGGCCATCCAAGAAGTGACACGATGAAAACAACAGATAGAAAGAGTTTCGGTTCACATAAATCACTCGACTTTGATGTTTCTGGCTTTCACAACCTTTGAATAATCTGTTGCTTTCCTATACTCTGCCAAAGATATTGACCTAGTAATATTGGCATTGATACTTGTTGAATTAGCCACCTAGCACTAGTTCTAGGTACTTAGCTCGGTGATCTCAGAACTGGATCAGACTATTCGATCATGATATGAACGACGCAAGGAAATTCATCCAGGTATGTCTAGAAGGACTAGAAGATATTGCTCGGATGCTATTATCGATGATCCTGCCATAAGGTACGGCTTTACTGCTTCATTCCAAAAGCTTGATGACGTTGGCTAATTGATGGTAAAAATAAGTTTAGAAAGCTGGAAAATGGAAAACCTTAAACTCAGCTTGATGAGGTAATCCGGCTCGGATAATAATCGGCACCCGACAAGCATAACAATCAAGCCCCACTTATGCTTGTGCACATTTCTTGCATACCAGATCAACCCCATATGCAGGCGCGAGTCATTCGCTCAATGTTCGCATCTCTTCGAACGCTGTACAATGTACATCTCACATCCTCAGTCTCTACCTCTATCTCCGCATCGCGTCAATGATTCTTTCTTATATGTGTCGCAGTAGAGTTTACTAGGAGAAGCGACGCGAAATTCACCTATGGGTTGATTTGAATTGTCATGGATTTCTCTTTGCGAGAATCATGAAGCTACTGACTTCGAGAGCTGCAGTGGCCAAGCGGCGCCATCGACGACATGTATAACCAACATAAGATTATGAGGAGGCTACTTGGCCGACAGAATGTCGACGCCCCGAACGATGGAAATCTCGGCGTCACCAGTTCTCCAGTCACCCAATCCTACCGACCTAGTGCCTCCCAAGATGCGCTATATCCCTCCGTCGTACCCATCGCTTGTCTCGATAGGTCTGCTGACGGTCAGACTGCTATTCTAGGTGGTCGTCACATCCTCAAGACTATTCATTTCGACGGGTTGCGCATAAAGGATGGAATCGATATACGTTCAGTCATTACCGCCCAGTTCGCGAATAAGACCAACGCCGCCAGTGTGGCATCAGACCAATTATCGATTAAAGACGTCAAGCTAGCTTCAAACCATGGCAATGACCTCACCGCCTTCACCGCATGCGCCAACGGAAAGATCTTCATGTACGATATAAGTCGCTTAGGGTTAGGGGCTGGACTTGAATTTATTCAAACTAGGGAAGATTCGCGACAGGTCAACACCCTCGATTTCAACCCTCACAGGGGAACATGGTTACTATCAGGAGGTCAGGATGGGACCGTGCGCTGTTTCGATGTGAAAGCTCCAATACCAGGACGAACTGGTCCAACATTCCGGACCTTCCAAGCTTTCCGCTGCAACGCCGATGGAATCAGTGACGTGAAATGGTCGCCCAAGGACGGCATGGTCTTTGCTTGTGCTACAGATTCAGGTGTTGTATTAAAATGGGATATCCGGAAGTCCGCCGCCCCCCTTTTAAAGATCAATGCCCATGATACTCAGAAAGGAGCATCCTCGATTTCGTGGCATGCTGATGGCGATCACTTGATCAGTGCTGGATTAGACAGCAAATGCTACGTCTGGGACTTGTCTAAGAATGCCGAGAAGAGGCAGAAGCCAAAGTATACAATCAATGCCCCGGCTCCTGTAACAACTGTCGCGTGGCGACCCGGCCTCTGGTCTGCCACCGCCCAGGGACGTCGAGCTGCCCAAGTCGCCGTCACATACGACGAAGGTGTGCACTTGAAAAAAAACGGTATCACGTCAGTACATGTTTGGGACCTAGCACGACCGACAATGCCATACAAGGAGATAGACATATTTGAGAATTCACCAAATACTCTACTCTGGCATGATCAGGACTTGCTGTGGACCGCCGGCCCTGATGGGTTTGCCCAGTGCGACGTCGCATTTGCCCCTAAGGTTATAGACCGCCAGCCACTTTCGAATGTGGCTTTCTCTGCTCGTGGAGAAGCGCTTATGTTCCTTGAAGAAAGGATACATGTGCCGCGACCGCGTCCAACGACCCTGGCACGTCAAGGGCTATCTACTTCGTCGTATAGTTCCAGTCCTACTGGCCAGATGCTCAGTATTAGTCGTAGCGACTCGGAAGAAGACGTGATCGGGAGTTTCCTTGGTACGAGACGTCGTCCAGCCGACAAGCGTCGAGCAACCACCAGACCAGCTAATTCTTTAAGTACAACACCCCCCTCCGGTACTGGTATAGAAGAACAAGTTATTCCTCTAGACCAAGCAATGAAAGTAACTGGTCCTTTTAGACCACATCAGGTCATGGCCATTGGTCAAATTCCCGCGGCTCCAAAATTACATTTATACCGTTATCTATCTAGACATTATCTAGAGATTCTCAAGCGTGATCTTCCATTTAATAAAGGGGCGAAGCCTTTAAATGAAAGAATAGCCGGGATCATCGAGCAGTATGCTCGAGCTTCTGAAAGCGTTAGCCAATTTCGGCTCGCACAGACGTGGCGCATATTATCTTATGCCATTGGCCTGCTCCTAATGCGAAGGTCTCAATACCATTTGGAGCAACGCTTAGTTCGTCGTGACAAGCCAACTTTAGTTATCGATAGGACCGCTCTCGACACCAAGTCGGCGTCCTCTAAAGCGGTCATAGTACCATACTTGGAAATTGATGGGGAGGAAACGCCGAGGAAGCCACCTTCCATGACATCCCTTGAGAATCGACAAACTCACGCGAAATCTTTACTTGCTGAAGAGATGGATAGTGAATCTAACGTGCCTACACCATTAGCTCGACCGGTCAAGGAAGATGCTAGCGATTATCACCCACATGCTAACGGGAGGACTCTAACTCCAGTCTTCGAGATCGGAAGCTTCAACTTACCACCTGGCGTACTCCCAGAACATTCCAGTCCGCGGAAACGACTTAACTCCACCGCCCTTTCGACGATCAGCCAAGAGAGCCAGAGATCAAGCACAGAAGGCTATGATTTCTACGATCTGGAAGCTGTTGTAAATATCCCAAAAGCGATTGACGTCCCAAGGAAGAGGGAACCGATAATTGACTACCGGGAATCAGGCTCTCCGAGTAGACGAAAACCTATAATTAGGCAGGATTCGGAAGAAAGCTATGGTCAACTATTCTCCATATCGGATACTAGTAGACAAACGTCTCTTCTTACCGGTTCATCTAGCGGAAGTGGTAATCAATTAGCTAGGAGGATGGAACTTAACAGAAGAGATTCAGGAGAGATAGAGACAGAATATGGGAGTCGGATTAGGGGTAGGCTGATTTTGGAATCCCCTGAGAATACTCCAAGATACCCTATCCGACAGCGAATTGAGCGACAGGATTCGGATACGTTAACGGACGAGTTGAAGATAACTCAGGCATCTACCGATACTATGGACAGTGACCCACTGGAACAAATCGACGAACACCCCTCCTTAGAATACTCGGCTCCAGAACTAGACCTACATCCAAAAACACCCCAGGAACAGTCTATCACAGACCAACCCGAAGATCACCTTTCACCAGATATTACAGAGACTGATTTTCTCCCCTGGGAAGAGGACCCTCCCTATCCACATCCGCTAACAAGCAAGGATAACGCAAGAATTCCTATCCCACCCATAAACCCCTACGATGTCCTCTCACGTGCTCTGTCCTTCGAGTCTAAACATTCCGCTCTCAACGCGTCCGCCATAATTCTTCTCCTCAAACCCCTTGTTCCAGACGATGTAATCGACTGCTACCAAGCGGCTGCCATCCTCCGCCAACACCACAGCCGGCTCATGGGTATGAAGCTATTCGTCGAAGCAGCCCTATTACGTAACCTATGCGTCCGCGGCTGGCCAGACGGCCTCGACCTCTGGGGCGACAATTACACGGCGGTATTCGCGCCAGCACAGAGCAGAGTTTCAGCCGCCTTCTCATGTTCGCAGTGCCATAAACCGCGCGAAATCGACAGATCAAAGGTCGACGGCCCCGGCATCTGGAAATGCGAGCGCTGCCGCGCCGTCATGGCTCCATGCGCCGTATGCGGACATCGGGACGCAACCGCAGACGCAGTCCCAATCCGAGAAGGCCTCGGAGCAGCACCAGCACCCGACGAACCAATCCTCTCATCATGGTGGTACTGTCCCGGCTGCTCCCACGGCGGCCACGCCAACTGTCTACAAGACTGGCACGCGCCTATCCCGTTAACCCCAAACACCGCCCCCATCTCTCCTATCTTCCCAATCGACGCCCCCTTCCCCGAAACCGAAAGCGACGGCTGCTGTCCCTTCGACGGCTGCGGCCACGCTTGTCTCCCCGGTAAATGGCGCAACGAGAGCAGCACCGCGCGAACAGAGGAACTTAACCGCGTTGTACGCGAACAGACTCGTGGGAGCGTGGCTAGTGCTGCGTCGGGGCTTAAACGCGGGGTTGGTGCGGGGAAGGAGAGGAATGGGAGTGTGGCTACTACGACTTCAACTTCTGCGACGCCTGTGACTGCGATTCGCGGCGACGCGATTGAGGTTCCGCAGAGTAAGGCTGTGGAAAGTGTTAGGGAAACGCTTTCTGCGCCGGATATTGGGGGTGCGGGGAGTGGCGGGAGTAATGGCGGGGGTGGCTTGCTTTCGAGTATTCTTAGCTCGAGTCCCGGACGCGCGGCTGCGGGTGTGGTTGTGGGAAGCGGGACGGAGAGGAGGAAGAGTGTTAAGTTTGCTGGGGCGCCTGGGGGTGGGGAGAGGCGGTGATGTCTGGGAGGGGGAGGGTGCGTATATAGGGGTTGAGAGTAGGTGAGCGAGTGATTGGGCGAGGTATTATCTATCCAGGGTTGGGGATTCGGAGTCTGCATTGTTACGGCGGCATTACATTGCATTATTATATCACGCTACGTTATTAGCATTACCTAGGTTGCATGGGGAACTGTGGTTTGTGTGTTGCTGTTGGTTTTATACCCAGGGGATGGATATCAGATGGCTGCGAGTACGAGCTCGTCTTGTCGTCTGGATAGGGGGAGGTGGCTTTAATGTTGTATGATTAATACTAGGTAGAAAGAAGGAAGCGGATGTGTAAGTGTGTATGTATGTAGGTCGGATGAGCTTAGCGAGGATTAATAAATGGACATTTACCTATGGATCTCGGTGTTTTCATTGCTGTCGTCGGTGAATACCTACGTATAACATCATACATTTAATATGTGTTCGTATAGCTAAGCTACCCGTAGCAGAATGAAGAGCTACAGCAGCATGTCTAGCCGCACATGATACATACACATACAGATTAAAACATTCAATAATTTCAATTATCATCCTCATCTAACTACCTTCGTATCCTCCTCTTCTCCTCTCCTGTCTAAGGGGTATCTCATTCGACTTACTTCCTATGTACTTACTACACACCACATATCTCCAAATATCCTCACCTCACCATCTCACCTCCACTTTAAGCATGCGCACCAACATTCTCCCTCAACCCCTTCGTGCGTAACGTAAGTTTCGTATCGCCCTCATCAAACGGGAGTCCTATATCCGCCGCACCCAGCAACCCCGACGAGCCATCAACAACACCGTTCCCGTTCCCATTTTCCCTAGTCCGACTTCCGCTTCTCCGCTCTTTACTCGCACTACGACCAACCCCAGGGCCAAAACTGACTCCAGGACTAAGCAAACCCCCAGCCCCAGCAACCTTCCCCATCAACGCATCCCTCTGCCTACCCCCCTGGGCCTCACTATCCGCGCTCCCCGGCCGACTCCGACTCCCCGCCGTACTTATACTCGCGCCATCATCCGCCACACCCCGCCCCTTCAACCGTCCCGCCCACAAGCCCCTAACCCCACCCCTCTTCCGCTCGGGGACCTCGTCGCGCCCCGCGCTGCAGACGTAGAGTAGGTACTTCAGGTTCGGGAGAGTGTGTCTAATATCCACGACCTTCAAGCCCGCCGACACGCAGAGGGCTTCGATATCCTTATTCAGTAGGAACCAGGCGTAATCGAAGCGATACTGGGACGTCGCGCCGCCTCTTAGGAAAAGGGGGAACTCGCGCTGCGAGTCAGGGAGTAGGGAGATGTCGTCGCGGATGCTGCTGCGCGAGCCGAACGGGGAGACGGGGTACGGCAGCGGGACGGAAAGGTAGAACTGCAGCGCGTAGGTGAGCTGCGCGACGTGGCCGAGCGCGGCGGATAGCGAGTCCTCGGTTGATGACGAGGAGGTGGGGTCGTAGTCCGTATTGGGGAGCGGGACGCCGCAGATGTGGAACGAGAGCGCGGCGCCGGACGGGCTAGGCGCAATCGGGAAGATGTGTGCTAAGTCCTCGCATATGCGACGCCGCTGGCCGTGGATCGTGTCCCGTGTGGACGTTAGTAGAGCCCGTGAGGCCGGGAGCATCGACTGCGCATGCTTGACGTCTTCGGCGGCTTTGGTCTGTGCGGTTCGGCCCTCTTGGATGGCGGTGCGGCGGGCCGCGATCGAGGCTTGGAGGTCCGCGCGCCGGGTTTGGGCGGCGCGGAGGGCGCGGGTCTGGGCGGTGACGTATTTCGAGGCCAGAGTGGCGGATTCTTGGGCTTGTGGGACGGTATCGGGGGGTGTGCGTTCGAGGATCGAGTTTATCTGGGCCGTTAAGGTTTCTCTGGTAGCTAAAGCATCTTGGATGGAGTTATCCAGGTTCGAGAGCTTCATCAGCGCGTTGTAAGAGGAGGTCGGTAAGGTCGGTGATTGTTTAGGTTCGGGTCGTTTGCTTGATAGTTCGAAAGAGTAAATGCCATCGATAAGGTGAAATACGAGACAATTCGGAGGGAGTTGATAGCTTCGTAAACTCCCGAGATAATTCAAAGATCGAAGATCGACATGTTCAGTCAGTAACAAGCTCCAGGAGAACTGTCTCTTAGCCCATATCTTGATTGTAAACTGGGACTTTCTCGTGATTGATGGACCAGCTTGAGATAGATCAAAGAAGCGGAAGTTGAAGTTGATAGCTCGCTCGCCCACTTCGCTGATATATACCGGATCTTCTTTCGTTCCCTCGCAATGCAGCGAGAAGAACACGTCGGCGGCTCTACCTTCGACGGTGTACTCTAGCTGCTTTTGGCGCGTGATAGGGTTCGCTCCAGCCAAGGTGGTGGTGCTACGGCGGGATGCATTTGTTTTCGTCGTGTGCAATAAGCTCTCTGAGGAATGGGCATGGTGAAGCAGATGTGGCGGCGATAGGTCATCGTGCAGAGCTTGGGATTTGGTAGAAGGGAGGTCGGCCTCGAGATCGTCGGCAGCTCTGCCGTGGGGTCGGGTAAAGCTCAGGTTTCGAAGGTAGATTCCTTGGAGATGCCTGAGACGTCTATTCTGTGGCAGCATTATGACGACTGGGATAATTGTAGTGTTTGTGCTGCTGCGTGGGCAGCCAGCGCACGGGGAAAGGTCATGAGTGGATAGATGAAGGTCGGAAGTTGGTTATTTGGCGATGACGAATTGGCGCCGCCGAACTATCGAGCTAAGGTAGATGATTATTGTGGGTACTCTTGTACGACATAACTAACCAGGTACGTACCGAAATGAGGTTAGTAATATCTTGTACTACCAAATACCTGCATATGTAGGTACGTAGTATCCAACGTACGAACCTACATCACATAAATTAATCTATTTTCGTTAAACTTCAACGTTTCAAGCGGTGTTTCTTTACTTCCAAAATTGGGGGCAACCGTTGTCGACATGTCTAGATTTCGAAGCAATTTCTTAATTGCGACGTATCTCCTAGGTTAGCAGCTTGCGGCAGCCGGGGATTACCAATACAACTTCACGCAGCCTGATGAAGTAAACCTAGGACACAAAAACCCTGTCGACCTAAATCGAGTATTTTCTCATGGTCCTCGGCTGTCCCAAACTACGGGTTATCGCCGCAGTACTTTGACATCTAGAGCGTAGTCAAAGAAGTTATTGCTGATCCTCCCTAGCAGCATGAGACGTGCTAAGCTACGGAGTTGAATATAACTTATTCCGAAAGTTTTCTAAAGTCTTCTGGCAAATTTTACTCAATGGCATACATTTCGATGAACTGGCCGCACCCGTGGGCTCCCCGGTTGAGCTCGCGTCCGACCTGTCTTCCCCTCGCTATAAAGCTACTTCTCCGCCAATTTCGTAAATATTGAAGAGACCAGAAAATACGAACATGCCTTGTAAGAGCCCGAAATATTTGACATCTATATTGGGTAGATTCAGATGACGATAGACTACGTCGCTGCCATTAGAAGATGGCTTGTCTCCGGTGAACAATACATGCCAGCATATGATCAACGACATGTATGGTTGCATTTTACGGCGTGGATGATAGGAAGGTTACAGCTCAGCCACTTAAAATAGCCAGACAAGGTCCTGGCATCCCCTTTCTCCCTCATCCATTCTCTAATTTTATAATTTTATTTCAAACGACGCGCTTAAACCCCTGGTGACAATAGGTAATGGCCGAGGCTCTTGGGATTGCATCCGGTGGTATCGCCATTGCACAGATTAGCGTCCAAGTTAGTCACATCGTATTCAAGCTCAAGCAGCTCTGGAACGAGGTGAAAAATGTTCCCGACGACATTGCCGACTTAATGGAGCAGATTGACTGCCTATCCCCAGTTTTATGGGAAGTTGAAAACAATTTCAGCCAAGGCGGTCTTCCATCAACTGTCTGGGATGGCTTGGCTTCTAAGCCAATCGCCCTTTATTGTCGTAAGGCTTTAAATGGCTTAACCAAGATGACCGACGAGTTGAATATTCAGATCAATAAGGCCAGGAAGGGTCGCAAGAAGATAGCAGCATTTAAAGTCCTGCTGAAAAAGGATTCTCTCGAGAGGCTAGAAAAGCGCCTCGAGAACTCAATCAGAATGTTAACTTTGGCCCAGCAGTCCTATCTCGTGTAAGTAATATTCCGAAGGGTCTTCAATTGGGTGAATCTAACCGTTCTTCAGTGCCCTCACACGGATGCAGCCCAACATAATCGTCGAAAGGTTTGCCGCTCTCACACTTAGAGGGCATCTAACGCAAACCTTGTCAAATCCTGTGCCTGAGACTGAGGGGCGGACGATCACGACACAACCCCAAAAACGTTCAGAAGAAACGGGCACAACTACCAAATCTCGTCGGCGGAGCTTTAAATATTCTGCCAAGCCAGGAATTTTCGGAAGAATCCTCGTAGATTCTTCTGCCTCAGACCATATTATTCTATTCCAAGCTCCGACGTGGCTTTCATTGCGATCATGGGAACTTCACAGTATCAAAGCGAACGGAAATTGGCAGTTCAACCTACGCTCCTATTCTGTTGTACCTCGCGAAAGTAGAATAGTATATTTGGCGATGTATGGAAGCCCGAAAGACATGCAAAAACTCTTTGATGCGGGATTGGCATCTCCATACGATCGGGACGAACACGGGACCACACTACTTCATGTGAGAAAACAGTTCAAATCTACCACGTGTAAATTACTAATATGTACAATGTTTGTTCTAGAGTGCTCATATTTTTGGCAATTTCAAAGTCGTTAGATATCTTGTGGACATTGGGTTGAGTCCCTGGGAGGGTGGTCATATTGAATCGTAAGTGCCAAGAGTGCATATCCTTCGACTAGACACCATTTCTAACATACCTATCTATCACATTTGCAGTTACCCAGCAGATCATACACTTACTCCTACTTCTGATAATAGTAAAGAGTATACCGATTTTGTACTGTCGGATAAGGAATCCGGTCAGCTATTTTTATTTTTCCCAGAAGTCGATAGGAAGACGAACGTATTGCATACGGAATGTACCTGTCACTACGGAACCTGTCACCTAGGACTATACAAAGCACTCCTTCCACATCAATGCCCATCACATAGAAATACCTCACTCGAATCACGGATCCGCGCAGCAACTCTGGGTCTGGCCTACCAAGGGTGCCGTCCTGAAGTAATTAAACTGATTCTTGAACCAGAATGGAGTTCCAACCCCCAAGCCATTCGTTACTTTACGCCTAATCTAATAATACTATCAGCTGCACATCGCCTATACCCGCCCTACAATATTGCGAGCACGCCAGACGTTTTCGAGTTTACAGTCGACCTAATCAAGCTTGCTCCAGATCTCCACATAACCTACTCGTCTCAACCTCGTCCTCAGTGGCTGCGGTCAACGAAAGATACTCCGTTAATGGTCATGATCGCTAGCTCTGTTAGTTATTATGCTTCTGATTCGAACAGTCGACGGATCGAACTTAACGGGCCCTTAAATCTTTGGCTTAAAGCGCTGAAACTTGCCGGCATCGATCTGAATACGTATGGTCACCGCGAACACGACATGTTCATTGACAACGACCATCATTTCATAGTCGAACAGAACCCGTCAAACGTACTACAATCTAGGCTGTTGTTTTATCTAATAGGGTTCAAGTTTGGTCCAGAGCCAGAAGATTGGGAGTTGTATTGGGCCGAACCTACCGACGAACTCGCGGGTGACTTTTGGGACTTGATCGAGAATCCGCCGCTGCATATTCCGGGGTCGTGGGTCGAATAATGTCTGACAATGACTCTTTGAGATAGAGGGTAAATTTGGCACAAGGAAGACAGGGTATACACTATTTGCAATTCGTTACTGTAGACTAAACGGCGTTAAATTTAGAAAGGAGGTAGAGTGCGGCTAGTAGAATTTACACTGTACACGCTGTATCTAAGCACTAAACCCTTGTAATTTGGTGCTATTCAGGGCTTACCCTTCAGCAATAGCTTAACAATGACTATTGATACAACTTATCTTATTTCGATTTTCTTCGGAAATGTTACAATTCAATTCAGACTCTAACACATCAACTGAATTTCTAGTGTACTAAGTAGTTATAAGCCTTTAAGCTGTTGCTAAGGTGTGGTTGAACTGTTGCTAGAAATAGTGGGACTAAGAGTCCTAGCACTGGCTATATTAGTGCTGGCTATACTAAAGTTCGCCTGACAGCCCCTAGGGGATGCTGTGCTTTAATTAGCAAAAAGACCAGGTATTGGCAAAACACTTTCCATTACGAGATTCTCCCTAAATATTAAGTACGGAAGTCTTAGCAAGTACTCTTCTATGTTAATCGTATAGAAGGTTTTCTATGGAAGTACTCTACTACACAATTACTGTTATTTTTGCTAAATGAAGCGCAGCACCCCTACGGGCTGCCAGGCGAACTTTAGTGATAGTTGCTCACTAAGACCGCCTATAATCTTAGCGATAAGTAGCGAAAAGCCTCCTCTTTTTGTGGGGGCTTTAGCGGAAGTTAAAGTCTAAGCTCCACTAATCGCGCCATATTTTCTAAGCCCTTATCGGATTGATTTAGCGGTTTAGCAGTTTCAGACATTTCGCGCATCGTAGAAAACGACGATAGTGATATTCTTACTATTGAATTTCCTATTATTGATGATATAAATTGGTTATCCAATGATTTTTATTGAACCGGGTATATTTCAGCCTTCCATGCTCATCAGAAAGCTCCATGGTGATTGGTGCTATAGCCTATGATACTACCTATCCCCAAGTCAACCCATCACCCAAGACAATCATCGATGGTCCTTCTCATCATGTGGGCTCGCGCGGCTTCTCTTGCGAACCTTGGGCGGTCTCGACTCCCTCGGGTTCGTCTCGGATCGGACTCGTCGCTTTAATATCGTGCTTCAGTTCTAACGTCTTAGCTAACTCATATCTTTACTACTAGATACACGCATAGAAGAGAAATTCTGTCGGGAAAAGGGGGGCGTACGTACGCTCTGCGCAGGTGTTCTGCCTGCTCTTCCGGGGATAAGTTGTCCTCCCATTCCGGGGATTGGATCATGCCAAGTAGTTCCTGCAGCTGCGCAGCTGCGGATGAACTTCCGCGGCCTGTTGACGGGGTGGGGTTTGGGCTTGAACTTAGGTGTAGGGACGATATTTCCCCGGACTGTAACTTCCCGTTGGCTTCCGCGGGGACGGGAGGTGTGCTTTCAAGGTCGAGATGGAGAGGTGAGTCGTTGATTTTGATGCCTAGGGCTATTTGCTCGTGGGCTTGTGGGTCGCGGCGGTATCTTGCTAGAGGCGACAGTCCATTTTCCAGTCTTGGAGGGTTATGTCCCTGTATTGCGACAAGAGAATCATGGCTAAGAGGAGGTGAGATCCCGTAGTGTCTTTCGGGTTGCGGTTGTTGAGAACTCAAGCTTAACCTTGGAAAGTCTTGTGGTGGTTCTGAAAAGTTGGGGATAGCGCGCGAATACCTATTGACCATGAACATTAGACGAACGCCAGCTCATTAGCTTGGACGAGTGCCGCAATGGGTAAGTCTCACAGCGCTTGCCCATCGTCACTCAGGCTTATGACGGTATCACCAGGGGAATAATCCCGAAAGCATCGATCACTGCCCACATCGATATGCTTACCTTCTCCGACACCCTTATACTCGATATCATCAAACTCGGCCATTCCCTCGTATTGTGTAATAAGCGATATATAACATGGAGATGTAGTTGAAACATAAGAACTCGAAAACAATCCGAGTCAACTTGGTTTCGTCCACCCTTTTAATATACCACGCGTCCGCGTAAGGTGATGAGGGGTAACCCTCATCCCGCAGTGCGGCTCAAAGGTCTTCGTAGCACGTACGTCGCCATAGAAGATTTTGAGCCGCAACAGCATGACCGCGACCCAACATACAAGGGGAGAGAAAAGATTTCGCTGGCCAAACGCCTCGTTACACCCCTTCCTTATGAAGAACCCAGAAATCTGGGCAGCAAGGTGGGCCATGTCCCGAGGGTGGCAGGCCAAAATAGGAAAAAGAAAGAGGAGCAAGGGACGGCACGAGGCAGGGGGAGCGAACCGTCCTATCGGTTGCTCGTCCCAGGTCGCACAACATGGGATATTTGACGCACGAACAGGGGTTCCTCACAGCCCAATGACAGCGCCGCGCTTCAGCAGGAACTGCTAGCGAACGTGGGGTGTGCGCGAGAGAACCAACCAGCTGGGACAGCAGACCCGCTCGCCGTCGACCCGGTGGTCTGGGTTCGCGCGGCCGCTCTGCTAGCACATCATCTTACGACTTTTGACGGGCGTCTTCCGCACGCTGCATCGATGGCAGGTGGTGTTGCAGCCGCTACAGATGACCCAAAGAGCGGTGACACCGCAGCGGCCTGTTATTAGACCGCGGTGTTTTAGCGAGGTGGGAAATCTCTCCCGCCTTCTTTCCTACCTTTTTTCTCACCATCTCGATGATACACCAGACTACCACCGCTGCCACGGGTGCCTACTCCATCTGTCCGGAGACTATGCAGAAATATGCGCGGTTGATAGAAGAGATGCATGAACAGGTTTCACACTTAAAATTAGGCAACTACCACAACATGATGTAGTAATAGCTTAATAATGATAGCCCTAATTAAATTGGTAATTTAACTAAGAAGAAACACTCTGCCTTATGATAATACTATGCTAGTAAGTTGTCCCAGGTGTACGGTAGCCGCAGAATAAGAGTCATCAGGAACAAGATGCGGTGTCGTGGCACACCCCAATGGACGAAGAAGAAACAAGCCCCTTTTCTTCCCGAATACCGGCAGCTGGGTAACTCTCGTCCCGGATCCATGGACCGGGGTAGTTATCTGCAGTGTGACATTGTTTCTACATATCTGCATGATGGCCTCGGCAGAGGGAGAATAATACGTGTACAGCAGGTTTTGGTACGAGTAAACACATGCCAGCAGACCAGGTATCTACATTTGGGGAAATTTGATATGTGATAGGTTAGGTATTTGAGTGTATGGTTAAGGAATAGGCGTTAAGCTATTAAAAGCCTTCGTATAGTCATGTATATTTCAGGAGAAAACTTATGTATGTATACGACAAAATACAACTTGTGGCTTACATGGGACGCGAATCTAAACCAAAAAAGCAAAAGAAGTAAAAAATCTGCAAAAACACTCTCTAGTGCTGTATGGCAAAGCAGGCTGCAGGTCTACCAGGGGTGGATAAACCGGCATTAGACCGTTGGTAGCCTTATGAACTCCCCTCCTCCTTACTCACCTACGATGAGATAAGTAATTTGTAAGTGCATTTCCAAGAATTTTCACCAAGTGACAGTATACTCTGGTTGCGATGTTTGACCGCCGGTATTTAGTATGCAACCAATGCCAACATTTCTCCAGGCCTCTCCTCTCCGAGCCAAAAATAGGATAAAATTAATCAGATATAGTCCTAGCTGTCGCATGCTTGTCCTAGAAGACAACCAACATGCATTAACCCCAGCCAAATTAGGAATCTACCGACTTCCTGGGTCGCCTGTCATCCGTGTCGACCTATATTATGGATAGTATACCTTTGTAGGTTACACCCAGACAACAATACGCCCACTTAGAATTGTTTCTGTGAGTTGTAGCGATATACGTTGTGTCTATTGCTTGAATGATGTACAACTTGTGCTTACCTAGGTCAGGTAGGTTTGCCCAAGGTTGACCACGCCGGTTGAACAAACAGGCTAATGATCTATGTGACTGACCCAGACAAGAAGAAATCTACTTGTCGTGATAGTTACTTCAGTAGTTCACTTAGGAGAGCAGTTCCCACATTAGATATGTAGATTTCAGCACAGACAATTACAAAAGTTCCTCAGCGACATAGCGACAACAACCTTGAAACAATCTGACATATAGGCAAGGATGTATGTACTATTGAATGTAGATTAAATAAACTCTACCCAGTAGTACCTAAGTATCTTGCCCTTTTCTACGCGGTTTCAGTTTCCTACCGAAGAGAGTACTGGGGATAGGGATTAGAGTTAAACTTAACCTACCTAGTACACCTCGATGCCCTGTGAGAAGAGATGTTTCCCCAGAAGAGAGTCAAACTTTATTATTAAGAGTAAACTATAAAAGCACCTCCCATGTTTACTCTACCCATAGATATCGTGAGATATCATTGAGAGACTAAAGATAGTCACTTCCAGGTTCTTAAAGGGCCCCACAACAAGAATTCTCTCTTCATACTAAGTACCTAGTTAGTTAATAGCCTCATGTTCAGTCCGGTCTTAATGAGCGTAGTTATCAATGACCCACTGCTGCACATCATATGGGGCTTGGGTTATTGATACCTACATTATCTGAATAGTTGGCTAACTATGTACCTACAATAGGTCTCTTTGGGTCGATGGCCCCATGACACAGAATTTTCAATAGATACCTACACATACAAACTGCCTACTTAAAGTTTCCATATGACGAGCTCCAAGAATGCGGCTAAATATGTACGTTGCTTGTAAACTTGGCGTGTGCTTTCCCAATGAATTACACAGAATGCATGATTATGAACATCCTCGTTGTTCCTTCCCTCAGAAATTCGAATCACAGGTTCGACTACCCCATGGATTTGAGGGGAAACTGGAGTACATTTAAAATATCAGGTTGGAGAGTTTGGTGGCTTTTTATAAGTGACATAACTTTCTCTCAACTTGTACTTCTATCCCAACTCCTGCTTATGAGTAAGGACTCTATTTACCTAATATAGTTTCTTTTCTAATCCTTAATCACACCCTGGTATAGCGACAATCCGTACATCCTACAGTCACTACAAGATTACATTGTAATCTTACGAACTAGAGAACCACAGAGTTCTTAGTCCCAGCGAAAGGTTTCATTCCTTGAAGTCTCTTTTTTATCCTGATTGGCCGACTGCCCTACTCATATAACCTACCTATTCACTTGCTCAACTTTCATTCTCCCAAACCGAGGTACACTAGGAATAACGAATTCTAATACACATTATCGAACTCTGTTTATAACCCGATGTTGTCTTAATGTAGCAAAGTAAGCTTCGACGAGAAGGCGAACAGAGGTGTTCAACTTGAGCTTCAGCCATAACTGCACAGTCAGATTGTGTGCATCTTCTACCTTCTCACAGACCGCCTTTAACCAATAACATCTAACGAACGACGACTTAGTCTTTGGAGTTATTGGCAGCCTTCAAAGTATAATGAATGATTCAGAACCCAAACTTCGATATAGAGTTTCCTTGGTAGGGAGATATCCGCAGACGGCTGTTATTCGTTCCTCTATATAAACACAAGTCAACTTCTGAAGCTCCTGGATGTTCTTAACTTTACTACTCAAGCGGACACACATCCAGCTAGAGATACTGTCAGATTCTCAACAGCTAAGTGCTACCCAGGTGCAAACCTAGTCACGCTTCAAAACTCATATTTTCTACCATCAACACTCCAGCTTTATTTAAATATTGCCAGTTCCTGATTCTTGGATAACTGGCTCTCAGCTTTCTGGTTACCAACTTCACCAAAGGCACCTCGGTTACCTAAGCCTGTGGTCCCCCACAAACCCCACCAGGGGATAATCGTCTTGAAGTCTTGGACTGTAAACTACCTAAGTTTACATAATTTCACCGGTCTTATCATACACAAATTCAAAAAACAGCACTCCGGTATCACTCTAGTGGTGATGGATCACCGGTCGCTGTTCGAGATAGAATTTGGTGATGGCCCCAAGCCCGCATGGTATATCCCTCCAAAGCCGTCCCAATGGCTTACAAGCCACGTTCGTCGGCGGGCAAACCTGACCGCTAGACGATGGGAGAAATTTCTCTTCACCCGCTGGTCTCTTGTGCAACTCTATAGCGAGCCTTGCTATGAGAAGATGGATGACCGCCTGATCGTCGCGGCCAACGATTGGCTGCGTGTGCTTCGGAAGCTCAATAACAAGGAGCTGCGAAGCGCCACCCACCAAGTCGACCTCTTTTGCGGGGCCTATGAATTCTCCAGGCTTTACACGATGGTTTACCACCTACATGAGGTCTTATATAAATATTCGCGTGGTGTGCCTCAAGTACGCCAAAACCCTGGACATCACCGCACGGTAGACTCTGGCATAGCGGAAAGCGACGTCACCCAGGCACGCCAAACCTTGGCTAGACTGCTGCTTATGGAATTCGGCACATGGATCGAGAATATTTCCCTAGGAGGTTGGCTTAATGCTTACCCACCGGCCGCGTTCTCCAACTTCGAGTTCGACCGTATCCGGGGAGTGGTGCGTTGGACCGAAAATCATGGGAATGAACTCCGATATGACGACATGGCTCTGGATATGATCTTTGGCCACTGGGGACCTTCTGAGGATGATTTAGAAAATGGCCATGGATATGAGCCTCGCTCTGTCTTCGCGTGGATATGTGGAGTCCCCGACGACGTGAGCTTGTCCTCTGATGGTGTTATGGGACGTAGGAAGATCGAGTTCACCGTCCAGGCCCCGGATATCAACAGCGACCTGAGCATCTTGATACAGCTCAGCTTCAGCCCCGATAATGACCTCATAAGTAGTCAGCACACTCTACCACGAGCTGGTGAGCCGACTAACCAGTCGGGCCCTCCCCAATTTCCGCCAGGACATTAGGACGCAGATGGGGAGGCAAAGCCCAGCCACGTGCAATCCTAAGTACTGATAGTCATCAGTACCTCCGCAGCTTTGAGGCTAGTTGCTGCGGGTTTCGTTTTTAGGGATCTCGGTAGAATCGATCCTGGATTTCGATATGGGTTGCTAAATGGGTGGATGGGTATTGGGGACCCCGTGATTTCTGGTTATACTCGGCAACGGCAATATGTTATGCTGTACTATAAGTAAGAGGTCATGGAACGCAATGTGTGGATTAGGCTGGGCAGTCTCGCCAGAATTTATAGAATCTGAGGGTTGGGGCACACTTTCACTCCAGGAGTGTAACCCCTCCCATAGATACTAGCGATGTATTCATATATGATTATTGCAATTCTTTTTGGTTGCGATTTTCTTGCATCGTGACACGTAGATGTGTAGTCTTGCTGTAAAAATCTACGTAGGTATCACAAAGTCCTAGATGTGTGGACATTAGTAAGGAATGCCACATGGTTTCAATACGCAACGCTGTGTAACGATGGGCTTGTGTCTCTCGATACCAGTCTCCGAGCAGGATCGCGGACGCGAATCCATCATGCGTGTCGTGTTGCACAAGACATCCCGTATTAGGTGACCGAGCTTCGTTGAGCTAAACGCTCAGCCCTGCGACGGTAAACCGAAATTACCTGGGGAACTCGGCCTTGCACAGACTTCTTAACGCTTTCTTGTACAGCGTTGGAGTTGGTACATTTTTCTCGGTAACTTATACTGGCTTTAGTAAGGCCGACGCTTTCAGTATCGACTAGCGCCGATCTAAGCTTAATCGCTAACAAACAGGGCGAGACAACGTGTGTGTTCGGCAGACGTTGAATGGTACACACAGCCACTTGGCTTTTTGATGTCTTGGCTAAGAATTATCCATAGCTGCATAGGTGGCATCACCATCACATTCCTAGGATTCTAGGCATTTGCCCTTGCATACGGAATGAAGCTTGTCTGCCTTGTCGATGTGATCCTGAGACATATGAGCGAATTAGGGCTGGTTAATTGATTTGAAATACAGCAAACGCAAACGCGCTAAAGGAGGCTTAAAGCTAGAAGCTTTAGAAGGATTCTAGAGACACGGGATCATTGCCTAGTAGGATGCCGCCGATGCCATCGATGGCGTCGATGACTTTGATGGACGGGTCGGGATATCGGGTCCTGTGTCTTTGCGATATGACGTATGTACATACTTGAATACCTAGACGTGTCATATCAATTTTGGAGGATTCAACGTCGATATTGTCGTCAAGAGTGTTCAAACAGAAAGTCGATAAGTCAGTCGGCTTTTTGGTATGATAAGGCTCGGGCCAAAAATTTGGACGTCTCTTGCCCAGTGCGTGATTAAATAAGCGGTTATCTCATACTGTATTTAGTTTAAGCTAAAGCCGAAACTTGGTAGTGATTTGTTCGCTAAATTCTAGTGGATAGTTGTTGTTATTCCAGGGGCTTAGCCACTAGAAATTCCACTGGAGGAAAATGCCACACGGTGACCTAGTACGGTAAAAGGATGTCATCTTAAGCTTTCTTGGCCGGTTAGGGAAGTGACTCTAGAGTCACGGGCGAGAGCGTGTAATCCTTGCTCAGGAGGTACATGCTACTTAACATACGTCGTGTTACAGCAATACGTCACCCCGCAAATGTCGTCCTATCCGTTAGGATGGATTGAGATCCTCTTAGGTTCCACCTCTTTCAAGGATTCCCCATTCACCTCTGGTTCTATCATTCTATGTTCCATTATACAGCACTGGAGCTGCTAGCTGCACGAGCAGAATGCCTTATCTTACTAGTACACGCAGCTGAAGTCCTCCAGTCAAAGCGACCTGAAGTTTAACCCCGACCGAGTCACCTCTCTTTGTATAAAGCTTAGAACACCGCTTACTTTCTGTACCTTCACATTTCGTTATTTAGTTTCAGAATTAGTGTGAAATAGCCCGTTTCTCGCTTGTCGTTTAAGAGATGCGACTTCTCTTTGCCCAATAGACTTCCCGGGTTACATGTCATCTACGGTCGCAGTCTTTATTATTAATAACTCTTCGCCTTTACTTTTAGCCTTCTTCATTATTGGTGTATTATAATCGCTTATTGTTCCTATACCTCAACCTACTTTAAACGAACCCTCTCACCCGGGGTTTCCTCTCACCCCGCCATGGCCGAAACGAAAGACGCCGCCAAATCGGACGGAAGTCTAGACCAAGTGCAAGAGAAGAATGATGAAGCGCCACCACAATACAGTGCGGGAAACGGCCAACCTCCACCTAATCAATTCCCGGTTGAAGCCGCCGATGACTTGAATTCTGCCTTCGAGTCTCTTAAATTATCATCTAAAACCGAGGAGGTCACCCCAGACACTTGTTTAGCACATCTCAAGCTGCTTGCCGCTTTTCAGGCCTTGAAAGAAGATGTTGGCTACACCGATGGCCTGTGGGGCCTCTACGACAGTCGTGTTCTCTCGGCAAACGATAAGAAGACCGGGGCTATCGAGAAGAACCTCAAGCTTGAAGATGAGACTGGTAAGCGCTTGGCTGCAGTGCGAGAGAAACGATGGGGCATTTTTGTCGCGAGAGCCGTCGATCGTTACGAGGTGTGGTGGAGTAAGCTCTCAAAGAGCCATTTGACCGAGGCCGATATGGATAAGGATACAGGTAGATATAATGGGTTTACAACCGAGGGCACTCGCCTTCCGTGGGCAGAGAACATCCTGCCACCTTTGGGTACGTCTTGTCATATTATCCACCCAAGACTCCATACTAACGCAACCAGATGTCTTGATGGTTTGGCATGCTCACATGCTCAATCCCAGGGCTTATCTTGAAGATTGTCTTCTACACTGTCTGGGCGGGCTGTGGACAGCCGGTATGCCCTGGAAGCTTATTAACAAAGCAATCGATACGAGCTTCAACTACAACGTTTCTAAAGATTGCAAAAAGGCGTGGGAGCACATCATAGGCCTTAAGTGGGACAACGTGGATGACCCACTTGTTAAAACTCTCAAATGTCCGACTTGTTCGACGATCCACGAGATCCCGTGGACCACGTGCAATCTGCCTGAATCTTACGACGGCTCCGATCCCGGTCTACTCGGAGAAGGTTATGGAGATGGCAATTTTACACTCGTGTGTTCTTGCCGTAAGACTCTTACACGGGAATTTCTCGAGGTCGCCAAGTTTGTGAAAGACGTCAAACAACTTCTTTCTCACGGTCGACCTATGCCTGGCACAATACTAGATTATGATACGGGGCTACCAAAAACAACTCCAAAAACCCCCACACTGAATGACCGGTTCGAGCGCACGTTTCCAAATAGGCTGATCAAGAAACATTTGCGCAGCAAGTTGCTAGAATTGATTGATCCCAAAACTTTACCAACGCGGTCGATGAATAATGTCCGCGTACTCATCGAAAATGCAATCCAAGACGATGCAGCCATGAGGGAAGTTGAGAACATCGTGGCGTTTCGCGATTCATTAAAGAGTTACCGGCTGGGGACAAACGCCCGTAGGCACACAAGAAAAATGATGTCGCGTTACTGGGGAAACTCCTCGCCTTTCGCGCTCGAGCTCGGCGGTGCGGTTATGCGCCAAGGAATATTTGTAGAAAAAATGAACAAGGTACGCCATTTTTTACCTTGAACCTTTATTACATGGTATGTACATGACTAACATTCTCTACAGATTGATTGGCTTCATAGTCCGGCGGCTCGGGACACGATGGCGCGCCTAATACAGAAATATGAGCGCTTCGTAAAGCTTATGTTGTTTCACCCACACCAAATCGTTGTTCCAACTCTAGATGTTGACTTGGCTTGGCATACTCACCAACTTAGTCCTTTCATATACACTCAATTTATGTTAAGGAAGACTCGCAAACTAGTCGACCACGACGACAAAATCGACGAGGCCAAGCTATCTACGGCATTCGAGTGGACGAGCAAAACATACCAAGAGGTCTTCGGTGAGATCTACTCGGAATGCACTTGCTGGTACTGCGAATCCATCCGCATCTCGCACGTTTCGACCGTGGGAAGCATCCTCAAAGTATCCAAAAACGAGAAGAGTACGCCCCCTTTAACCCACAGTATATTGAAACAATACTAACGAGCCCGCAGTCTCCGAATCCTTCTACTCATCCGGCCGCGCCTCCCTCTGCCCCCCGGACAACAGCGCCCACATCTCCGCACACAACAGCGTGCGCTTCAAAAACGTCGACGACCACCGCGACGCCATAAACCGGCGCATACACGTCGCACACCAGGCACACCTCGACCGGAACTACGAGCGCGCACAGAAACGCGCGAAGAGAAAGGGGAGAGAGTTGCCCCCTAGAGACGAGTATTATTACAGCTACTGGGGGTATCCTTACATGCTGTACGGTCCTTACGTGTATCCTCTTTACTTCACGCCTGCGTGTTATCCGTTCGGAGACCCGGGTGTCGCGATGGCGGGACAGGGGTCTCAGGGTGCGTGTGCTGCGGGGGCTTGTGGACAGGGTGGTGGTGGGTGTGGCGGGAGTGGGGGATGTGGTGGTTCTGGAGCTGGTGCTGCAGTGAGTATTTGATACCTATCTACCTACCTATTGCTTTTAGATCGGGGATCGGGGGTTAGGGAGAGAGCGGTGCTAATGCCGTGCTACAGTGCGGTGCCTCCGGGCCAGCTTGTGGTGGGGGAATCGGAGGTGGGTGTGGAGGGGGTGGAGGAGGAGGTGGTGGTTGTGGCGGTGGCGGTGGCGGAGGGGTAAGTTTGATTCTCTTCTTTTCTTAATTTCGTAATTACCTATGGTTGAGTTTTATGACTGACATCCATATCACAGTGCGGAGGCGGTGGCGGCGGTTAGGATCGCTGGCTGATGTAATTCTCGCTGTGGGCTTTGGCTCGAGGACTGGTTGCTTGGAGTAGATGATGGGAGGTGTTGGGGTTGCGATTGTTGGTATTGATACAGGTTAGAATCGTTATTGGTATAAGTATGTGTTAGAATTGGTATTGGCATTGGTATTAGTTACGTATAGGTAGGTATTAAGTTGGGTGTTGAGTGGGTGTTTGGTTGGTGTTCTTGGGAATGAATTAGAGTATACAGAAGAGCAAGAAGACAGAAATAATACCCCATTTCGTTTCGATTTCCTACTAGTGCTGGCTACACTAAAGTTCGCCTGGCACCCCCTAGGGGGTGCTACGCTTTAATTAGCAAAAAGACCAGGTATTAGCAAAATACTTTCTATTACGAGATATTCTCTCTTAATCTTAAGTACCTACTTTATTAACATGGGAGTCTTGGCAAATATTCTTATATGTAAATCGTATAGAAAGTTTTCTATAAAGGTACATTGCTAATTACTGGTATTTTCGCTAATTAAAGCGCAGCACCCCTAGGGGTGCCAGGCGAACTTTAGTGTAGCCAGCATTAGTACGGCCTTGTTTGACTTTTAGAATATTATGTCATTTTGCCTGAAAGTACTAGGTGGTGTAATCCAGGGGTTATCGGTTTGTACACAGGTACATCCATCAATCACGTTCCTTGCCCAGTGCACAATCAGTGGATTACCAGCTACAAATTCCAAGCCCTAGACCTAGAGCTAGAGCCTTACAAGTACCAAAGTTCCGAACCGCCCAGGGACCTCCATCGCTAAAAGAAAACACCAATTCAATTGAAGAAAGCCTCCTCTGTTAAAATTCCTTCCACCCGATACCATCTTAATTCGTCAGTACATATTTTATACAGCGGTAAGGTTTTCGATTCATTGCGCCCAGCCATTCTATTATTCTTCTTGCTAGAGTGAAGGGGGTACCTTCCAGCGTCATTGAAATCACGGCAAATGTAGCCCTGTTTTTTATCTCTGTTATCCTTAGGCGAGATGGAAACCCAATCCTCCCAAGCTCGAGCCTCAAGTCCGACTAAAGCCGGCCCGTGGACACTCTCAACTCTCATGAAGATGTGACCACCAGCGATAGCTGTCGTGACGAGCGGTGGTACATCAATCGAGAACCCATCTTCGGATTTATTTTCGAAAAGGCTGTGGAAGGGACCGCGCTTCTTCAGGAACATACTCGACTCATACCGTAGTAGAATGGCTAGCAACACCTGCGGATCGATCATAGTAACTGCTTGTACCTCTGAAATAGACCGGCACACGACGCGGCCTCCAAGAAAATCGCGCCATGGCCAATTTTCCACCCGTGTTGACTTGCAGTAAACCATGATGAAACCCGCAGCTGTCCAGATCAGTACCGAAAGATTCGAAGGGTCAACCCCAGCGATCTTGCCTTGTATCGCTATAAGTGCTAGACCACCAGCGATTAAGGCTCCAACGAACCCTAGGACAACCCAAGAATACCAGAGGCTAGAGATTATTATAGACCGCTCGTCAATAATCCAAGTTTCCACTTGTTCCATTGCCTTCTCAAAGATGGCATAGGTGTTTTCTTGAGGACTCTTTTCTGTCGTATTTTCATCCCTACCACCTACTACACTAGCACGCGCTCCTTCTTGTGCCATACTAGTGTCAAAAACGCCCTTTACCTTGAGAGACTCTAGTCTCTTCGGTTTGTACTGGGAAGTTTGAAACCTAGCGGCGGCTAGAAGGTTTGGTGGCCTATAGTATCTTACCGGTTTGGCAGGGTCGGATATCAGAAGAATCAATTTTGCCAGAACCGATAGTTGAGTGGAAACAGGCCCACAGAATATGATGTATGGCACAAGCGCCGTAATCACATCCTTCATTTCTTTGAAGTCCTTTGAATCCGATGTATCTCTGATAGCAACGCCATTTCCGCTTAGCCACGTACAATTCCAGCTCAAGGACGTCGTGTATGGCTTTCCAGGCTTTCCAGATCCCTTATCTGACTCGAGAAGCGTCCAGATCTCCTGGCAAACTTCGAATGCTGCGCTAGCACAGCGGATAACATTTCTTTCAACTGCAGTCCCAATGCAACCGTCTCTCATCTGACATAGTTGTGTCCTAACCCCACGAAAGCCTGTATCGTAAATGATAGCGCTTGTTTCGAACGCATCGGCTGCCTGCCCAAAGTCTTCATTCCATTTCAAGTCGACGGTGATGGAATAAAACATGGAACATATATTCCTACGAAACGTACTCATCATCTTGAAATATCTTGTCCCTGCAGTCTTTGGGTCGGTCTTCAGAGCGCTCTGCTGCTTAGCGTACGGATCACCATCATCTTTATCGTTGAGTGAGTAGGTGACAGGCTGAGTACGCGCAATTTGATCCATCCTTATTCTAAAGTCTGTTCGTGCCCCAATAGTCTTAGACACAGACTGAGGAAGGTCAGCCCCGACAACTTTGATTTTGGCTGCAAATTTTGCGATCGTGTCCAGGCAGTTATCGACCCAGAACGCCCCATCCATAGTCCTTAGAAGCAGACGTGCTAGTGTTGCGGTGATATAATTAATCATTGCATGGTATATTTCGTCGTGGTGCTCCTTTAGCTTAATATTTATATCATATCGCACGGTGCCTTCATCGGGGTCGAATAAGGTGACTAGCTTTCGATGGGACTCAGAATAAACTTCTAATGATGCTACAGAGGGCGAATGTTCGAGCAAAATGAGTTGATTATCATGTATGTAGATGTCAATGGCGGATTGGAATACAAGGGTAAAGATATGGAGAAGGTTGTAACCATCGCTGTCAGGAGCTCCGTACCATTCTGAAGGACCCTCCAACAACGGCGGATTCACGGATTTCACCGCGCTGACAAGTCGATTCACCTCTAGTTTCCATAACTTGAGCTCTTGAGCCTCTGAAACACCGTATCTAGTCAAATCATCAAACTTCGGAAGATCTTTCATTTCGTACCCTTCATTGACTTTGAAATTATGATGGGAATTGAGAATATCGTAAACGCGTTCTTCGTCAACATCTAGATGCTTGAGGGAGAAATCCCCGATTTCGATATCGCTGTCATAGGGACGGGCAGAAGTGAAGCGAGTATCTAAACGGGGAGACAACAGAGGCCCAGCTCTAGTGCGACGGGGTCTTTTTGGCCCTGGTTTGTTAGGGGAAGAGGAGAATTCCATACTGGCAGAAAGTGCTAGACCTTAACCTAATTCAAGAACAGAACAAAACTTGACACCATGAAAACGAAACTTCGACTACAATCGAGGCTGGCAACTTAATACTCATCCTTAAGGCATTGGAAAATTTTCGATTTTGGTGCCCAAGATAGGAGGTACCTAACGTACCTGAACCATGGTACCCGAATATGTACCTCCTACGTAAATTGTTACCTCAGGAGTAATTGGGTAATCCTAGATTATGTCAGCCTCCCTAGATTAGGTAATACAGCTGAGTTCAGGCACCTGCATATATTCAGCTCGCTAATACGACGGTGATTTACTCGCTTCCTTGTAGGTGTCTAGATATGTACCTAGGTAAACACCATTAAGCACCCGTAGATACCATCCAGAATGCAAGATATTTGGCGCCCACTTACTGTGCGACAACTGTTTCAACCCAATGCTGAGAGGTAACGAATCATACATACAGACGACATGGTAACTGGTTACGTACCTACCTAGTAGTTAATATGTGATAAATTTTTCGATCACATTCTCCCCTCTTCTTCATCCAAGATTCCTTCACGACGTTTATATAATGCCAAGCCCAAATGATTGAAAATCCCAACCTCTATTGAAACAAATACGTATATTCTGGTATTCAGTCAGTTAAAATTATGATGACGGTTCCAATGAACTTTGATGCTTACAAGGCTGCATTATCAGGGGATGAGGGACAAGACAAAGCGGATACAGGTGTTGAGAAAGACCATAGCATTCGGACATATAATTCCAAATTCGAAGAGATCAAAGAAATTCGACAGGATGGCGAAATTACCACGGTTATTCGATCTCTAAACCAGTATAAGCAGAATGCTGCGAATCAACGGCGGTTCGGAAAATTCTCTCTACTCCTCCACCGCATAGTTAGCAATAACAATACACAAAATCCTATCTTGCAGCTCGAAATCCAATCTGATATCTTACGCAACGAGTTCCGCCGGCTCGCATCACATTTCACAAGCATCAATCTCTATAAGAATCCAATCGTCATACATGAACCGTTTCGGGAGATATATCACTGCAAGGATCAAATCCAAGATGCATTACATAAGGCTTCAACGGAAACACGTCAAGAGCTCCAACTCTTGGTTGATTTCCAGATCTGGTACATGTCCCACACTATTGAGACGATAAGGTCGTTTATAGAGAGCAGGACTATCGACTTTGAATGGCTCTGGAGTTTATTCAAACCTGGCTCACATATCATTATTCAAGAGGCCAGATCATCATACGCACCGATAGAATGGTGTACTGTTTTGAAGTCATACGATACTAGTGTCCAAGACGGCACTGGGCGATGGTCAATCTGTGTGACACACACAGGTTTCAATGGGGAAACTTTTGGAAATGTTGAGTCCACCTTCACATTCCCTTCGTTTTCTGGTACTCTCCCCATCTCGCAACTACCTGCCTATCCATTACAGTTCCACAAAAGTCAGGAAAGTCTCAAGGATATGATAGTCGATCGAGGGAAAATGTATCAGCAATACTGCATCGCTAGTAGGAAAGGATTACAATCGCCAATTGGAAGCTCGATGGCATATGAGGGTCCTTTTTGGAAAGTTTCCACCGAGGATGACGACCCCCGGGGCTTTCAGATGATCAAATCCCCTTCATATAATGTAAGTTAAGGCGTTATTGGCTCTCGGTACTAGTATCAATCTGACCATAAAAGACACAAGGCAGAGTCGTTGTTGATGTTGATGGTTTCTTCAACTGCTATCCCCGATTCAGGGACACTCTAATTACGGAATCAAACGAAAATGACATAAGTAATGATGCAAATGATTCTATCGATTCCGCTACTCTAATACAGGAATCCTTATCCACAGAACAACTGTTGACCTGTTCACCGTTCGTCCCGGTATTCTCTTTTACGACTCATGAATGGGGTCTTGTTCCTATAAATGGTTTAGACAACATCATTTGGGATACTGTTGTCTATGATAAGCTCGAAGTAAAGGAGGATGTGAAAAACATATTGCGCGTCCTTGTTAATGGGCATTCCAACCACTCACCTAATTTTGATGATTTCGTCCAGGGGAAAGGGCGTGGGTTGGTCCTCCTTCTTCATGGGCCCCCGGGTTGTGGAAAGACTATGACAGCCGGTAATATATCTATGCCCCCTGTCAACCGCACTATCACTGTTGATTCTAGTAACATATATGCTAATAGTACCTATGTATCATATAGAAAGCATCGCCGAATCACTCAAGAAGTTACTCTATAGAGTGAGTAGCGATAAACTTGGTACATCAATTCACGAAATGCATAGACGATTAGAGTCAACATTTGACTTGGCTGCCCGCTGGGGCGCAATCTTACTTCTCGATGAGGTTGATGCTTTCCTAGCGCAGCGCCATGGTGAGATCGCTGAGAAAAATTCTTTACTCCCAGGTCAGACATCCATAGACTTTTGTGCTCAATCCCTTATCACTTAACATACCTCCATTTTGCTAATTATACTTTCTTGAAGTATTCTTACGGCTTTTGGAATATCAGACTGGGGTCTTGTTCCTAACAACCAATCGAGTCATGGACATTGACAGCTCCTTACACTCCCGAATTCACATATCTATTTCATACGAGGAGCTCACATATAAACAAAGGGGGTCAATATGGGCAAATCTCGCGAACGAAAGGTGTGGATGCGTTCTTTCTGATAAGCAAGTATTGCTACTCAGTCAACTACCTTTGGATGGTAGGGCGATTAAGAATATCCTGAGACTTGCCTCCTTGCACTCTACTACACACAGTGAGAATGGATATAATACTCAGTTCTCTGATATAAAAGCGGTATTGCCCTTTGCTATTAGAGATATCGGCGATGAGAGTACAGGGGTGGGCCAACAAAGCAAATTGTCGTATGAGTTAAGTCGGTTTGTCGAGGAAGCTAGCAGACTAGATGAGTAGTAGACTCCCCTAGGACGACATATAATTGAAAGTCAATTTCATCATAAATCGAAGGTTATTATCAAAATAAGCGCTTATCTTTAACTATGTGATTGGAAAATAAATACTACCTAATACCTAGTGGGCTAAATAACCTCCACACAAGAAAAGGGGCAAGATGACGGTCCGTGTCGGACGGACTCAGCTGGCAAGAGGACCCACATAAGAGCACGATTAATATGGCCCGTGCTTTCAAACTTAATGTAATTCATCGCGAAAATTTCTCTGACGTGAACTTCCACATACCTCAACTTTTTGACTTCATCTTTCCCACGATGGCGCCCAGTTTCACCAATGATGAAATATAAGGGTTATCCATGAATGTTGCTTATAAGGTTTGAATTATTTCCTTTACTTTGTTTCATATCGCAGCATTACCTTGTCCCAGCCACTCGAAACCCATTGAGTCTTTCATCTGAATGTTCTTACTACCGTGATGCGTCTTGTGTCGTGGTTTTGAGAGGGCCTGGTGATACAGGGCGGATGATGTTCGCATCGTCCGATGATAGAAAACTGCAAGAATGAAGTATTACGGACCATCATAGTCCACGCTCATCTATGTCGTAACTTATGATACGATATCCTACATGAGCGAGGCTCCTAGAGCTCCTACAAACCGGTCTTAATGTTCTTTCTTCGCGGTCTAGTTCTAACTAGATTCGAACAACGGTGATCCCCGCGGCCCGAGAGTTGATTTCATTCGTCACCTCTTCGCTGGGAAGTTTGACGACGTCACTCCACGTCGATTTCACTCCCGTCTCGTACCTAAAACCTGCAGCTTGCATGTGCAAGTGATATCTATTTTACGTGCCATTTCCTCGATGCTTACATCCATGGAAATCATCTCGTTTGCCAATTCTGGTACGATGGTTGATACTATCGCATAATGCTACAGTACCTATCTTTCGACCTCCCCTATATTAGTTACTCATAATACCTTGATTACCTAGTTTAATATATTTATATATCTTAATCGACCATTCTTGCGAACCTTGAGAAGTCAGCGTTTCAACCGTGTAACGTTTCATACCGCACCTAAAATGTCAGCGACTCCCAAGTCCAAGTTCTCGCATCTGCCACTCAGTACCAGTGGTCCGATAGAATGCGCAGTATCCGGAACAGTCTTACTGAACACTCCTTACTTCAACCGTGGCTCGGCACACTCGGCTGAAGAGAGACGCGAGTTTAACCTCACGGGTCTACTACCGACCAGCATCCAAACTCTAGAACAGCAGGTTGAGCGTGCATATGAGCAGTACGTTTCGAGACATGATGATCTGGCCAAGAACACCTTCTTGACATCGCTCAAGGAGCAGAATCTGGTCTTATACTTCAAGGTAAGACTACCTATCTTAGGCTGCTGTTATTCGCTGCTCGTCAGCTGTACATACCTAGGGGCTTGGCATCCAGCCCCCATACAGGAACCATATATACTCTTATACTAATGTCTTGCAGCTTTTGCAAGACCACCTGAAAGAAGTTTTCAGTGTTGTATACACTCCAACCGAAGGCGATGCGATCCAAAACTTCTCCCGGCTATTCCGACGACCTGAGGGGTGTTTTCTTAACATCAATGACATCGACAGAGTCCCGCATGATCTAGCTCAATGGGGAAGACCTGAGGATATTGACTATATTGTCGTCACAGGTATGTTTCCGACTATAGATCTCGGCTTTCTACTTCGGCATGATTTAATACTTACGAATCCTAGATGGCGAAGAGATTCTCGGAATAGGGGACCAAGGCGCAGGCGGAATTCTCATTTCAGTTGCAAAGCTCGTGCTCACTACACTCTGCGCTGGAGTGCATCCTAACCGAACCTTGCCTGTCGTCCTGGATTGCGGAACAGACAACGAGAATCTACTGAATGATGATTTGTATCTTGGCCTCCGCCAGAAACGGGAGAGGGGGGAGAAGTACGACAAACTTGTCGATACCTTCGTTCAGTCTGCCCGCAAACTCTTCCCACGTGCTTATATTCACTTTGAAGATTTCGGGTTGACGAATGGTAAGTCTCCCTTGAAGAATAATCTAAAATTATATTATTAACAGATACAGCACGCCGAATTTTGGACCATTATCGACCTAAGATCCCCTGCTTCAACGACGATGTACAAGGCACTGGTTGTGTAACCTTGGCGGCTATCATGGCCGGACTACACGTAGGCAAGCAGAAGCTCCGGGACACCAAGATCGTCATCTTCGGTGCTGGAACCGCCGGTGTCGGCATTGCTGACCAAGTCCGCGACGCCATTGCCACCGAGAAGGGTATCAGCAAGGAAGAAGCAGCAAAACAGCTCTGGTAAGTGCATTCCTCTTACAACTTTTAGGCCTCTATCACCTAACATCCCCACAGGCTCATCGACAAGCCCGGCCTCCTAACCACCCAAACACAACTCGACCCCGGCCAACGCACCTACGCCAAAGACGCCTCCGACTGGACTAACAAAGAACGCTCCCTCCTCTCTGTAATCAAAGAAGTCCAACCAAACGTCCTAATCGGAACCTCCACAGTCCCCAAAGCCTTCACCGAATCCATCATCAAAGAAATGGCCGCCGGCACCCCCCGCCCCGTAATCCTGCCCCTCTCAAACCCAACCCGCCTCCACGAAGCCGTTCCCTCCGATATCCTAAAATGGACCAACGGCCGCGCCCTCGTCGCCACCGGTTCCCCCTTCGACCCCGTCACCGGCCCCTGGGGCACAAACGGAGCGGAAATCGAAATCGAAGTCGCGGAGTGCAACAACTCCGTCGTGTTCCCCGGCATCGGCCTCGGCGCCGTGCTCTGCCGCGCAACCAAAGTCACTGATAAAATGCTCGTCGCAGCCGTTCGCGGCGTCGCGGCCCTGAGCCCCGCGCTGAGAGACGACACCGCGCCTTTGCTCCCCGGCGTTGAGGACGTGAGGGCTGTCAGTGTGCGTGTTGCGCGCGAGGTCATCCTGGCGGCTGTTGAGGAGGGGGTGGTGACGGAACAAGGGATACCGAGCGTGGTGGAGGGGGAGGACGGGTTGGATGAGTGGATTAAGGAGCAGATGTGGGAGCCGGTGTATCGCCCGTTGAAGAGGGTTGATGTTGAGGGCGCGAGTCGGGCGGCGAAGGCTGAGTTGAAGGTTGTGGGGAGTTTGGAGGTTGGGGGTGGTGCTGGGGATGGGACTGGGGATGGGGGTAAGAGGGAGAGATAGGGCTCTTGTTGTGGTTTGATATGAGGTTTTTTCGGATGGCTTTCCTAGATTTCCTACCTATGCTTGTGTGAGTTAGGTTCGATGGGTAGGGTGGGTGTGAGGGACTGGCCTAGAGGATAGAATCTGGTACGGTCATTCTAGACGTGGAAGTAGTAGGCAGTCTAATTGCCAAGGTATCCTATACAGATGGACTTCAAGCATAGGTAGTTTCTTTACGTGACATGTTACACGAACACACATTCATGACGTTCCTGCTATCAGAGCATATAAATCAAGAATCCCCTTGCCACCTCACAACCACCTGAGTAAATTCGATCTTCATTAATCAATACCTAATCATCTCCCATCCATATTATACCTCGAGTACCTACCTAGACAGATAGACGAACCATCTCAAAAACAATATGAATATGAAAACCTTGGCCTGGGTTATAACTACTACATCATCACCCCGCGCTGACTCCGTTCTCATTCAAAGACATCGATGACCAGCAACCCGTGCGTGTAGCTTGAGGAGTAAGTAGTCCTTCACCACCACTTCTCACTCCTCATGTCCATATCTCATCCCATCTCATCCCCCTAAATCAACCCCGCCCTGGCAGCCTCTCCACCCCCCTCCTGCAACAACGCCTCAACCTTCTGCTTCCCCTTCCCCAAGCCCCCCTCACCCACGCCCATCCTCCTAGCCACATACCTCTGCGCCACGACGCCAATACTCAAGCTCAGCGTCTCCTCAACCCACTCCGCGACCCATTCCCTCGGATCCACACCCCCTCCTTCGACGATCTCCCGGATCTCATCCGGCACATCCTGTCCGTCAAGCTCGAACCTCTCGCCCTCGTCGTCATCGGCGCTGCTGGGTGTAAGTGGAGCAGGCGCATCGAGCCATCGGATCCATTTGGCCGGGATATGTTGGCTGACGGTGCTGTAGACGATATCGTGGATCGGATCGAGGACATACACCGCGAAGGCGACGAGCGCATCGGTAGAAGCGTCGTCCGCGACGGGGCTAGCCTCGCTTTCGGCGGCGCTGCTGCCGGCGAAGAGGGCCGGGTCGCCGTCGAGCGCGATGGGCTGGACGGCGAGGAAGATGTCGCTTGTGCGGACGGGGTTCTCCTCCGACACGGGCTCGAGGGCGCGCTTCTGCGCCTCGGTCACGCCACCGCTTGCTGCGAAGTAGTCGTGCGCGTAGCTCTCTGCGCTGACGCGGCAGAGTTTCGTTCCCTCGGCCAAACCTCGGACGGCGCCTAGGTCGCGCGGGGAGTCGACTTGCCGCCACCAGGGACCATCGCGCCAGCCGGCGGAGCTGGAGGCGCCTTTGTAGTCGGTGGAGGAGCGGCGGGCGGTGTTTTCGTGGCCGCGCTGGACAACGAGGAGGTCTCCGCCTTCGACTTGCGACATCACACGGCTGAAGACGCCGTAGATGAGCGGGTCGAGGGAGGGGTATCCGACGATGTCGTGGGTGATGTGGATGAGGAGGCGCTCGTGCGAGGAAATGGGCGGGGCGAGCGTGTGGAGGATATTGGCGAAGGTTGGGAGGGCTCGGTGGCGGATGCCGTCGCCTGTTGTTTACGTTGTTAGGGTCTTAGGTCAATCATTAGAGAAAAGTCAGATTTAATAAACCTACCTAGACCCTTAAGAGCACCGACATTTCCTCGGACTTGGTCAGCCCATTTCTTAGCTTCCTCATTCTGCTGGATCTCTTTATATGCGGCCTCGGCCTGTTTCATAGCTGCATTTGCCGTGGCGCTGGCCGTAGCAAAGATTCCACCCCACCAGCCGCCTCCAGCAGAAGCGGGGGCGTTCTGTTCTACGGTACCCTTCTTTTCAGCATCCTGGAGATCGGAACTGGTGGCACTGGGGGTGAAGCTTGCGTGGAGAGAGCGGGTGCTGTCGACAGACTTGCGTGCGACGTTGGCTGGCTTGTCTTCGGAGTGTCGAGGGGCACCCGGCGGAGGGGTAGCTGTACTGCTTCGTTTACTGGCTACCTTAGAAGCGGCGGTCTCCTTGACACGGGGAGTGTGAGGTCGAGCAGGCTCCTCGTTGACAAGTTCATTTTCAAGTTCGGCGAGTTCTTGTTCGAGCTTTTTGTCTCCTCGACGAGGTTTGGGGCCAGCGGGCTTAGATTTACTACTGGTCTTCTTTCCTTTGTTATCGTCACCGATCCCCTCGAAGAGCTCGTCGAATCCGTCGTCGTTCGAGGCCTTGGAACGTTTGGCCGCCATCTTGGATAATTATCGTCGTGGACGGATGTTTTGGCGAAGAGGGGTTATGGTCAAGAGGTAGCAGAAGTGGGAATTACTCGATGAAATTGATTTCGTGTTTAGAAGCAGACTATGGAGATCTATTGCAGTGGTAAGGGAAGACGGAGATGCAGACTAGTCGAATATGATTCGCCGTGCCCCTGTAATATGTAGCTAAGGTTAGGCGTTATGTGTGTATGTGTATGTGTATGTATGTAAAGCCGAGGGGAACCAATCGTTTGACCGGATTCAACTGCAACTGGGTTTGTGGATATTCACCGGCAGATGTAACAAACACTATTTTGACAACTAATAAGAAACGAGGATATTTTGAACTAACCAGTTGGCAATGACAACGCTATAGGAGCGGAATTGGAAGCAAATCAGGAACGGTTGGGTATCTAGACAGGCCAATATATGGTGTTGATATGGTGATGGTAAAGTGGTTGATGTGATTTCGGGAAGAGGAACTCGGAATCGGAACCTTGGAAAGCTTTAGACACCTGCAATTTCTAAATCTGTCGTCACTGAACGGGGACCCGACGGGGCTAATGACCAGTAAAGCACGAGCCAATAGATTATGTCAGTTGCCGGAAAATCAATTAAAATACTTTGTACTTGGTACTTGGGTACGTGGGTACGTGGGTACATGTATCAGGTATTCTAAAAATACAAGGATGTCAATGCTAACCTAACCTAAAACGGAGTTAAAAAGTGCGCATCGATTCGATGGTGTTAGCCCATTGGCTAGAGACCTTTTCCTAAAAAGTATGGGCGTGGAGGCTGGTGCCACCAAATAGGGATCTCAACTGTGGCTAATGCTCGCCGAACCTCCAGAAATTAGCAGTGTTCTTAGTACCTATGTATTTTGGGTGACCTCGCAGAAGGGACGGGGACGACGAGATCAGAATCGCACTTGACAATATCGCGAAACTATATATCAAAACTTATTGAACGCCAAAACTTCTTTCCTTTCAATAACCGATCTTAATTTTTCGAGCGGAAATCAAATGTGAAGTAAGCATTTCATTCACTTTCAATCTATTGTCACCCAACAATACCGCATAAAAATCATCCATCCTTTTCATCCACAACACTGCAGCTCCTTTTATCAACCTATTTTTTCTCACCACGTCTTCATATAACTTACAACCCAAAACACCATCAACTTACATCACCTAACTGACGACCTAACAGAAGATCTCATATTTTCAAGAACTCGCAAGATCCCTCAATCCTCGATTCTTTCGGCGTAGAAGCGCCACTAGCAGGTTCGTTCTATTTTTCTTGTCATTATTAATTTTCTTTCTTAACAAGTAATGAGTCGTTTCGTCTCCGACATTTTCTATCTGTTTATTTCTTTTCCAATAAATACAATCCAACGCCTGTATCTACTATTCCACCATCTTGTAATGGAATAACCATTCGCGCTACCAAACATCATTTCCATCTTTCTCATACCTTCCTTTATTTTCATTGCTGAGGTACGTCGTGATCAATTCCGACCACGCGCTCAAACATAATTCATACCCTTACCTATACCCATACCCATACTCATTCATCCCCATACCTGAAGAGGTTTCCCCACTTACATAATCTCCGACAGGAAACTTCTTTCACCTTTCTTTCTCTCTATTTTTCTAATCCTGTATTTTTTTCTACCCCTTCTTTTCTCTGCCCTCTTCTCCGGATCCTGTCATGGATCCTTTAAACAACCGAGGTCGTGGTCGAAAACGCCACACCTCACATATATCACCTCCTCCCTCCTCCCCTTCTCAGAATGTAGCTCAAGACCTACCTGACCTACCTTCTGCCTCCGACACCTCTGGTCCGCTGGCTCCTTTACCTTTTTCTTTCGAAGCCTCGAGTCCATCCGCGTCGCTCTCCACGCGGATGCGCACTCGTCAGGTCGAGGGGATTAACTCTTCGCCTGGGGGGCGCTCCCTGCGAAAGCGACCTCGAGTGGACTATACATTCGAGCAGCAGCTAGATGTAGAGACCAGCCCTAAGCTTACGCAAAGCGCTTCCCGCTCAATAAAGCGGCGTCGTACCGACGCTGCTTTAAATGAGAACGAGTTGGACGACGATCCGGAAGCTCGCTCAGAAGCACGCTCTAAGAGACGTGCCTCCGAACAGCCCCAATCGTCATCCACTCGTAGGCGTAATACGGGGAAGGGGCCGGCGGAGCCCCAGGCTTTTGAGCCCACCCATCATGACGATGTCGATGTCCAAGACACTATCGAAGTGGGTGGGCACCATAGTGAAGAGTCAGATGAGTCGCTCATCCGGAGGACCAATTCCGGCTCTTCAGGCCACGACACCAAACCGGCCCCCGGATCAGCCTCATCTGACTCTGCTGGCACTCAATCTTCGCCATGTCAGCAGTCTCCGCCGACTTCCAAGGCGTCCCTTCTCTCTCAACCCCTACCCCTACCCCCCTACCACCCTGTTCCGGGCGAAAGCGTATCAAAGGAATTCCAAGAAAGAGTTCAGGTGAATGTATCTAAAGAGGCGAACGACGAAGCGAATTTTACCAAAAAACATCCTCCTGGCATGGGTCATGATCAGGACGGCCCGGGTTCATCAAGTCACCTCACCCCTTACATAAAGGGTACTTACGTCTTTTATCCCGAGTATCTCGAGGATGACCCAGAACCCGACGCTGATCCCGATCGTGACTCATTTCAGGTAGATGCCGAAGTTGATCTCAACACGGACGCTGACACCAATCTGGGACTAGATCGTACAACAGCAACCAACGGCCATAACAGCGAAGACGCTGCCGTTAACGACAAGATGGATGGCCTAGTAGAGGAGACGCCGGCCGATACTGCGGCAAACTCACCATCGGGTGAGGCAGAGGCAACTGTCTGCCAACCATCCGACAAGAAGCAGTTTCGGTTCGACCAGACTCGGTCAGCGTCCGAATTTACGGACATGTTCCAGGACATCAAGTCCTTGTCTACGGCAGAACTTTACCGTAGACTTGAGATCGCCAACGAGGCCATGGTTGCGTGGCAGGAAGAGTTCCGTGAGCTTAAAAAGATCACGGATGATTACGACAATGCGGTCCGATACCAGAAGGAGGAAGAAGCGTTCTTACGACGGTCAAATATGATGACAAGTCGGAACCCGGCCTCCAACCCAATCGCGAAGGACTTCGTTGTGAAAGGGGAGAGAGCACAAGATAACACCGATCCTCTAGTGAAGTACCAACGCCAGCAAGACAAGATTATGGCGAGCGCGTACGGCTTTGAGTATGATCCCCGCCCGGACAAGATTGGGAATCAGGATCCCATTGCGCAACGAACCGGAGCTGGTCGTCAGGGACGACTTAGAGAGCGGCCGAAGCAGACCGCCAAAGCAGCAGAGCTAGACGACCCTATTGTCGTACAGGGAAAACGGACCAGGAAAGCTCCAGAGAGGTTTGCGGGAGATGAAGTTATTAGCCGGGGGTCTACCCCGGTACCTAGTACCCAGCGACGAGGGCGTCGCAATAATTTAGCACCGGAGAACAGTGACCCTACTCCGCCTCAGCCCCAGTCAAGGCTTGAATATGTATATCTACCTCAAGCCCTGCACTACTCACAGGCTAAGGGTCCTCAACCATCCCAATCATCTCAATCTGAGCCCCAGTCACAGGCTCCATCTTCATCTTTCTCTTCATCACATACATCAAATACGTCTCATACAAATACCGAGGCCCAGGACACAGGTGTCTCCGTACGAGATCATATACCCGCACCCGAGTATACCGAGAACGAAGTTCCGAAGAAGAAGGGTAAAGGTGGTCGCCCTCGAAAGAACCATGTTCCGGAATCTGCGGCAGAATTTACGACCGCACCTCAGCCGCGGCCAGAACCAGAATCTGAGCCCGAACAGTCCCAAGCGCTCCCAGAGACGCGTAAGTCGCCAATACAACGAAATATCACTAAGATAGTATTTTTGAAGACTCAAGGAAAGCCAGGCGCCAACTCCCAGAACGATCCGCAATCAGCGCCCGAATCATCGACGAAGCGAGAGAGAGAAGGCGAAGAGGTTGATGAAGAGCAACCAACTCGTAAACGCCGACGCAGAGTTTCGCAATTCCCTTCTACGTCCGGCCCTAGCACTATCCTTGCCCCTCCCCCGGCCCCGACGTCCTCAGTTACAGAAGAGAACGACATTGCAAACAATGGTACAGAGTCGCAGACTCCCATAAAGCCGACTCGTCGAAGGATCTCGAAGAATTCCGATGTTGCCTCTGGGCCCACAGATATTGCGTCTAGTACATCCTTTACAGCTCCAGCCGAAGAGCCTCGTCCCCGAACTGCCTCGTCAACTGCAACCGCTGACACTGTAACATCTACCAGCAATTACCAGCTTCGCGAGAAACGTCAAAGAAAGTTCACTAACGATATTACGGATGATGACTTCGTTGAAGAGCCCAAGCGTAAACGTGCTCGACGAACACCGAAAAAGCCGCAGGCCAAGAAAGAAGATATCTTACCTATTCCACAACCCCCTCTAGTGCAACGACCGGAACCGGAGGCGCCCACTCTACCGAAGCCACCACCTAAAATTAAAATCAAGTCGAAGCCTGGCCCTTTACCAACTCCTTTCTCGACATCTCCGTCTAGCGCGCCTTCGTTCACTCCCTCCACGAACTTACCGCAGGTTAACATGAATACCCATGTCAACGGCAATACTAACGGCAATGGTAATGTCGTTGGCAACGGAACCTCGAGGTTTGATGCTGCTGACGCAGAGTCCAGGGCAGAGCCCCCGAAGGACTACAGTACAATGACTAAGTCAGAGAAGATGTCGGCATCAATGAAAGGTACGCCCGACAGCAGGCTTGCCACGAATTATTTCTCGGGATCAAGCCATAATATAGCTAACTAGTGGTGACTAACAGCTCGATGGGCATCTGGGTCGATGGGAGGAGCTGTAATCAAACGTCGTGCGACACTTGCAGCTAAGAAGCAGAGTGTGAAACCTGAAGCCGCAAACGCTACGACTCCGGACCAGGCCCCTACTCCTGCATCCACTCAGCCAACGCCGGATGAAGATATCGATGACGACGACGGCGATGCTTTTGCCACCGAGGAGTAAGCGTTGTATTCACTATTGGGCAACATTCACATTGTCCCCCTACAACACATTATTGCACGTCCTCGTTCAGCGTTCAGCAAGGCATAAACCAAGCACAAAAAATATATAAAAAAAACTCCAGGATAAAATCCGAAAAGAAAGAAAAAGTTCGTATACCTCACCATACGAACCCTCATTACCGATCGACATTGCCTCCTAGATACTGCAAGGAACTAAAAGTTCGAAGCGGTCTGAGAATTTCTAGGTACCGGTCACCTAGAAGAGTATAAATCGACATATTCCCTTAAGACAAGAGTCATCCTTGAAGCTAAGACCAAACATGACAATCTATTAGAACTTGTCGGCCTACGGGACAATGCATTATGAGTTCGAGGGGAGTGGACTTGGATGAAATCGCAAAAACTCGTAACGACTACACGCCCACATGACGACCAATCAAATACACGTCATTATTAACGGGTAAACGAATAAGCGACGAAATAAATACCCACCCTCTCTCACTTCTGGCGACTTGAAGGTATGTGTCATAAAAGACACGGTGGAATGGAAACGAAAGAGCGAATGTATTTAGGGGAGGTAAAAGGAGCATCTGGATTGGACGGGGACAGGGGTTTAGCGAAACTCCAAGCATGGACATAAAGGCAGGCAACATTGTACATTTGCACATACAAAAGCGACATTTGATTTCAGCGCGGGAGTTCAGGAAAATGGAGGCAGAGCGTTCACAATTACCTTGCATAGGCAGAAGGATGGACGGAGAGTTAGGATTCTTGGACCAACTCCTATCCGCCCTCGCCAAAATCATAGAGCGGGCATTTTTGTCTTTGCATAAAATGCATAAACTTGGAGTTATGGATTGGATGCATAGAGGTTCATAGGGTAGACAATATTACCCTTCAACACATAATGAGATTCGCGCAATTGTGACTATGATTGATTATCTATTCTATAAGAGTAGGCACTCCATTTTTAGGTATAGAGTTATATGCCAGTTGTGTATATACTGATGTGACATCGTAGACATGGAAAATAGTACTGATCAGGACAAGACTAATCGACTGCAAAAGGCAGTATATGAATTCTATGGCTACCGTAATAGTTACGAAACAATGTATGGTCAGTAGGTATATGGGAGCACGTGACTCACTGGCTACAGGACTCACTATACACATAGTAAGGCCTAAGTATAGAAATTTCACCTTCATTCTGGTCTAGAGGAGTAAGTTAAAGGGATATTCAAGCAGATCAGGCTAGAAGCAGACCACTTGCAATTCTATCCCCTATAGGTACTATCGTAATGGGGCGGGATACCTACCTAGTAGCTGTTTCCACAGCTACACCACGAAAGTATGAGTCCAACACTACTCAACATAGAAAATCGTGTTGATCGAAGAGCTATTAAGTAAATGCAAAAGAGTCTATTCGAAATAAGTGTGATCTGATTGTTCTACGGTATGGCGGTGTTGGATCAATAGCCATGGGGAATCTATTACGGGAGTCACGTGACTATGAACTACGGAGCGGAGCTCGTCTTTTCCTCGCGGACAAATATCGGGGTTCTAATCGTGTGATCCGTCAAGGGGAGGTTGGATGGCTGATATTCCTAATCCTTGACGCCAGCTTCATACATGTCATACAAACGATAAGGTTACATGCTAACCATTGTTACCAAATTTAGAGAAGTTGTACCTGCCATCCTACGTCGTAAACTGTAATTGTGTGGGCAAATCAGTACCTAGCCAATTCCAAGATCACCCGGTCAAGTCACGATCAAAACCACAGCAGGCAAAATTTGGGAACTGGACTTTCATTCGTCCAGGATGCTGTTCTTTTGGTATGTCTCCTTTACGCCCCGTAGCCGAAATGCAAAGTGACCAGTCCTCCAGCCAGAAACGCGATAGATATCTGCGTCATTCCTTCCTCTGCCTGTCATGAAAGTGGCTGGCCGTGTCGGTGTCTTCCAATCGTGAAGATTCGTCAATAAGGTAGGTTTGTGTCGATCCGCCTCTCACCAATTTCCTCGAAACGCTCTCAATTTACATCACAACACCGGAGTTGCTGGCAATACGCTGTGTATATGGTTAGGATATTTTAGATCGATAGGAGTATGATAAGGACACTTACGGGCCATAATTCAGCAGCCTCCTTGCCGACGGGTCCGGTGATGGCAGAGCCCTTCATCTCACCCTTGGGGTTGACGATCTAGAAAGCGACATATTAGCGAGCTGTTTTTCGATTATGTATATGGACTAATGTGTGGCGATCCTGTATCGTAGCTGCCTGTGCTTCTCATGCGGCGTTCCCGCACTATGATCCTCATAGCCGGCCCTCCTCTCTGATACGAGGCGAGCTGTCCCGTCTCGGGGTGTATATAAGTAAATAAAATGGCACTCACAACACCAGCGTTGTCCTCGAAGTACAGGAAGACACCGTCGGTTCGCTTCCAGGGCTTGGACTGTCGGACGATAACGGCGGGGTGGACCTTCTTTCGGAGCTCGGGCTTTCCCTTCTTGACGGTGGCCATAACCATGTCGCCGACACCACCAGCAGGCAGTCTGTTGAGACGGGCACCGATACCCTTGACGGAGATGATGTACAAGTTTCGGGCGCCAGAGTTGTCAGCGCAGTTCATGATAGCACCGCTGTTCGGTTTATTAGCGTCGGGAACCGATTCGAGGAATATTCCTGCACTTACACAGGCAGACCGAGGGTCATCTTCAGCTTGCCACCGGGGGCACCACGCCTATGAAGCGAATCGTTAGCAAAATCGGTTCAAGAATCCATCGTTCCATGCGATATTCCACCATCCACCTCTTATGTGACTATTCCGAGTCAATCTCAATAGCACCGAAACTTGGAGTTTAAAATTTAATTCTGGCGCCACCATGGATCGTAAAGTTTCGTCACTGAAGGTTTCTCGTGCGCCTCATATTATCCCACAAAACGGCTCGTTTGTCGGTTTCCTCTTGCTCTCCCATTTCCCCGCCAAAATTCAATTCCCACCTCTTTTCGTGCCCCTCCAAGCTTCCGGTGGAAATCGCATAATTCGAGATCGAACGGAGATGAAACTTACGAAATCTTTGCCATTGCGACTGAGTTATTCGGATTTCTGAAAGATCGGGTGTGGTGTTTGACGAATTTGTCGAGGTGGTCGATGTCACGGAAAGCGAAAAAAAGTTCGAGAGTTCAATGGCTCCAAATTTCTTAGTGGTGGTGGACGGTACTGCAAACCGCGAAATGTGCGGCTTCCTAAGAAAAAAAACCCTAGGGACCCACAAATTGTGGAAGCGATTTCCGTACAGCGTAAAATGGAATTGTATCACGTGATTGACTGATTCAATTTCTTAGTAGGTACCTAGGTACCCTTGTATCTTCTTTGTCCATGCGCTCTTATTTTACAGAGACGAACCTCCATCTACCTGGGCATTCGAACTTTATTTGATCTAGATTCAGGTAACAATATACTAACATTTCATTTCATTTAATTGGTAGTGCTGTAGATCTAGAAACCTTCCCACCTTGCAAGCGATTTCAAGAAGACTAGTGATCGTCTCTCTCAGTCCAAGGCTTTAAGGCCTCAAGAAACTTCAAGTGAACCTCGGGTTCTCCAGAAGCTTCTAGCGCCCCCGCAAACGACTCTTCGCTAATTCTTCCCATGAAGAGAAGCCATCCAGCCCAGATGAAATCAGCGAAACCCACGGTCTTCCCCTCGAAGAACGGTCCTTCGGGATTCTCCTGCAACAATGCGGTAACATTCTGCACGTAAGGTGCGGCAGCTTTCCATGCTGGCGCACCGCCCTCCTTCGCTAAATCTTCCATCTTCTTTCCGATCGCCTTCTCACGCGTCGTGCGGAAGTAGTCCTGGCTAGCTTCGTTCAAGACGTTGAAGAGCACTCCCGGGACGAAGATAGCAAGGCTGGGATCCCTCAAGTTGGTAAGCTGTTCGAAGATCCTTGCTATGTAAGGCGAGTTTAGATGTAGGCTCGGCTCTGGGTATCTCTCCTCGAGCACTTTGGCGATCTCTAGCGAGTCCATTACCCATTTACCATCAGGGAAAACGACGGTAGGGATCGTGTAAAGATCCGCTTTCGGGAGGCTACAGTTGTTATTAGAGAATGCTGATATGTTCATTATGCGTTAACTTACTGCTCCTGGAATTTGGGTTTGATATCTGGGTATTCAATCTGGCATTGGGAGTTAGATGCTTCGATTAGTATATATCAAGGCGTTGAAGAGCCCTACCCATTCTGTCTTGTAAGGAATACCCTTATAGTTCAGGGCCAGCCGAGCTATTCCTCTGAGTTAGATAATATCCCTTTTGTCTTGGGATGGTAATGGACGTACTCTTCCATGGGTTCGGCGACCACGACTTGTTTGGTGGTTTAGATGGCAAGTCAAAGAGTACGATTTCCTGGCTAGACATTGTAGACGCGTTGATCAATGGTTATGTGTGAGAGAACTCTAAGAAGGTTGAATTTCTAAGTGGTAAACAGGTAGTCGAAGAAACTCCTGACAGGTGGGGTAATTACATCGACATTTATCTTTGAGAGCCAACACCGGACAATATGACTAAACACAAGAAAGGCATGGGTAGGTTATCAAACCATTGGCGTACATGCATCTCGGACTAAGTACACCGCGCGATTAACGTGATCCCGGTGATAGATACAAGATAAACTGCGAGAATAGCTGTTCTATGCACACTAAGTTGGGTAAAGAGGATTCCATCATCATATATTCACCCCGCCATGTCTGCATCTCGTACTTTAGGAGCCAATGGATTGACATTGCAACTTAACCACTAATATGCGTCATAAGTAGCAACACTTTCGAATTGGTAAGCTTTCCTAGATTATTAATTATTGAATCTACTTTCGGGTCAAATATTTTACGTCGAATGAGATGATGCTAAACTGGCTTTTGAAATAGTTCACCGCTGAGCCTCCACTTGGTTTGTAGCGTCTTGTTTCCCCGCACCTTAAAAGAGAGTGGAGAGTGTCCATACAAGTAATATATACTACCATTAGTAGCCGAAATCTCAACCCGGATAACCCGGTTCGCATCGGGCACTTTGGCGGAGTGGTTAACGCGATGCCCTGCTATGAGCTAAGTAATTAGTGTAGCGTAGGCATTCCCTTCGGGGGCGTGTGTTCGAATCACACAGGTGTCGGATTACTTTTTTTGCTTTCATCTGCCAAATCCTGGCCTGCGGCGTTGCGAGCTTGATGAAATAAAAACTTTTTAAATATTAACGATGTAATCGCAACGTCATCTATGTTAAGTCCTGGCCTCATCATCAATGAATTGAATATGGCAGGCATTGAAATAAAGTTGTCCTCGACCCTCATTATAAAGATGCCTTCCTTGCTTAGGTTTCTTAATCATGGCTTTTTATGGTTCTTGTAATGGATACAATCGGTACCTACATTTAGGTACTTCTTCAATTGATTGATCCAGTAAACTCAACCTGTAGTATTTTGTCATTCACATTTATATATCTCTTTAGTACTCAATCCCTAAAGCCACTGATCATACATAAACCGGTGACAACAACCAATTTCTTAACAATAATACGTTAACTTCGACCATCTTAGATTCATTCACACTTCAGTTAATATCACCTACCTACATACCTACCTACCTAGGTATGCTTCAATAGCCAATAAGGGAATAGGATCATGCGAATCAATTAACCAATCAGAGAGCAGGCACTTGATATTCAAAAGTGGTGAGAGTTTTCTGCCAGTTCTAAAGCTTAACCTTTTCACCACCCGCCACCCATTTAGATCATTCATCTCCACATATTGCACTAAGACAGAAGTGTACTAGTGGGAAGACTACATTATCGATAAGCGTGGGCTGCAGATCCGACCCAAATCCCTTAAGCTCAGAATTCTGGTAGATCCCCGATTTCTTCTTACCTTGTTCTTATCCAAAAACCTAACACACATTCTCTCGTCAATTTGTTAGCAACAATGACGCACGCTCCTGTGGACATCTGGAACGGCAACGGACATGCCTTGGGAGCATCATCTCCTAAGAAGGTCGCGTATTTCTACGATTCAGATATAGGTAATTTCGCCTATGTCTCTGGACATCCCATGAAGCCCCATCGCATTCGGTTGGCGCACTCTTTGATTATGAATTATGGAGTTTACAAGAAGATGGAGATCTACGTAAGTGCTTCTGATACTATCTAACTTGACGAACAAGATAACTGATGACCTTTAGCGAGCAAAACCGGCCACGCGACTCGAGATGACACAGTTCCATACAGACGAGTATATCGACTTCTTGCAGCGCGTCACTCCCGAGAATATGGACAACTTCCAGAGAGAGCAGGGTAAGTACAATGTCGGAGATGATTGCCCAGTATTCGACGGCCTATTCGAATTCTGTGGCATCAGTGCCGGTGGCAGTATGGAGGGTGCTGCACGCCTCAACCGCCAGAAGTGCGACATCGCCGTCAACTGGGCTGGCGGACTTCATCACGCCAAGAAATCTGAAGCAAGTGGTTTCTGTTACGTGAATGGTACGTTTTACAATGTCATCTCCCTCGTTTCCCCATCAATCCTAACATCGCATCCACTTCACAGATATCGTTCTCGGAATCTTAGAACTTCTAAGATTCAATAAGCGTGTTCTTTACATTGATATCGATGTTCACCACGGCGATGGTGTAGAAGAAGCTTTCTATACCACGGATCGAGTCATGACGGTTTCCTTTCATAAATACGGCGAGTACTTCCCAGGCACAGGCGAACTCAGGGACATTGGCATTGGCCAGGGACGATACTACGCAACAAACTTTCCACTCCGAGATGGTATAGATGACGCATCATACAAGTCGATCTTCGAGCCAGTCATTTCTAGCGTCATGGAGTACTATAATCCGGAAGCTGTTGTTCTCCAATGTGGTGGTGACAGTCTGTCTGGCGACCGTCTGGGTTGTTTCAACCTAAGCATGGATGGCCACTCCAACTGTGTGAAGTTCGTCAAGAGCTTCAATCGCCCAACTCTAGTGCTCGGAGGTGGTGGCTATACTATGCGCAATGTCGCCCGCACCTGGGCGTTCGAAACCGGCCTGTTAGTTGATGCGCATATGGACCGAACTCTTCCATTCAATGAATATTACGATGTGAGATTGCATTCTTATCACCATGCCACTTCCTAACACTAACTCTTTACTAGTACTACGGTCCCGATTATACCCTTGACGTCCGATCGTCAAATATGGAAAATGCGAACAGTCCTGAATATTTAGAGAAGATCAAGAATCAGCTCATCGAAAATCTTCGACGCACTGCACACGCCCCGTCTGTGCAAATGCAAGACGTTCCTCGTCATTCTATGGGCGCAATGTCCGACGAGGAAGAAGCCGAACTTGATGATCTCGATGACGATGAGAATAAGGACGTCCGGATGACGCAGCGCCAATGGGAACAGCGCATAGAGCGCGAGAACGAGTATGAAGAAAGCGATAACGAGGAGCTCGATAGGGCTAATGGAGTTCATCGCAACGGAAGCTCTCGGCGGACGTTCATCGACTATCGAAACTCGGATGTCGAACCCGATAGTGGTGTTGCAACTCCAGCCAATGGCACCACCGACAGTGTCATCAAATCTAAGGAGACCGATGACATCGTAATGGAGGATGTAGACAAGGCGCCAGAAGGCGACGCTGATACGGCTGTCTCTTCAAAGCCGGATGAGAAGGCCGCAAAAGATGAGGTTCGAGCTACCAGCACCTCCGAACAAGAGCAGGAGGAGGCCCCCAAAGAGGCGCAAGGTTCTGTGAAATCGGATAAAGGTGGCAGTGAGAGCGAGAAGACTGCTACTACTGATGATGCCAGTCCAGGAAGTAAAGCCGAGCCGACCGAAGAAACTGATGAGGTCATGCAGGACGCGGCCGAGAGTAAGAAATCGCCGGCTGCAGAAGCTGAAAAGTTATCTTCAACGACGCCGAATGCCAAGAACCCATCACCAGAGAAGATCGATCAAGATGGTGATGTTGACATGGATGGACCTGCCGCGGCGTCGGAGCCAACGCAAGACGATAGCACCGAAGTCAAGAGTGAGCATTCCGCGGAGACACCAACCAAGCCAGCGGACTCTGCCCCAAAGGATACGGCAAGCCCTTAGACCGGTCATAACCTCATGATACCCCCCCTTTTCCATTTCGTTTTTTTGTCTTCATTGTTTTCGTTAGGAAAAGGAAACTGTAGTATGGCTAAGCGTAATCTTGTGCGCATACGGAATTTATAGTTTCCTTTTCGATGAATGTACCATAGCCAAGCAATGGCGTTCCGGGCAAGGCAGCATCGTCGGCAGACAGAAGACGCTTGGCATCTTGACACACATGGCGCTTTTTTTGCTTATGCTTTTTTATCAATAAATCTTAGATTCACAAATTCTGAAGTTTTTCGTGACGTAGGCTAAGCTGGTGATATGTTGATGGTCTTTCCCGTGTAAAGGGAGCGGATTCGTTATTCTAGTGATATCAATTACCTTACAGAGTACATACAAGGAATGATGGATGGTATAGGGAAGTTATCATTCCGGGTAGATTAAACGATATATTTAAAGGAGCCATCCTCGTAGATAATATAGGACTCTAATCCAAGTGATAAATTGCCTCCATGGATGATGTATGGTGGTAGTCATAATCTTTTTTACATTTTTTTTAGTATGTATGTAATGAGTCCACATCGACACAGGGGCATCCACCCTTATACGAAAATATTTAAGGAATGATAGGGAAAGCTTTTAGAATTATATGATATTATTTGTATAGTATATTATATCCAGCATCAGCTAATAATGAGATATGATCAGGTATGTCATGGATCGAATATTATTCGAAGTTTAAAATCAGTAGTTGAAATTCAACTATGCTACTTGAGAACCCTTCCTACCGATTCAATATGAAAGGCTTCCATCAAAGTTGTGCATATCTTCTTCGAAATCGTCACGATACTTGGAGTCGGAGAATTCTCGGGATGTGTCTTTTGTTCCGAGGTGGAATTTAAGATAGGACAGAAGTCGTAGAAACCTTTGTGGTTACAGATTTTATTCTTCCATGTCCAGTTTTACATACCTATATAAGAAATGGTTTGATATGAGACTCGGTCTAGATACTATTGTAGATTTCTCGGACAATATCGCCTAGGTTCACTCTTGATTGGTAGGATGGTTCCCAATCTAGGTATTTATAGCTTTAAGCAGTCCCGAAATCTTCTACCTCGACATAATTCACTTTAAACCCTCTCTACTTAAAATATTCAACTGCATTGAGAATGAGAAATGGTCTTGGGACACGACCTTGAAATCCAATTTCCTTTTTCGGTAAGTACCTAGATAAAGTACACCGCAGGTACCCGAGCTACGCAAGTTGTGGGGGATTGTGGCTGGTACGGATCCCCACATGAACTAACGACGGGACTTGGCAGGTCGATAATCGAGGCTGAAAAGAAGCCCCACTTTGTATAGTATGGTTGTATTTTCAAGAGTTTGACAACTCAAATCTGAAAAGAGAGAAACTGATCTAATCTCTTTGCTTACATAATGACACCATTTTAGGTGGAAACCCCACTCTGATCAATATCTTTCCATAACGTGTTAAATGAGTGGAGAGCTCCCTTATCGATTAGGGATTTGGAAGCTGCTGCTTAGGTAATTTCGCGGTACAGGCAGATCCGGGCCTCGTCAACATTTACCACCTGCAATTTCCATATTACAAGCTTCAATCTCAAGATCACCTCTCCAATACATCAATCCACATCGACATTACTGCGCGTTATTACCTCTCCATTCCCTCTTCCATTTCCACCACTTGCACTATTCACCCATTTAGACTCTGCGACACCGCGCAGTCTTATTAATCTATCTTAATTGTCTACGTCGTAGCGCAACACATCAAGATGGACCGGTTAAACAGAATGCTTGCCGGTGCCAGCGGCATGGGACTCGGCGCCGCTCCCGGAACGGTGAGAAGCTCTTATTTCTGATTATTTATTGATATGAAATATCGACTCTAGATAGGATATGCCAGTGCAGACAGAGGCTAATGGTGTTTGAATAGGATAACAACAACCTGATCGACAACTCCGAAACCGTTTACATCTCTTCTCTTGCGCTACTAAAGATGCTGAGGCACGGCCGAGCGGGTGTTCCTATGGAAGTGATGGGTCTGATGCTAGGAGAGTTTGTCGATGACTTCACAGTACGGGTGGTGGATGTCTTTGCCATGCCTCAGAGCGGTACCGGCGTCAGTGTCGAAGCTGTCGACCCGGTATTTCAGCAGAAGATGATGGACATGTTGACGCAAACGGGACGGTAGGTTATTCGCCATACATTTATCATTCTGCGCTTATACTAATAACTATACGTAGACCCGAATCAGTCGTTGGATGGTATCACTCCCATCCTGGATTCGGATGCTGGCTGTCATCGGTCGACATCAACACCCAACAGAGCTTCGAGCAACTTACACCGAGGGCCGTCGCCGTCGTCGTCGACCCCATACAGTCAGTGAAGGGCAAGGTTGTCATCGATGCGTTCCGTCTTATCAACCCGCAGTCTCTGATGCTTGGACAAGAACCAAGACAGAGCACTTCCAACTTAGGTCACCTCAACAAACCTTCTATCCAAGCTCTCATTCATGGCCTAAACCGACACTATTATTCTATCGGCATCAACTACCGAAAGACAGCTCTAGAGGAGAACATGCTCATGAACCTACACAAGCACGTCTGGACCGAGGCTTTGCAGATGGAGGACTTCAGACACGAGGGCGATCACAACAAGGAACGTTTCCAGAGATTGGTCACGTTGGCTGACGGTTACGAGAAGAGAGTCAAGGAGGAGACAGAATTAACTAAGGAACAGCTGAAGACACGTTACGTCGGAAAGCTCGACCCCAAGAAGCACTTGGAGGACGTCGGTCAACAGCTCATTGAGGACAACATCGTATCTGTTTCGAGACAGATGATCGACAAGGAGGCGACGATGCCTAAAAAGGAAGCAGCGGCTAATGGCCAGGCGAATGGCGATCGTATGGACGTCGAGGATGAGGAGCTGTAGGTCCGCATATCCGAGATCGATTTAATTGATTCAGACGGTTCGGTCATCAGCAATGTATCATAGGCGTTGGAAGGGCTAGCGGACCCGGTTTAGAAAGCTCCGGCAATGAATGGATTGCTTTACGGCTCGATTCCGCAACTATGCTCGTGAGGTACATCGTGCAATGGGGATCTTCTGCACAACAATACCATCACTTATTCATATTATGCCTAGTCATCTTCTTGCATAACATCATGTTTCGATTTGTGTTGTCTCTTCGCTAACCTGGTTGTTTAGGACTGTTGCTGTTAAGCATTGATGTTTCATCGCATAAAGGACATTGTTGCGTTAACAATGACAATGTGCTGACTCTATGAAGAGACTTGTTATTCCACAGTACTCTTTCGTAACAAGCTGATTGAATCACAATGAACAAAGATACATTATGTTACTGAATAAGGACTGTTATATTCGTTTATATAATCCTCTGACTCCCTCCCCATGGTTGAGAATTCCAATCATCTTCGTCATCCTTAGAAAGGACAAGCAAGATATTTGACACTCAAGTCGAGGGCACTTCTTAGATAGTAAGTATTCTCACCATGGCGTATTCAAACTCTAACGAATCTGCTAGCTGGCCGTCATGGCTTATGGCTTGCGTGAGGTGCTTCCCGAAGGAGAAACCTAAGGCGCCAACTTACCCCGAATTCGCCACTGTTTCATACGACAATGCGGCGCTAGGGCCATTACCTTTCATGATGAAGCCCATTCCTGGTAGAACCGTACGATCGTCTGATAGAAATCCTAGAATTGAATACGACACAAGTGGTCAGGGATCGATCACGTCTCAGCCTCAACAAATTCAGTATTTCTCGGCGAACCAGAGCCAGAGCACACTAGCCAGACCGACGACGGCCTCGTCGGCTACTACAGCCTACCAGCGCTTCCCAGTTAACACTGGTAATGTCTACGGTGCCGACAACAAAGATCCCCGCGAGCGTTGGTCGAAGGCGTACCTTACCCCTCGCCAGTTCGCAGAGCTACTCGATAACATCCACGCTACACTAGCGCATGTTCCCTACGCGATTTGCGGGCTCGCCGCCCTCAACGACTACGGGTACACTACGCGCCGACTGAACAGCGTGAGCCTGCTCTGCCCAGCCTATGCGAAAGACAACGTCCGCGGCTGGCTTAAGACGAAGGGCTACGAGACTTACGGCGACTTTTTTGGGATCCCGATCGGCGACCGCGGGTACGGCGGCGAAGGCGCGACAATCTACGGGGTGCGTGTTAAATGGGTGAACGACGAAGGGTTTGCGTGGCTAGAGAAGGTCAAGTCGAACGTTAGCAACGCGTGGGTGCTCGGGCTAGAAGCACAGATCGATTACTGTGCAATGGGATTCGTCGAGCAGTTCCGCAAGCTCGAGGCCATGACGGCTAACGGTGAGAGTGTGGACAAGGGTTCGCAGGCTGTCGCGAGAGGCGAGTCGAGATTGCGCATGGCGGCGCAGGATATCTTCTGGTGTCTTGATAAGGCGGCGCGAACTCGGCATGTTCTTAACCATAAGTACCTGCCCACACTGCTCAACGAGGAGTTCTGGGTCCCGTTTACGGACCGCTTCGACGATGCGAGGACGGAGATGGCGCGCGCGGGTATCGATGTCGCGGCCGTGCTTGCGAAACATCGTGATCGAAAGGCGGTTAGAGACCACGAGGCTATTCTGCGCCAGTTCGGTCTGGGGAAGGAAGGCGTCGTCACGCAGCAGCCCAGCCCGTACGAGGGCATGCGCACCCTCGCTAACAGCAAGAGCGTGTATAGCCTCCAGCCAGGGTCGGTGAGTCCGGTCCCCCCTGCCCTACCACAGCCTAACCCCGCGTATCTAGGACAGAAGACTAAGTCGTTGACTCGTGCCTCGTCTGGGACGGGGAAAAAGGACGGGCTTTTTACCGGGTTGATGGGGAAGAGGGGCGGGAGCGCGAGGGAGAAGGAACGCGCGAAGTTTCCGAAGATTAGTGAGCCGTTGGAGCGGGGTCGCGAGTTGACTTTGCCCCGGAGTCAGAGTGTTAGAGGGCCGCCGCGCGATCCGGCGCTGGTGCCGCTGCCGAGACAGTCGGCGGAGATTGAGAGGCCTAATCCGGGGTGGGTTTAGGGGAGGAGTTGTGTTGATGTTTGTGAAGTAGGGGATGAATAAGCAAGCACTTCTTGAGTAAGTTCGTCTTTGTTTTTAAATACCTAAATATCTATGTATTTTCTTATGATTTCCCTCTTAAAATTGAAGATACTAAAAAATTCAATAATACGTACGCTATTATTTCACAGTAAAAGATAAGTCTCTTTCCCTCCCTTAGTGATTTGTATGTGGTTCTGCTAAATGTCGATAGTGTGTCCTGCGCCGCCTAATTTCAAGATGGACTCTAATTCAAGTGAATCAGGGGCAAATTCCCTCTAAGAAAAGCAAAACCCCCCTCCCAACGGAAACCGCGCTCAAGACTTAACCTTACGATTTCAGATTGTTTTTCTTAAATTCAATTCGATCCATTTAAGGGATGCTTAACTTCTTTCTAAGAATTTCTGCGCCGTTACTGCGCCTTAAATAATCTCGGACAGTCGCTCAACCATTTCTAAGCATTACAAGGAGGAACCCAGAATAAACCTCGCAGATCGATCTTTTGAAGCCTTGCTATTTCTCTTGTTTACTTCGTATATGTAGGTCGTCGAAACAGACATAACTTTAATTCCGCTATGGCCGTACCGTTTGTCATCCTTTCTCGCAGCCACGTAAGCTATTCTGTCAAAGACCATCTGCGTTTTACGCCATTATGACGCTGAAACGGCCGCTATATTTAACCTCTCGCAGGCTATGGCATGTCCCGCCAAGGGACTCCCGTGCGGCATGGCTGGCAGCTACAACAGCGTATGGGTTCACCATATGGTGGCGCTATTTAGCGCTTAGGCGTGGTAACTGACGTACCTACAAGTAGGCGCTAAGGCACCTAGAATGATTAAATAAGCCTATATCGACATTTCACCCTTAACAGTTGAACGCGCTACTCTTTTAATTCGGAAGTTGTTAAAAATACAGCGATCTAGGTACATCAGTAGAACGCTCAAAATACGTCCCCAGAAATGGTCGGATTTTATTTCACACATGGAGCCTCAATTTCCCTTTCTGGAATCGTGCATGAGACCCGACAAGATGGATCATGGATCATTACTCCCCGTCACCTTTCCCAGAATATCTCCATTGTAAAATCTGCCTCATACTGCCTCATACCATCTCTATCCACCTCCCTGATACGGATGGTCACAACCTCTGTACGAGGGGGGTTGTCCGGAAGTCTATCTCGTCCCAGATTGGTTATAAGTATCCGTCCAGTCGGCAGTCGGACGAGGGTGGTGGACACAGGCTGAAATCATGCATACAAAAGAAGCAATGAAAATGACATGACAAAGAAGACTATCAGCGCCTTTTTTCTTGACATATGTCATAGCATAGCTAAACGCCCTACCGCTTGCTATATATAACATGCAACGCCTGCTGAGCTTGCCGCCCGGTCCGCCACGATTCATCTATCCTGTTCTAATTCACCAGACTAGTTCTCTGTCCATCTGATGTTTTCTTGGCATCTATTAAGCTAGGATCGTCGCACGACCTATGCCAATGCGGCGTTCATTATTCAGTCTAGGGACCGTTGGGTCCCTTTGATGTTGGGGCTTGATAAATTCTTGCTCTGGTTGGTACAGTGATAAACAAAATGCCGGGCGGAGCACACTTATAATATATAGTATCTGGTGCTTGTCTGTATGTACTACCATTTTTGTTACACATATCACCAGATCATAAAAGGACCATTTACCCATCCACCATGGAGTTTCCGCATGATGGCGAGTCTATCTACTATCGATACCAAGCTACGTATGTCCGTAACTGGGCGGGAGATTTGATATATTGCACGGGACCGGAGACAACCCGAATCCAGGAGACTTGGAACTCGATCAGTGCTTGCTTAGGGACTCGGGATATTTCATCCACAAACCAACCCCAATTCCACCATGTCAAGTTAGATGGGGATTTTCAGGGCTGGGAATTACATGAGTTTCGCCGGACTTCGACGACAGTCTCTACCGGAATTATCCTCAGCGATGTGGTTGATCATCCAAGCACCAAGCGAGACTTCGAGACATTCTTCTGTCAACTGCTTCTACGTGAAGCTAACCTCGCAGTCACTCATCAGCGAGTGAATATAAGCCCATTAACTTCGAGTCGATACGACGAGGCTACAGAAGAGATCGTGTCTCTCTTCGACAGGTTCCTTCGGTATCAGGGCGAAAATGATAAGTGGATCGAATCTGGACGAACTTACTTTGCGGAGCGCGTTCGTCACTTCACTTCCCAGGGAAGACGAATTGAGCTTTGCTTGCCTGCTTTCCCGTGCAAGTCGTCGAATTTAGACAAAGTCACGGGAAAAGACCCTGATCGTGGAGAACTTCTTGCCTTGGAACGTCTACACAGCTTCATAGAGGCTGTCGAGAAGATATATGATGTAGGCGCAAAGCTCTGGATCATTAGCGATGGGCATGTCTTCAGTGACTGCAGTAAGTCACCCTTTTACATCCTAACCTCTGAAACGCCGCTAATGGATCGTAGTCGGTGTTGACGACGAAGATGTGGATTCGTATGGTCTGAAGCTAATCAAAATGAACCGCGCAATTGGACTTCGAAGAGGGAACACGGATCGGGTAGGCTTTAAATCTCTAGTCGATCTCTTCGAGCTAGAGAGATACAAGCACAAACAATCGAAACTTTCCCAGCTCGACATACCCACTATTAACCACTACGTCGAAACACGTGTGACTACGGAAGCGGAACTTTGCCGACGTATCCTCATGGCCGGGTGTCAATCCCAGAGGTCTGGGCTCCGAGCTCGGATTGAGTCGCAAGACCCTGCTATTCTGGCTTTATATCGCGGCTTTTCGCGGTTTATGCTTGAGGATCTAGAACACCATCCATTTACGCGAACTATGAGCCGCTCGAAACAGAAGAAACTTTCCGCTAAAGTGGCTTTTGAGATGATCATGGTGAGCCCCTATTACCTACGTCATTCATTCCCATTGAAATATACGAATAAAGAAGCCCACTAACTATATTTTTTGCCGCAGAGGAATCAGGCGTATTCCAACCTCGTGGAACTGCTCTTCCCAAACCATATTCGGTTATCGATCCACGCGTAAGTTACTCAAGCGTGTCCCAAGACATTCTTGTGCAAACATTTACTCAATAGAACTAACCGCATTTATCTATTAGACACAACAATGCTGGACCCAAATTCGGCATCCAGCTATTCGACCCAGCAGTCGTTCGAGCCGTTGAGACGCTCTCACCTAACAGCAACCCCATGACCTCCCGTGACCTGCTACATATCCCTACCCCATGGCATAACTCGGTAGTAAAGGTCGTTGGTAGCAAGATACTATGCGTTACGAAAGCCAAAGTGGTACGAGATGCTCTAGCCGATGGTGGAATGACGGGAAGCCTATTGGGACAAGAAAACCAGATCGACTCTATCCCGGCAGTATATTTCACTGTGAACACTACCCCTAGGAAGCGAGATCCGGCAGATCAACAAGAGACAGCGCACAAGGAGCCCTCCAAACCTACGCCCCAGGTTACCATTGCATCAGGTAGGGAGGGCATAGCATCGTTAGTAACCAAGACTATCATCCTCCACGTTTTTAAATACTAACCTGATTCTTAAGACTGACAATCGCGCCCGTTCGGTATTTTGCGAGTAGCTCGACTCCCATAACGTGCGAAACCGATTACGTTCTTGTGTAAACGGACCGAGGCGTATCGTCGCACATGTATCCGTCTAAATAGGGGGAAGAGGGGGATTTGGAAACCCATTTACCAGACGGTAAAAATCGTCTAATTTTTCTAATGGGAACTCGGTATTATCAAAATACGTCTTTAGGGACTTAATAGTAATTCTTTGGCTATTTATGAGTTTTTATCTATTCCTAGGTGAATAATTTTCAATTAATATCGGTTGATGCCACAGATAGGTATAATATGCCCCTGACTTTGTAAATCCGGTGGACCAGACCCACTATAATAGGGGTAAGATTCCAATATATATTTTTCGATAATTATACTTACCCAGGTATGTGGTTACAGTTATAACCGGTAAGGATATGTATGGAGAGACCTTGATATATCTGTATAAAGGTAGAGGCGACATAGAACGATTTCGGTAGGGCGATCCGCACATGGTAGTAACGATTTTATAGGAAAAAGACAGTACGGTCTTGCGGGTGGGCACTGTCGTCTATTTCCAAGGTTGACGTAGGATAGAATGTGCTCAAATGTGCTCCTTCTCGGCAGTAAGTACCGTTAGCAAACATTTGTGTGGTAAGGTACCACTGACCTGGAACTGATCAAGGCCAGAATCGTACCATGTCCCAGTTAATAAGGTAACACAAGAAATACAGTTGCAAATTGTACGAAGGATGCCGTTTGCATTGTCAGTCGTCTTGACAAGCTGGGGTTGGGAAGTTACGATGACTGTATTTCGCACTTGCCTAGGTATATTCAACGTGCCTACCTATTTGACAGGTGGGTATCCCTAGGCAAGTGCGTACTGACTGTCAACTGCCTAGCAACCGATTTATCGTTTTGGTTGGCCCGTGACGACTTGTTTCCTCCCTCGTCGCCGACCCGACTACGAAATCTTTTGTGGTGTCTTCTATTTACACGCTCGGTGCACAAACGTAAACCTTTCTTCCAATTACAACAACCAAACCTCAATTTTCATCACGTCAAACTTCCGTCTTTTTTCGCGACGCAACGTTTGTTCATCATGGACATGCCTGATATGCCCGGCATGGGCTCTTCATCCTCGATGATGATGGACATGCCTACTTCAACTGCTACCGCTGCACCCGCAGCCACTTCTATGACGATGGGCGGAATGGGAGGTATGGGAGGTATGGACATGGGCAATGGAGGCGGCCACATGTGCAAGATCTCCGTAAGTATTATCATTTCGTTCTAATTATCATCTGTAGTCGCAAACATTTATTATCACTCGATGATAAATAATTGTCGCGACTTTTTTTCTTTTTGAAGGGGGACTAACTGACACCAATAGATGCTCTGGAACTGGAACACCGTCGACGCGTGTTTCCTCTCGACTTCCTGGCACATCAAGTCGAGTGGCATGTTCGCCGGATCTTGCATCGGTGTGATCCTCCTTGCAATCACTCTCGAGGGTCTTCGTCGCTCTGTCAAGGAGTATGACCGTTACCTCATCCGCAAGAACATCAGCGGAGGCCTTGTTGCCGTGACCCGAGCCGAGTCGCCCAAGATCGACCCTCCCACCACTGCCGCTTCGGCCCCCGTGTCGTCGGTCACTCCCAGCGCTGCCTGTGCAGCAAGCTACCGCCCCAAGGTGTGGGAGCAAGCCATTCGTGCTCTTCTTCACACGGCCCAGTTCATCGTGGCCTACTTCCTCATGCTGTACGTACTCCATTCTGCCTATTTTTCTTGTGTCTCTACATGACATAACTGACCACTTCAATAGGTTGGCCATGTACTACAACGGTTACTTCATCATCTGCATCTTCATCGGTGCGTACATTGGTAGCTTTGTCTTCCAGTATGAGAAGCTTGGTGGGTAAGTTCCCTTATAGACCGCTATAGCATTTTCTTTCTCTTTCCCTTCCTTTCATACATACATAGTATCTAACAATGGCAATAGTGGACAGCAGACCAGCGCTGCCAGTGAAGCGACGGTATGCTGCGGTTAAGCCTGTGCCCCTGCACCTCTACAAACAACAACGACCTTAGCAATCTGTTGATAAACTGCGGCACTGATGTGATACCCTTCTTTATGTGCCCGAGATGGGAAGGAGGGTTGAGGAAATCGTGCTTTATGCCGTGATGGCTCTTTGATAATGATCGTGCGATCGTTACGGCTCTTTGATTCTATAAATTCGCATAATGAAAGTCTTGTACCTGGCACCCATCTTTGGTCTTCAATTATCGTGAATGTGAATGTGATGGTACCTGGTGGTCGGTACGCAGTTTAATGTCGTGGCCATGGCTAAGCTACCGACTTGTTGACAGATCAGCTAGTCTTCATATCAGCACCAATTATCATATTTTCGTATTAATTAGCCCATAGCAAGTGAAATATTCCATTTGATATTTTATTAGTATGCTGATCCGCGAACGATAAGCCCATTGGTAAACTCTCGCTCACGATTATACTCGAATCGAGAAATACTGTTGTCCGCTGTCTGATATAATTTGACCAGCAAATACGGATATTCGTTACCATGTTATAAATAATATGTATCCGGCCTGAATACTGCCCTAGAGAATATTTGGGAGACCACGCCGTCCCATGATTATAAGACTGTTACTTCTGCATATTGTAGGGGCCGTTATGTACGTTATATACCTATGTTATTACAAGAATAAAAGAAATGATCTAATATATGTGGTGTGAAAACCACCGACTTGGTAATTACTCAGATAATCAGCCATGATCTACTTAGTACTATATAAGAAGGAAGGTGGTATGGATATGGACATTGTTTTGTCCTTGTATTTTGTATCCTCGTTTTTGGGTACACCGTGCTGCTATTAAGACCTCCGCCAAGTGGACATAGATATCGTGATGTTTAGGGTTTAGCGTAGGTAGAGATGGCTTTTTATTCAAGTGTACAGACGGTACGTAGACGGTATGTATTTTGGTATTTAATATTATTTCTGTGTGTCTGATGGTTGTTCGGAAAATCTCAAGCTACATCGTCTCTCAGTAGGTGGGTACCGAGGCACCTACCACGTACGGTGCCGTGAAGTCTACTGGGTACAATACATATGTAAATATTAAACTTCATGACTGACTTAATACAATTTTTAATAGGTACTTAGGTACTCACCTTTTAATTTTTCAAATCAGCCGGCAAGCTAATGTCTATATAACGACGCGTCCCCCGACTCAATTTGACAACAAAATTTCTCCCATTAACAACAACAACAAGCATCGATGCTAAGGCTGGCCACCTTACTCAGCTTTTTATAAAGAAAAATTAATAAACGATAAAAACGAATTATCGTACATTATTATGTTCCTAGGAGGTATGATATTTATTTTTTTTACTATCATATATTATCGACACTAATTAATCATGCAGTTCAACCCCGTCCGACTATAAGTCACTCTTGCATAAGCAAGACGTTAATAAATACGCCAATTATTTAAATAAATATGGCGTCACCTTATAATGTCGGCCGGTAATCAACCAGGCATTCCCCTTCCTCCGCGTACGGGCCAGAAGGGTCAGACCATGATAGTCTCACGGCGATGACAATAACAACATGCGACCATCCCGTGGCGAAGAGAGCCAATAGAGCCAACCCGTTCGCTGACCCCCAGTAATAAGACAACGCCATATAAAAGGCGTTGATAATGGGGGTCATAGAGGGGAAGAGCTCGAAGAAGCGCTTGAAGAAGCGCTCGATGGCGGGTTCTTTCTGGAACCGGGGCGCGCAGCAACGCCATCCAGTATGCTCGCGCCCTGAGAAAGAAGTCACCATCGACCCTATCGCCTTCACTTACTGGCTCAAGGGGTTCAATCCCGGACTTGTCTCTTCGAAGAGTAAGATCATCCACACTTAAGTGGTGTTTCTTCGAAGAGGGGACTTCAAAGTCACCAGAGCAGGAAGGATATATTCCCCTGCCGGACCAGCTACGGGGGCCTCCTCTGCTCGATAAACGCCTTCGTCGATTGACGATCTAAATAATGCCTGTCCTTTACTCAGAGGGGATTGTAGGCCACTTCTAATCTATGGTGGCCGCTTTCCTGTTGCTGTTCAACCACATCGAAGGCGTCGATACGCCTTCGTCTTTAGGGAATACACCCTAAACGGCCGGCTTCAACGGCCAGCAATCGAGTATACAAATAGGAAATAATCTAGGCTGGCCCTAGAGTTCCTACAAATTCCTGGGAAATTGTCGACAAGGTATCCTTGACACCCAAGGGCGAGAACAATCTATTCCTGTTTTACCTTGGTGTCTTAAGCAACACCAAAGACAAAGCACCGCGCGATCCCAACGCCATTTACCGAGAACCCTACAGCGTGCCTTCCACTGGCGATGCTGCTTCTAAGCAGGGACGCATACATACGGCTTCACCTCCGGGGGCTGGGATAGCTAAGGCTATAAATTACAGCCATCATTCCAGCCCCGTACTTAACTGCGGATGTGTTGCCCATCAGATGTTCCTGGTCGCTCACCCTGAACAATATCATCCCAACGTTGCTGGAGCTTTAGAGAGAGGAGGCTCTGGGACAGACCACAAGGTCGTTTTGGGTGGGTTGGTTATATTATAAATGAATGTTGCCGATTAAAAGGTTTTTAAGGAACTTGGAATTTCTATCTAACAGGTGGCCGTGGTGTACAAGGATATTTGGGTATTGGGGATACAACTGGGAGAGATGTTTAAAGAATTGAGAGAGAAGTTTAGAGGTCATGAAATTAGTTAAGTAAGCAGTGCGCACATATTAATAAGCGCGGTGGACAGAAACATTTTAGTCAGCAGGATCAATTACATAATCTTTCCCCCACGCTGCATCGTAGATCTAGCGCGGTCTTAGCTCATCAACCTATATTTTTCGTTCCACCTTCAGGAACAGAATTAACAACTTCACAACATTTCATACGAAATTTTTTACCATTCCAGAAATTCCAAGATGGCACCTACTAAGGACAGCTTCTTCGACCTGGAAAGGCAACGACGAAAGTTAGAGGAAAATGTTGAGAAATTATCTAAGGCGCTTGAGTACTGGAAACAATCTCAGGAAGAGTATGAGACCTTGCGCAAGGCTGTTCAATCATCGGCTAGTCGGGAGGAACTTAGAAATACGAGAGACCAATTCGAAGGCAAGATCTTAGACAAAAAAGAACTTGACGTTATTTTCGGCCCCAATGTCGCCAAAACTGCTGAACAGATTGGTAGCGTACTCACAAATCGAGTGGACTATGTCGCAAAAAATGTAGGCACTCTCAACAAGCAACTTGAGGACGTGCAGAACAAGCTCGCTGCCGTAACCGTTGTCACGAACCCCGACGCTACCGACGAAGAAGGTTTACCGATTACCGAGATCATGGAAGAGCTTGATGATGATGACAATGTCGTATCTTATACCCTACGCACTCCTGGAGATAATCGACCGCAGATTCTAGAGACATTAAGGAAAGCTGGAATCACAGATTTTGAGTCACCTACCAATAGCAACACCCTGCATGATACATCATCCCATGAGGTGAAGAAAGACGAGCCACAAAATCCAACTGATGATGAGAGTCCATCGACCCATCAATCCAAACAATCCCAGCCCACTCAACAACCGAAAGAAACATCCGTTGAGGAACAAGTAAAGCCGAAGCCTGCCCCTAAAAAGAAGAGTGTAGCGTTTACCGAGGATACGAAACCCGGTGAAGAGAAGGAGCAGTCAGATACTGCTAAGAGATTAGAAGAAATTCTCCAGAGGGCGAGGGATCAGCAAAGCATAATATCGAACCCCGTTTTCCCTGCCGACGAAGCACCAGAGGATGCGGCATTGCGAGAAGATATGATTCGATATAACAAGCAGACCATGGAGTACGAGATGGCTCCTATCGTCGCTGAATTGCAATTAGAGGAAGGATCCTCTGCGGACGATACTGATGACTATAGTGACTACGATGACGACGGTTACGACGAGGACGAATTAGGCCGGACAAAGGTTCACGTTGACGATGATTGGAAACGATATATGCTGGAACTTAAAGAGAAGTTGACTGGATACGAGTTTAAGAAGGATACGGCAGCAGATGAAGAGAATGATATGGTCGAGGGCGTTGGCCGTATAACTATCAGACACGAGGGTCAAGATGTACCCAATAGTGGAAGCGAACCAGCGGCCCATCCTAATACCGAGGCTTCGGCACCAACAAAGGAGATTAAAAAGAGCGTTAAATTTGCAGCGAGCCTTGACATTGCGGATACCTCAGTTCCAGTTCCAGCTCCAGCTCCTGCCCCACAGCAAAGCCACCCAGAAATAAACCCTATTTCTGAAGTTGTTATGGAGCGCAATGGTGGAACGCATCAACCGAGAGTTACTTCCTCAAAGAAGGCTTCCCGATTCCGCAAGGCGAGAGGCACCGATCCCTCGATCATGAGGGCACCAGTGGCTCTGGATGGCACCCCAATCGCACCTGACAGACCCGACATCAACATTAAGCCAATTCCCTCAGGCCCCAATGGCCAGACGATTGCAAAGTCCGTGTTCGAGCACGAGCCGTCTTCGCAGGCAAAAGAGCCAGATGAATTCGACGCCAACCTCCTCCACAACCAAGCTACAGAAGAGTACTACAAGATGCGGAATAGGCTCGTACACCGAAACGGCGGTTTTATGAAGGAAGACGAAAATCCAATCCAACCGCTAGATGAAGAGGATGGTGGACCAAAGCGGATGAGTCGCTTTAAGGCAGCTAGACTGGCTAAGTCATGAATAGGATTAAGAATTCGAAATCGCTCAATATTGAGCTATGCATTCCGGTTCTTGATCCTAGGATTGTGTGAGTGAGGTTTGTGCTTATTGCGTACTAAGGATCGCCTGTTCTCGAAGTTTACGATCCTGATATTGATTCTGCGAACATACGAACTTATCAGTGTCTACAAAACGACGGTTTGCTTGGCACCTAGATACTTAGCATCAATGCATCACGATTGCATCACCCACATAGGGACACTCTGCGAAAATCACCATCAATAAATGTAAGATAATGCTTTTCACGTAGGTAGGCTTTACAAAATGTGCCTGTCGTAAGTGTTTTTTTTGCTATTTCATTTATCTCATAACCTAAGATGATAGATATGTGACGGAACGCTTCTAATCTGACAATTGATGCGTAGCGGTGCTTCGTCTGCTATGTCATTACTGGCGATTCCAAGATCGAAACTCATAGTAGGGCTCTCTGATGCCTTTACACTTGGCATTTTATGCCCCTGTGGTATTGGCTATTCGTTTCACCCTGCACATCTCATCCCATCCGCAAACACAGATATGCACATGATGTACTTATGTAGATAATTGGATCCTTCGATGCTCATGTCTCTTTTAAGTGTTTTCTTCCCGTGACTTGAATTCCAAGCATTGTTAGTGACACCTGAAACTTGCAGCCTTTGAACCTTCCTTTTTTCTTTCTTACTTACACCTACCACCCCTAATCTACTGCACCTTAGCATTGCTAAAGTCCAGCTCAGGATGCTGGTCCTGGAACTTCTTGAGAATGTCGTTCTTCCTCTGCTCGTCGGACGAGGGCAGCCCTTTCTCCTTCTGCGACTGGTCGTACATCATCTTCTCCACCATCCCCCGCGTCTCGCCGTCCAGGTCGCTTAGCTTAGAGCTCTCCGGCTGGATCTTGGTCACGTCGATTGGAGGCGCGCTGGTTATTACGTGCGCCCACCATTCCATCTTGTTGATCTTGTCTAGGTGGATTTCGATCGTTTTGGTGCCGTCGGGTGAGGAGACCAGCGTCCAGGTTGAGTCGTCGGTGTGGATTGCGTGTGGGAGGTCGCCCTGTTGGGGGCAGCGGTTAGGTTTGTTTCTTGGTTATGGCTTGTAATGTTGGGGAGAGTGTGGGTGTGGGTATAGGTGTAGGTATGTACACATACATCGATGATGGGATCTTGGCCCTTGATACCGGCTTTAAGCTTTAGCTTCTTGATGTCCACAACGAGATCCCGCCCCTTGAGGTTACCCGGTACGGTGATGCTGATATCGAGGTCGGCGATGGTCTGGTTCCATTTGTAAGGCAGCGCGGCTTGCTCCTCAGCCTCCTTGGCGCGGGCAGCGGCTTCTTGCTCGGGGGTGGGTTCTGGTAATGGTTGTTAGATGAATGATGACGAGAGGAAAGTCATATGTGAATGCATACCGTTGTCAGCCATTATTTCAAGGTTGTTTGTGGTGTTTGATGTCGTTGAGAGCCGTTTGGTGGATTAGGTAACAACTTTAGTAGATGGAAGAATCTATCGGAAAATGGAAAGAGCTTGTAGCTGGATGGAGGGGCAAGTGTTGGTGGGGCAAACATCACACCCCTGCAATATCTAGTTTCCCGGGATTTTCTGGCCAATCACCTTTCTGGTAATAGATGTGGATACGGTACTTGACCACGCTGTACCTGCTACCTAGCTCCATTAATAATGGTTAATTGGGATGTCTTTAGGTACCTATCACCTATCTTTAAATTCCGACGAGAAGCTCAACATCCATTCTTTCAATCTTCAGACAACTCAGACAAATCAGACAACTTCCTCTCACCATACCCGTTAACGTTTTGCTCTATAGGGCAATAGTTTACCTCTCTCAAGACGATACGACTAAATCAAATGTGATCTTATTACTCATTCACACTCTTTTCTTCCACGTAGCCACCGTCTTAACGACGATCGCTGCTTTACGGTCGTTACCTCGCTGAACAGGAAATTAAAAACGATTTACTGAGCATACCGAACAACTAACTATTAGAACAACACGCAACTCAATCAATCGCAATGTCTCGCAAACCGGTACCAACTACGACAAACCCCGACGCCCACAATGCTGCGCCCGCCGCCATGATCCCAGACGACGTGTGCCCTGTGTGCCGACGGCAGAAGTACTTCAACCCCGACCTCGAATTCCTCATAAACCCCGAGTGTTACCACCCAATGTGCCAGCGGTGTGTGGAACATATTTTCGGTAAAGGACCAGCGCAATGTCCACACCCGGGCTGCATCAAGACCCTCCGCCAGCGCGGCTTCCACTCCGCCTTTTTTAAGGACCTCAAGGTCGAGCGGGAAGTAGACGTCCGCCGACGCGTACAAGCCGTGTTCAACATGACCGAAGACGACTTCGTCTCGATCCGCGATTACAACGATTACCTACAACAAGTAGAGGACCTAACCTTCGACCTAGTCCAAGGCGGTGACGCAGACCGTAAGGCCGCGGAAAAGAAACTCCTCGCGTACGAGCAGAAGCACCGCGAGGACATCGAGAAGAACAAGCGTCGCGGCCGCGAAGCCGAAACCATCCGCAAACAGCGCTCCGCCGCGGACGCCGAAGCCGCGCGCCAGCGCCGACTAGAAGAACAGCGCGAAGAAGAGCGCGCCCGCGCCGAAGAAGCGAGCATCAACGCCGAAGTAATGGAGGCGCTCGCGCGCGGGGAGCCGGGCTCGGCAGCGGAAATCCAAGCGCGCATCGTCGCACAGAAACGCGCGCGTGTCGCCGAGATCGCCGGTTCGCATTTCTCATCTCTCATCAACACCTCCTCCAACCCCACGAAACCGCGCCCTGGCTCGAACTTACTCTCGATCCGCGGCCTCAAAGACAAGAACGCCCGCGACGAGGACGCGGAGTACTACCTCCGCCCCTACGACCCCTTCGCGGGCTTGGATCTCCAGCCCTCCCGGTACAAGCTACGCAACGCCGGCGCGGCGTCCGAGTACGCTAACCCGTGGCTTGATCGCGCGCGCTCCGCGGACGATCATAAGGTCCCGGGGTATAGCACCCAGGAGTATGTCGCGCGCGCTATGTTCGAGGCGTTTGCGGGGTTGGGGGTTGTGGTTGGGGAGGAGAAGGCGGATGCGGCGAGGGCGGTTGGAACGTCGGGCGCGGAGGTCGCGGCTAAGACTGGGAGGACGGGAGGCATGGATGTGGATAAGGGGGTTGGGAGGATGGATGTTGATGATGTTTTTGTTTGAGAGACGAGCAGGCGGGTTATGCATAGTATACCCAAGCAATTAACCTCGTAGACGGAAAAGGGACGAGGAATAGGAACAGGGCACATTTTCATTTATTCGAGTGGCATTTGCATGGCGATGGCGTTGGGGCTTACATATGCCATACCAAGACCTAAGGATAGGTCTTGGTTCTGTTACAGATAAAGTCAAAGTCGGAGTTATGGGGGTACCATGAATACATTGATGCTCTTGACTGTTGACTTTTGCTTATAAGTGTTTTATCGTCTCCATTATGGTTTCCCTGTAGACGATTTGGTGATGTTTAACAGGAATAAAGTATTGCGGAACTACCCCTTATTATGTATTACGCATTACGCTCCTACTACATCTCGCTAGCACATATCCATGAATCTTTACCTACACGACAACTCACAGCACAACAAAACACAACACACGATTATGCACAAAACCAAGACCTCCACGACATTAACGTAGCTAGATATGCTATGTCATTATACAATAGCCTACTATTAAACGTGATTTGCTTTGCAAGGTGTCCGTCAAGTTTAAGTCAACCGACTTTCCTCTCCCCTTCCCCCTCACCTTCCTCTTCCTCTTTCTCCCCCCTTTCTCATTGAATAGTACAAGGTTTATTTTCCGCAGCATGAAGATCGATAAAAACCTCCATCACCACCAATCTCTCATCCGCAGTCAAAGTCGCGAATCCGCCATCTGAGATTCCGCCTGCTTTTCTTTCTTACAAGAATCTCCTTTGATAAAAGGGGTAGGTGGTTAAAGCAAAGTAAAGCAAGGCTGAACGGGCCTGTTCGATGATTTGTTTCTTTCTCTTTTTCTCCAACACACACTCTCAGTAGGACTTCGTATCCGCTTGTTTATAGAGGATTGGTCCGGTAGGAAAATTCCCCTGTTGGTTACATTTATCTAACTCACTATTTTCCCTTCCCATTCTGGAAAAGTCCTGCATGCAAGGGCGAAAAGCCATCAAATCCAGAGAAAACGCCTCGCTCTATGCGCACTTCGATAAATTAGCAGGCTTCCCCCCACGTAACTTGTTGCATTGATCTTTTACTTCCATCCTGTTTGACACTTATACTCCCAAAGTTACCTAATGATGCCACCCTATTGTTGCCAGGGTGTCTGTGTAGCAGGTCGAGGGAATACCGGCATCGTCTCCATATGATCTAGCCCTCCACCAAGTGGCTGTTGTCCGTGCTGCCAACCCATCCCTGTTTGATGATTCACGAATGCGCCCTGCCGGAACGGATTTGTGCTGCCGGTTGGTTGCGGCATGAGGCCACTGCTCGTCTGAGGTCTCTGGGGTTGAGTTGGTTGAGCCTGAGGGAGATTCTGAGTCTGGCTGAAATTCCTGGCAAATGGATTTGTTCCGGTCGTGGCTGACTGAAGTGGTGCTTGAACTGGGGCTTGGGGAGGTTGCGACAGGAAAGGAGAGGTCGATGGAGGATTTTGAAAAGGTGTTACAGCTTGAGGGGATGATCTAGCGAAGGGATTGGTGTTCTGCCGAGTTAGGCTAGTAGCTTGAGTTTGCGGGCTAGTCGGCGCGCCAAATGAGTTGTTAGGCATTCCAGTCGGATTCGCCATCAGCATAGATGCCCTAAAGGGATTCGTGATCTGCTGGCCAGGCATTAGACCAGGTTGCAGGCCCGTCTGCATGCCCGTCTGCATAGGAGGCGAAAGAGTCCCAGGTTGAAATGGTGCAGCAGAGTCTTGGGGTATAGGGGGGAGGGTGTTTGGTGTGAAAGACGGCTGCGGCTGTGGCGTGAAGCCACCGAAACCAGCCCCGGTGAAACTCGGTTGCATCTGATTCGGCACCTGCTGTTGCTGAGAGAACGCACCGACGTTCTGTTGTTGAAAAGGGCTATTATTGGGCTGAAACCCAGTTGGTTGGGATACAAACCCATTGGCTTGAAGCTGGCCGGTCTGTTGCACCGCAAAACCATCGTTCGAGGGCCAAGGGTTTCCAGTAGGCATTGGTTGGTTCACTTGGCCTATCTGATGTTGTGGCTGATTATTCGGGTGGACGGCCATAGAGGTTTGATTCTGCTCTATCGAGTCAAAGAAATCGATGAGATCTGGATCAGGTCCCTTGCTAGTTTGTGCTGGTGCCCCCGAAGTAGATGCGGCTGATGCTTTTGCTTTTGCGGCGGTTGATTTTGAATCTGTAGTGCCCTTGTCGGTTTTCGAGGACAGTCCAGTACCACCTTTCTTGGCGTCAAGCTCGGCTAGATACTGTCGTCGGTGGGTTTCGAAGTCGGGATCCTCCAAATATTCTACCAACTGACGTCGAAGGGTAACTGGAGCATGCTTCAGCTTAGGTACCTCAACCCTAGTGTGAGGCTCCCATTGCCTTGCCACAGATAGATATTGCACGACATAGTCTGTCTGTTTCGTGAAATTCTGGTAGATGCCCAAAGCCCTCTCTGCATCCACCTTCGACATTTCAAAGAAGTGCCCTGGATATTATTAGTCTGTGACAGGTATACCGAATAGTGGATGTTCTTGAATATACCTAAGAGATTGATCATGGCTTGATTCAACACTTGGAATAGCGACAACAGATCAAGAACCAGAAGTCGAAAGACGGTGATGGTGATTTCGTTCTCGGGGTCTTCAAGAACCTATTCAATGTTAGCGCCACCAATACATCATTATAATGGCAGACATGGATCACTTACGTCGCACTTCAGGAGGGCGGTAAGTTGATGCTGCACAACTTCGGTTTGCCGAAGCAGCCCCTTCTCAACGGAAAGCTTTTCCAATCTTGTCTCTTTGCCCCGAACCCAATCTACTCCCGTCTCCCTAAATGCACGCACTCGTTCTGCTAGATAGCCGGCATAGTGTCGTATATTTCGGCCCTGGATTTGAGCTGCCATATGTATTAGGATATTACCTCACGGTCAGCGGATGACGCGGACAAGATACTCACCATCGGTAAATGAGCTAATGGCTAGCGCAGTTCGATGTTTCGCAAGATATCCTAGTGTCGCGTCTGGGGAGCCTTCTCTGATCATCAAGTGAATGGTGATCAGGCTCTTGAGTACGACGGTCCATGTTGAGTCTCGCAACCGAAACTGGAGCGCTCGGAAAATCTCTCCTACTCCAGCTTCGCCTGAGTGGGTGGCGATGAGAATATGTTCGATATATTTGGTCTTCGGAGGAGCAGCCTAGTTAAGAATACTACCGTTAGCCGTTTTGTAACGGGTTGTATGCTGATACGTGGCGCATCTCTGACTCCCATCATACTACCATCTCATCTGCCATACGCCATACACCGTACACCGTACATAATAATACTCTGATGTGGACTAACCTTTATCTTGGTTGCACCCTTCACCGACTTCTCGAAAGAGCTAGACATGATGCCGACCTCGTGGTCTTGGCTAGGTAGGTTGAGGTCAAGCCTCAGCTTCTTGATTCGTCTTAAAGGGCGTAACTCGCAACTTTGGCGGGTTAGGTATTGGCGGACAACCTAAGGTCGTGGGGTTCGTGGTCTACAAGGGGAAAAAGAGGAGTTCTCGGAGACACCAAGAGGAATTCGTAGGATTGTTTGTCAATGTCGGACAAAGGCGACATTCATAATCGGGGTGCGACGTCACGGTTGATCGGCTTCGTGGCTGATGGAATTGGGTGGATTGACGGGATTCGTGAGCGTGGGCATAGACTGGCGACAGGCGACAAAAGCGATGGGCGATAGGCGGATGAAGGGTCGTTACGGCTGTTCCATTTCGAGTAAAAAGCGTTTCCATATAACTACTAATACATTTAAAATCTAATTCGCAAATGACTGAAAGTGTCGAGTTAATTTTTTGTCGATTGCTGGCTCGATATCTTTCCAGTCCTAGTCATTAAAATCTATCGAAGCGGAAGATGGAAAGTTCAAGTTTCCAGCCGCGAGTAACGAGTTGGGAGTTGTCTGTCGGGATATCGGGCTCCTAATCCAATTTAAGGTTCGGTCCATGTCATCTTTTACCCACTATACTTAAGTACATCCTATCCACAGCTCAGGTACGATGCCGCTCGATCCATATCGTACCTGAAATCCAGCAACGACAGGAGCGATTCATTTATACAACGCTACTTGATTCGTAATAATGTCTACCCTCCTTCTCTTTTATAGGACGTTATTCTACATCATGGAGTATGAGTTTGATGGAATATCTGCACGAATTATATGCGGAAAATCACATGCTCGTAGACACTTAATCATTGGTACGTTGAGCAAGGTACAAGGTACCTACCAAGGAGAAGGTCTATGTACCCTACGTTACCTACTGTGGTACCATTTGAACTGGATAGGAGTGATCCTAGCTATGAGGTCATTGCATTTATATTAATAAATAAAAGTAAATAAAAGTGTATGCAGCATCTAGCTACGGATAGCATAGACAAAAACAATTACCACATACACATTACTAAATAATCTTGGTAAATTTTGATAAGTTAGGCACACTTGTAGATGGTCTGTGTGCAAACACCCTTGGAGTCCAGGACCTAGAGATAGCCCTGCTCTTTGTGCACGAGATAACCATTTTTATATGGATGTATTAGGCATGAACAAACATCAGTTTATTGACAATACATTAAAACCAATTAGAAGTGCTTCCATACCGGCTACGCCCGAACTAACGTACATAAATGCAAAGAGCCAAACTGATCATTCCCTATGTGTAAGTCAACCTACCTAGTATGTGAGGACATGTAGCCAAGCTATCCTTGCAACAAAATAATAGAAAATGTTAGAACAAATAACAATAAAAGAATTAAGCCTTCCACTTTGTCAAATATTCATCAGAGTTGCTTTTTCGCGTCCGATGTAAACAAGGTCGAGGTGTGTCGAACGCTTATTTCATGATTCCAACCTCACATCACAACAGAACCACTTAAGCCCCGAAGGGAGAGTTCTGAAGCTCTGAGAGGAGGAACACATCATATTATACACGCAGCTTTCATCATCTAGAAAATAGCTGTTAGCAGAGAATTTTTATAATGGTTGTCTTGTGGTAGATAACTTACTTTTATTTGAATTGGAAGGATGAAGAAGAAAGGAAAAGAAAAGTTCCAAGCTTTGGCGGCAAGTTTCTTTTAGGACATGGATTTTTTGCGCCGGGTCGGGATCGAAATTGTCCGCCCAAACTTACGTAAGCCCGCTGCCACCTGGCACCCCTGTCTTGAAAAAAAATTGGAGCTCCAATATTCAAATGGTGCTGATATTTAGGTACATAGGTACATCAGATTTTATTCCTAAGGCACGTCATACGTTATTAGAGCTTCTCGCTCGAAAAAAAACTTACTTGAGATCCCCGAAGGTCTGATAAGCTAGATGAGGACTCAATGGCTAGGTTTCTCTTAATTTCATTACGGAATAATCCTCTAAGATGCATATCTCGTGTTCAAAGGCGGCCGCTAGCTCGCCAATGCCAGTCGATTTTTCAACTAGAGCACACAAGATTCATCCAAAAGGAGGCCACTCACGATGAAGATATTCCGGGGGATAGTTCTCAAAATAAGGTTCTATCCTTCCCGGATGAGATGAAGAAATACACATTCGAGGACCCGTTTCAGATTTTTGAAGAATCCTGTACGTTGTTAAAAGATCAACCACCAAAGAGGCTTGAGTTTGAAGTTGGGCAAGATATCGTGGTTTACGGCTATATTGGCAAGCGAAAAGACATGCGTTCTAACTTTAGCTTCTGTCCTTTTGAACATAAGGATTCTAAAGCTGATTTTCAGATTGTGTCCCAGTGGGATGACCCTGATTCCCGTCAATATTTCGCTCACCAAAATTTAAAGGCTATACCATCTTACAGTCCGGTTATGGTGATGGGAACTGTCCAGGAATCCAAACAGACTGCTACAGACCCATTAGTAGAAGCAAAAGGCTTGAGTAAAGTGGAACTTAAATTACAATACATACGATGTCTGAACACATTTCCCAAGGACGTCGCCGTGTCCAAGGATACTGTGTGGCCAGCCAAGTCACGTCACATGCAACTACGCTTCGATCCTTTTCTTCGAGATAGGTTATTTTTCCGTACTTGGGTCAAGAGGTCATTAGTACACATTTTATCAACCCAAGAGTTCCTCGAAATTGAAACACCAATTCTCTTCAAGTCGACTCCGGAGGGCGCTCGTGAATTCTTGGTTCCGACCAGGAGGCAGGGTTATGCGTACGCGCTGCCGCAGAGCCCGCAACAGTATAAGCAGACTCTCATGGCTGGCGGTATCCAGAGGTACTACCAATTTGCCAAGTGCTTCCGTGACGAGGACCATCGTGCCGACAGGCAACCCGAATTCACCCAACTAGACTTAGAGATGGCCTTTGCTACTGGGAGGGAAGTCATGGACCTTCTTACTATGATGGTTACTACTCTTTTTACCCGACTTCATAGACATTGGAAAATAGTAGAAATTAACGGCATACGACATCCAGTGCGCATCAAGGAGATGGTGGGGAAAAGGGATTCACTAGAGACACCGGCTTCACCAGAGACTGGATTGGCGGACGAAATTAACACTCCGGAAATATCCAATCGCTTTCCAAGACCAAAGCCTATGACGATTATGACATACGAAGATGCAATGGGAAGGTATGGATCTGACAAGCCAGACCTGCGCATCGAATTACCCTGGGCATCAAATGTGGGTCCGACCTCATTTCAACATAAATATCTTACCGGCTAACATAGACAGATATACCAAATAGGGGAAAATGGAAAGGGTCTCCCTTCACGATTTACCCAAATGATATCTGACTTGCAAGATCCTGTCGTCGAAGGCTTTAGGTTTCGTCTGTATGACAGTCGTCCCAGCGAGTCCGTGAAATTCATTAGGGAATTCATGGACAACCTTCCCAACACTACACTCAAAATAGGCCCCGAGAGTGTCCCAGGCGTATTCGTCTACGATTCTAGTAAACCGCTCTACGGATTATCGGCTTTAGGTCACGACGGAGCCGAAGTTCTTAACGACATGGAGGATAGCTGGCCTCAATGCGAGGATGGAGACATTATCATCATGCACGCACGGAACGACGAGCCCCTATCCGGAGGATCGACGGAGCTCGGCAGAATTCGAACAGCACTCTACTGGGCTGCTGTGAAACAGGGCTTAATACCAGAGAATCACGAGTTCAAACTCCTCTGGGTCCACGGCTTTCCGCTCTTCTCACCGACGGGAGACGAGGTGGGACAAGGAGGCACAGCAGGAATCTGCTCGACGCATCACCCGTTCACGGCCCCGCTAAACGACGAGGATTTCAAAAATCTCAAGACAGACCCGCTCAAAGTCAGGGCTGATCACTACGACCTTGTCATCAACGGAGTTGAGATCGGTGGTGGAAGCCGGCGTATACATGTCGCCGAAGTTCAAGAGTACGTCATGCGAGACATTCTCAAGATGACGGACGAAGGAGTCAGCCAGTTCTCTCACCTTATCGACGCCTTGAGATCTGGATGCCCACCGCACGCCGGATTCGCGATCGGTTTCGATCGGTTGATTTCCGTGCTACTCGACGTGCCGTCTGTTCGGGACGTCATCGCGTTCCCCAAGACCAACAGAGGTGAAGATCTTCTCGTTGGTAGCCCGGCAAAGGTTACACCAGAGCAGAAGAAGACGTATCATATATTCGAAGAATCTGATATAAAACCTACTACGGAATAGAGGCGTGACTACAATGTCACATGTGTATATCAGACATAAAATGTACCATAAGGGACTCAATACCACTGATTTCAACTCTAGGATAGAATACCAGGCAATAGACGAGGGGTGTATAAAAACGAGCGATCAATTATCTCGAGTACGTCCTACCGTCAACTCGGACTGTATATTCTAACGAACACGCCAAAATACTGCCATTTTCCCTTCCTGTTATTGCACTTTCCTACATACTTCCGTAGACCCCTTCAAATAGACCAAATGCCCCTGACTACTTGATAGTCACCACACCCATATCGATTTCTCCATCCATCTGCTCATCTCCCTCTCCGTTCATTTCTCCATCTACATTCCCACCCCCATCTCTGCCAACTTCCACTTCTCCTTCCCCTCCCACAACCATATTCCCGTCCCCAGTCTCAATCATATCAACACCCCCATCTACACCCTCATCCCCATCGGTAGAACCAGAACCTTTCACCTCCACAAACTCAACAGGCAATCCCTCCTCATCACCCGGCATCCGGTACGTCCCACTAAGAGGCCTAGCATGGCGCGTGCGCTCGTCAATGATGTTCGAGGCGTCGATTGCGTCTTTATCGTCGCGGGCTTTGGGGGGCTACTGTTACCTAACATACTACTGGTAGATTTTTACTCGAGAGGGCGTGTAGAAAGTACATATGAGAGGGAGAGGTTGAGAAGGGGGCTGGGGAGGGGAAGGGGGGGCATATTAAGTGGAATCTCGATAATCTCGGCTTTCTTTTCATCGACGAGTTCCTGTGCGGGGATCTCTGCGTTCTCGTCCCCGGGACGTGGGATATACGGGGTGCCTGGCGCGGATACGGCGTCGGTGGGAGCGGGAGTAGGGGTTTTGTTGATGGGGGTCCACATTGTGCCTTCCATGGATGGTGAATTGGATAAGTGTTTAATGTTCGTATTCTTACAAGATAATAAGGTGTATGAATCTTGTGATGTGTGTTTTACGGATAGGATACCTCTCGAACATTGAGCGGCCATCCTGATTCTTATACACAACCCTCCACCCCTTTTCTTCCTATTCTGATATAGGCAACATACATAACCTCCAAAACTCTTTCGTCATCAACGTCATCGTTGACCCTCAATCATCCGATAGCCACGAACCCCGGCCCTTACCGTCTGGGGTATTGATGCAATTCACGATGGATGTCTTTATAGCCCTGGCTCTATCTCATCACCTGCTACATATGATAGCCGTCACGACGGCGGGCCAAATCCCTTAAACCGCCAAAGCATTAAAACGTTTCCGCATTTTAAGTTTTTCTTACGTAATCAAATTAACGAATTAATTCATTTTATTAAAAAAATTTTATTTTAATTTAAAAAGTAGTAGAAATTTAAGTATAAAGCTTTTAAAAAAAGAAAAATTATAATAATTTTTATCGTTTTAATTTTAATTAATATTTATTTAACGGGATAATATTATTATTTAATTTAAACTTTATCCTGTTTTTTTTACCGTTTAAAGTAAATAAATAATATTTTTTTATAATTAAATTAATCGTTATTAATTCCGGTAATATTATAATGTTAATTTTATTTTTATATTAATTATTATTATAAATGTTTTATTTATTTTTATAATTATAATTATCGGGGTTTTCTTTTACGTTAAATAATAAAAAAAAAAATAAATTTAATAAAATTTTTAATAAAATATTATATTTTTTAATATTTTTAATTATTTCGAATAAATTTTAAAAAAACTTATTAAAAAAATTAAAATTATTTATTTACTTTTTAAAAAATTAATTTAACGATAAATTAATTAAAAATTATTTAATAAAAAATATAATTAATTAAATAAATTTTTTATTTATATTATTATTTTTATTTAAGTTTAATATATTAAGTTTAATAAAATTATTTTTTAAAATTATTATTTTACGATTATTTTTAATATTAATATATTAATTTTTATAATATAATATAATTAAAAATAATATAATATATAAAATAATAAAATATATTATTTTATTTAACGGTAAAATTTAAATTTCGTTTATTAATTATTATTAATAATAATTTAATTAATATTATACGTATTTAAATATTAATTTACGTAATTTTTTTTAAATTATTAATAATTTATCGAAATATATTATTATTTAATAAATTATAACTATTAAATATTAATTAATATAATATTTATTAATTATATAATTATTAATTTAAATTTATAAAAGAAAATAAAGTTACGTTATTTTTTTATAAAAATAAACTTGCGAAAAACATTTAATTAAAAAATTAATAAAGTTTAAATAAACGATTATATAACGATTAAATAACGATTAAATAACGATTAAATAATAATTAAATAATAATTAAATAACGATTAAATAAAAATTAAATAAAAATTAAATAATAATTTTATTTATAAATTACCCGTTAATTTTTTTTTTAAAATAAATATTTTTAATAATGGTAAATCGGCTTTTTATGTTAATTATATTAAAATTAAAATATTTATATAAATTATACGTATTAATTTTAATATAAAAATCACATTAATGTTATTAAATTTATTATTATTAATATATAAAATAAACATAATAAATTAATATATATAATAAATTTATTTTTAAATATAACGTTATATATAATATTAAAACTTAAATTTATTTTAATTATATATTTAATATTAATTAATTATTATTAAAAATTAAATAAATAATAGAATAAATAAGTAATAATAAATATAAAAATTATATTTACATTTCGTTATAATATTTTTTAATTAAAACGTAAAAGTTTAAAAAAATTATATATATATTTATATTAATTTTTTTTTATAAAAGTTATTTAAAAAATAATTATTTTTTTTAATTATTTAAATTTTAAGTTTTTGTAATTAAGCGTAATTTAAAACCGGTAAAAAAATGTAATTTTTATTTTAATATATATATTAATAAAAATTAAAAAAATAATATTAATATTAATATTTAACGGTTTTTAATTAATTATATTTAAGTTTAAAATAAGTTTTATTAATAAATTAATATAATATAATTATTAATTAAATAATAATTAAACTTTAATTAAATAATAATTAAACTTTAATTAAATAATAATTAAACTTTAATTAAATAATAATTAAATTTTAATTAAATAATAAATTTATAATATTTACCGTAAAATTATTTAAAAGTTAAATATGGATTTTATACGTTTAAAATCGCATTTAATGTTTTAATTTATTAATTTAAGTTTTATATATTAAATGTTAAAATAAATATATTAAAAATCGTTTTTATTTTATAATATAAACGTAAATTATTTTATAATAAAATGTAATATTAAAAAAAAAAATTTATAAGTTATTTTTTTAATATTCCGTTTATAATAAAATATATTATTATTTATATAAATAATATATTTCGAATAAACTTAAACGGTTTAATTATTTCGTTAAACTAAAATAAAATAAACATTAATTAATAATTGTGAAATTATTATTTAATTATCGTTAAATTATTATTTAATTATTATTAAATTATTATTTAATTATTATTAAATTATTATTTAATTATTATTAAACCATTATTTAATTATCGTTAAATTATTATTTATTCATTATATAATTATTAATACGCGTAATAATAATTTATTTTTAATAAGTAATTTTATTTTTAATATTTTTTTTATAATAATAAAATTATAAATTACTTAAAAAATGTTTAAAAATAAAGTTTCGTATATTAATTATATAATATATCACGTATATAATAATTAAATATTTTAACTTTTATTATAATTAGTTTATATATATATAATAAATAAAAACTTCGTAATTATATTTAAACTTTTAATAGTTAATTATTTATTAAATATATTAAATTTTTTTTAATTAATAATTTTTCAGTTAATAAATTTATATTTTAAGTTTTTATTTTTTATAATTAAAATAATTATTATTAATATTAAAATTTTATTTTATTACATTAAATATTATATTAATAAATTCGGTTATTTTATAAAATATTATTAAAATAATAAATTTTTATATTATAAATATTATTATTTTAAAAAAGTTAAATTTAAAATAAATAATATTATATTTTAAAATAATAAAATAAAATAACGATAAATTTTAATATTATTATTTTAAAGTTATAAAATATATATATATTAATATTAATTATATAAACATTTACTTATATTCCCGAAAAAAATATTACATTTTAATAAATAATATAAATTAAAATTATAATTTAACTCGAAATATATTATAATTAAGTTTAATTATAAATTTAAATATTAATAAAAACATTTTTTAAAAAGTTAATTTTAATAATAATTAAAAAAAAAATAATAAAAGTAAAATTAATGCATATATATAATTATTAAATATTTAACATTTAATAAAATTTTAAACTTATTTAAAAAAATTATTATTAAATAATATTCATAAATCCCCATTAAAAAAAAGAAAAAAACTATAAATAATAAACTTTTAAAATATTAATATTTTATCGTAATTTAATTATATTTTAAAATCGATTAAAATTAATAATAAAATAAAATTTCGGGAAAAAGTATTAAAACGAAAAAAGTTTTTTATAAATACTTATAATAAATATAAAATAACTTATATTCGTTATTAACACTTTAAATATATTAAATTATAATTAAAAAAAATGTTTAATTAATCGAAATAAAATAAAGAAAAAAAATTAATAAAATATTATTTTTAAAATAAAAAACGATATTATAATAAATTAAAAAATAAAATATTTAACTTATAATCACGTGATTAAAAAGTATTATTATAATAATAAACTTAATAAAATACACATTTTTTATTTTAAAAATATATTATATAAATTTAAAACTAAAAATTTCCGTTAATTAAAATAATATTAATATAATGCGAAACAATTTATTTAATTTAAAAAATTTTTATAATATTTATTTATAAAAAAATTATTATTAATAAATAATTATATATTATTAAAATACATTTATATATAATAAACGCCTTTTAAATATAAATATATATAATTACATATTTTTTTATTTAAGCTTATATTTTTTATTACGTTATTTTAATATTTAATTTATAATTAAAATTTTAATTTACGTTAATCGCATTTTTTTTAATCGTTAATATTACTTTTTAATAATTCGTTTATTCCTTAATTAATTTTAAAAATTATATAATTTATAATAATATTAATTATAATATAAAGTAAAATAACACGTAATTAATTAATTTTTAATTAAGTTTTATAATAATTTTTAAATATAAAACATTTAATAATTAAATATCGTTAAAAATTAAATTTAATAAAAAAAACATTTTTTTTTATTTATATTTATTTTAAAATAACTTAATTAATAATAATATAATAAATATATAAAATAAATAATTATTATATTATATTAATTTTCTTTAAATATAAAATATATAATTTTAATGTTAATAATACGTAATAATATTAATCGTTTTTAATTATTTTTTTACTTAAATTATTTACGTATTTAAGTAATATAATAAATACGTATTTAATTATTTTAAAATATTAAATCGTAATAAAATGTTTTATTTTTTATAATATGAATTTTATATTATTATGTTAATTAATTATTTATAAATAAATTTTATATAAAAATTTAATATAATTTTTTACCTCGAATTAAATACTTTTTTTTAAATATTTACATAATTATTTTTATACACTTTTTATTTTTTTATTTATTAATAATTAATAATTTATTATAATAATGTTTTATTTATAAAAGTTTATAAAAACGTATTTAAAAATTTTATTATTTATAAGTAATATTTTTATAATGTAAAGTTATTACGTTTTAATTTAATATAATAATTAAAATATAAATAAAAAATAATA